CTAAGGCTTCGTTCACATGCAATGTCTATTTTCTATTTTCTATTTTCTATTTTCGGTATGTCTTATGATCACGCTCTGTGCCCTGAACATCCCGCGGCGTAATTACTGGCAGCGCGAGCCAGTTACTTATAAGAAGCCAGTAATTACGCCGCGGGATATTCAGGGCACAGAGCGTGATCATAAGACATACCGAAAATAGAAAATAGAAAATAGAAAATAGACATTGCATGTGAACGAAGCCTAAATGTTAATCCCTTTCATTTATCATTTTCAAAGATTGGTAATGGCTTTCGTGGTAATGCCCAAGCAACAAAAATGTGTAAAGACAACTACGTGCTTTGGCATGCTTAGTTGTTTTAGCATGGTTTTTCAGAGCTTTTTTACCACTGCTTCCATACCGGATCACGTCGTTGCACCATACACACCAAGCTTCTCCGGCGTCCGGGGGACTTTCGCTTCCGAACATAGGTAGAAAAAAAATCGTCATTATTGTCCTTTTCCTCCAGCCAACTCCAACTAAATCTATTTTTGACAGTAATGTCGATGTTTCTAATATCGTCTGTTCTCTGCGAAATCCATTTAGTTTGGTTTAGTTCAAAATTCCGCGCACGCGGTGTCAAAACTTTCCACATGGGTGCCGACATTAAAGCCTACATTTCCAACCAATCAAGCGCCATAAATAAATCACGTGCTACGGTTGTGACTAGATATTGTGTTGAAACGCAGCTCTGTCGCAATGGTTGAAATGCGACGTTCCTCTGACGCATCGTTCGTCCAGTCCGCGACCACGTTAAAAACGAGAATTCCGGAACAAAATATAGAATATTTAGAATAGAATAAAATAGAAAATTTTATAACTGGACGCAAAAAACCGGAATTCCGGTAAAAACCGGAAGACTAGCATCCCTGAAGAGATATATCCCATGTCCAATTTTAGTTCATCCAAAAATATCAAGCAGCTTACCAAATAAGAGTTTCACTTTATGTTTGTAGCTTGTAATCTTTGTGCCAATAACATTCACCACAGTTACTTTCCTTTAAAATGTATAATGAAATACTCAAATATCTGTCAACTTAATTTCTGTATGGTAAAAAAAAAAAAAAAACTGCCGTTTATGTAAAAGAAGTCCAGAGCACAAAAAACAGGAAGGAAAAAAGGCCACACCTGGAGAACAGGATGAATGACAACCATGCCAACTGAAACTCAATACTGTTACTAGTAAGAAGAGAGCCTTTTGGGACAAAACATGTAAGAATCCATGAAGTCACACATAAAAACATCCATTTAGAGCCTTATATATACATACACACAACCAACCGACTTCATATAAAGCCCTTTTCGCGTTAAGTGGTATACTTCAGCGATACAGTCCGTACACTTTGAGACGTACTAACATGCAATAACACTGCAGGGGGTTTTACTCCCTTTTACAAATTTGGCTCAGGTGTGCTTTTTGCTGTTAAGACAAGTTAATTAAATGGTCGTTTAAAGAGCAGAGGCTCCATTTATGTGAAGCTCTAACATGCCAGTCAGGCTATTTAAGTTGTAAATCTTTCAAAGTGTACAAGTACATTCTGTATTGCTCAAGAATATGGCTACATATGAAAAGGGTCTTAATATTGTATAGATAGACTTTGTAGAACCCAGTTGCAGTGCACCACACATACACTTATAACACCACTGCAAAGTATAACATTTATGACAGTCCCTTTGCATAGCCTTTCCCACCAAAAACTAACCTAAAGCCATTCACACAGTTTGCCCTATAGACAACCCTTCCACAGACCCTGACTCTTCTAGCCCCAATTTGTGGTCAAACAGCCCCCTCCCAGGGCCTCACTTGTATACTACCACATGGAAGAGAGACACAAAATCCCCTTACAGAGCCCCACTGTAGAGTCACAGTCAGCTTTCCTTCTTGATGGAACCAATTACAATTTGGTCACAACAATGGGGGTAAAAAAAGGTACATTTTATCTGGAAAAGACCACCCTTTAAAATAATTGGCAACCCCCCTCCCCTCAATTGTGCTCTACACATACAGAAAATCAACTATAGACCACTACATCTTACTTGATTTACACCCGTCTCCATCCTCACGAGTGTCTGAAATTGGGATGTGCAGCTTTTATTTTTCTAATACGCTATGACTGGGGACAGTTTTAAACAGAACTTTGTGCATAACTTTGAACTTTGAGGCTGAAATTTTATTCTACTTTTATCCAAGACTAAGCATTTATTGTCCAATCAATTGAAATATTGACCATGGCTTAAAAAAATAATAAATTTAAAACTGTTTAAAGTCAATAGTTATAATAATGAGCTAGCCTATTTTAAATACTACTGCAGATGCAGCCCAAATTAAAGAGAAAAACATGAGTCTGATTAGAGACCAAAGTTCAATCTTTGTTTATTCATCCAACAAGTGCTAGATGTACTATATGCTAGGCTAGCATAGAGAATTTTAGATAAATACTCTAGTTAATCAAATACATCTTATAAAATAGCTTTGTTGTATTTGCAAAAAATTATTTTTAAGCCAAAATAATGCACTAGAGAGGCCATTATGTTTAAAGATATCAACAAGGCAACGGTTGACATAGCAACAAGAGACAAACATGACAGTGTATCCAGATATTTGAGCATNTTCCAATCCTGATTGACCGACAGCAGTCTCGGAGACCTTGTTCCATTGCCTCTCCTACCAACATAACATGAAAACTGTGCTGTTAATATCTACCTCAATGTACTAGAAAATTGGATAAATTCTTCATTTGTGTGACTGAAAGTACAGTATTTATGTATTATTATTATTTTTGTACCTTTTTATGAGCTTAGTCTGGCATTAAGTATGATTAAAAAATATGTTGCTAAATTAAGAAAATTCATGGAATGAAAAGGAAGGTATTTATATATCTTATTTCAATCAATCTTGAATTACTTCAAACAACAAAAGAAAAAAATATATACAAGATCTAACAAACATTTTAAATATACATTGGAAACAGAATTTCATTATTTCATCTTATGTATATCTGTGATATGTATTACTTGCTACTAAGAAAACAATGCTTAGAATCAATCAAACTCACCACTCCTCATAATACTGACTCCACAATTGCCTCGTTCATACTTCAGTCCATCATATGGATACCCTACAATTACATTGAAATATTATACCAGTTCAATATAAATGACGGGCAATAAAAAGCCCTAACACCTTCTTATATGTAATGATCATCTTTACACTATGACAGTAATCTCACACTTCTTTTTTCTTTTGGGTGTTACGTTTTACTGTGTATATAAGTGTCTTAGAAAACTCTTCCTTATTGTACAAGTATAACTGATATGATGGAGCACTTGGTTTAAGAAAGTGTGTGTGTGTGTGTGTGAATCTGCCTTCACACAAGCATCTTCCGACATGTCCTCACCTGTGGGAGTAATAACTGAACATTTCGTATAAGGTAGCTGATTCAAACCTTCTTCTACAACAAGACGGATCTAAGACAGAAAAAAAAAAGAAGACAGAAACATATTTTAACCAACAAAGATATAAAATACAGTTAAAGTTTAAATAATTTCATCTTCCAAAATAGTTAATTTTTTTTAACTGGTCATCCAGGCCAGATCTTTACAATTTAATTGCAAAACTGGTTTCAAATCTACAACACAAGGTTTTGATATTTAAGAATCTGATGACAATTCATGACGTTCTTCTATTCCTAACAGAAATATTGCAAAGGTTATTCTGACTGTGCATAAAATAATATCTGGCTTGTAAAATGTTTTTTTGAAAATATTTATGGCTCCTTGCAGAGGTTCAGATGTGGGAGTTCGAACTCATGTTAGAGCTGCAAAAATCTTTCTCCTGTACAAATCTTGACCAACAACTTGATAAACATATTATTGAGTTCAAGGCAAATGCATTATTGGGTGCAGTATCCAAATAGCAAGTTATTTTGATGCTTAAAGCAATATCAAGGTGTTATTTCATGCCATTTCGGTGTTTATAGTGAGACCATATATCAATGGTAATTATTTTAAACTCAGAATTTTCTACTTACCAATCTATCTGCATGGAATATAAAATCACTCCTAGATGTGCTCCTAGAATATAAAACCAAAAACTTGCAACATGGTTTAATGCCACTTAAAAGTCATTCTTACTAGTACTCTAGGGACTCTTTGAAAACTTTGATGGAAATAAACACAAAAACAACAAAAAAATTACAAGCAATTATAGATAATAATTTTTGAAATTACCAAGAGTAAACACTTATTTGAATAAAAAGTATCATTGAGAAATAAAAAATTAAAATCCTTCCGAGATGACATTTGGTGTAAAAATTAAAATGCAATATCCCGAATGACCTGAAACCGACATGTAAACAAAAATTTTAAACTCAAATACGTAATAGGTTACTGAAATATAAGCTCTTGGCATTTATTAAAATGGGCACAATTGTTACTTGATAGTTTCTTTTGTTAACTGTTTAACAAAATAAAGAATCCATTGTGAAGTAGCACCGGTGCACGTGCCGTTTAAATTATTTTAACGTTAACAAATTTATGCTTACTAGTACAATATTTCAACTTACTTGTCGCGAAGCACTGTCTGTAATTCCTTTATTTGGTCGGTTATTTTCATTCGTATGAGATTAGGTCCTAAATCATCTTGTGTTTCGTGTGCAACTGAATTTTGAATCAGATCTGGTTCCATTTTCTCTACCTTGCTCGGTAAGTGTCGGTAAGAGACAAATACACGTTTTTTCAGCTACTGTTAGCTGATGTACACATGGTCAACCGCGTAGCGCACAAGTTTCTACGCTGCAAAATATAAACCACGGAGATTCAATCACTTTTAATAAGAATACATATCTATGTTTTGTTAACATTGGGCCATTTTCTAACAATGAATGGTTTTATCTAAATACCAAGAGATGTTTTACGTGTTCAAAGATGAAATGTTTTGTCAGATGCTAGCGGATGTATATTTTGTTTACAGCCCTATGTCGCCATCTACAGTTGTGTCTGAGTTGAAGGTCATGGCAGTGTTTCGTCTACTACAGCGACTTGATCTGTCACGCTGTAGTAAATTCACCCCCTGTATAGATAAATCCAAATCTCTTCACAGTTGTAATTACAGAAGATTTCCACAGTGCTCCTTTCTGCGACCAAAGACTTTTGGAATCGGTCCAGGTTACCAGGTACTTAACAAAATATGTTGAACTCGCACAGCAATTCACGGCCCTGATTTAACTGGAAGGGGAATGCGGGGTGGGGTTGTGGGGGGTAGTTGAAATATAGAATGAGCGCCCGCCACAGATCTAAAACACCAGCCATTACGTGGCCGTGGTCATTGCAGTGCAATCTATGTGTATAGTCAGAACAGTCTATTGGGAAAGGAACACGATTTATTCGCTATTTTGATTATAGAAAAAGCTAAATATTGCTTTTATTTCCCCTGCCTCTCCAAAGAGTCTTCTGATGGTGCTTGCACTCACTTGTCATTTATTATTTAACCATTCAAATAATGTAAGATTTAGTTTTAAAATATTTAGGGTTCTTGCCAGAGCCACTGAATTTGAAGTCATCATGCACAATTGGTTATACTGAACTTATAGCTCTGCATTAGTTTTTATATTAGAGGTGAAAACTCTGATTTAAATACGTAGCAAATAGATTAATAGGAGAGTCAAAAATTCTTTATATACATATTATAGGAATGTTGAATTATTTTTCGTGTAACATTTGAAATGCAATATTATTTTGTTAATGCTGGTTCTCTATCTTTAGACTAACAAACATTCTGAAAATCAATCTTTGCCATCATTTTTGAAAATCTTGTTTAATGAATGGCAACTGCATCCAACTGTTGGCATTATATGCATGAAACACAGTTGAATGTGAATAGTCTAATCAATATTTTAAGGTACTCTCTGAAACCAAAGTTACTGGTGTCCACAGATATGGCCACACCTCTGACGGGTCTGACCAGCAAAGAAGTGAGGCTGGGAACAAGGAAAAAAAGACCACTCTATCAAAGAACAACAAGAAAGAAATTAACCACTTCCCTGACGGACCAGACCAGCAAAAAGGTCAGATTGATGGCAAGGGAAAGCTTCCTGTGGACATATTATCAGGGAGCAAGGAGAAAGATGTCAACAACTGGCAGGTTTTGCGCAATTTGATGCGTTTTGTTTGGCCAGAAAATGATCCTGGAAGCAGGGTTCGAGTGGTCCTTACTGCCTCATTATTGGTTGCATCTAAGGTAGGTTGTGAAGTTGCTGAAACATGTTGGGGAGCACCTGAAAGCAGTACTTATTATAGGAGATTATAGATCATTTTCAAACAAAATCATTTTCCCCAAACAAAGTGATGGTACTCGTAAATGCAATGCATTATTAAGTATTGTTTCATTAAGTTTCTTATTTAGAGTTTAGAATTTTTGATTCATCTAAAAGCATTCAATTATTAAGCCAAGTTAAATACTGTAATGCCCTAGAAGGAACCTAATGTGCATTCTAAAGCCAGAAAGTTTGGAAATGATTGTCTATCTGACTGTCTGCCTGCGTGCAACTGTAATCCCCTCCCCTCTCCCTCTTTCATCTTCCCTTCCTTTATACTTGATTTTATTTGTCAAAAACTAAAGAAAATATAATAACAAATATTTTCTTAAGTTTTTTTATCCTTTATTTTATAATGATGTGTACCGTATGAAAAAATAAGTTCAAATGCTGAAGCGTATGATTATGAGTATGCTAGCTTTTTGTAATTTATAGTGCTATACTCGAGGTCTTCACATTGATTTATGAACCTGTTTGTTATTTTTAGGGTGTGACAGTCACCGTACCTTACATATTCAAGTGTCTGGTAGATAACTTGAATGAGCAAACAAATGCTTTGAACGTGGTTGGTGAAGCTGCAGATATGGTTTTTATATTGGTGGTATCATGTAAGTTATAGGTGGTTAACCTTTGTATCAACAGATATAAGATACAGGGGGAGAGAAAACCCTTGTATGCATTTCTTTTGTAAATTTCTTGATAGATAAATTTTATATAGATATTTGTTAGGTCTGTTTGTAGGCATTGTATGCCATACATTGGCTATATACTAATTAAAGGAAACGATGTGCTATATTGTTATACATTTGTATTTTAGTATCCAAGGCAGCAGTACTGGTTATATTGAATTTCATATCTTCCCTTGGAAAATATTTATTTTTTGGTTCAGATGCAAAATCTTGTTATCTTGATCCTGATTAAATGTTATGTCCTTGTTTATCAAATACTGTGCAACAACGGCAGTATTGCCATTTATTGCCTGTGACATTTTTTCTTACTTTCGTTCCAGATACTCTTGCGCGTGTGACTGCTAGTGTCTGTAACGAGCTGCGTAACTGTGTGTTTTCCAAGGTATCCCAGAGGTCTGTGAGGCAGGTCGCAAATAAAGTATTCCACCATCTTCACAGCTTAGACCTCAGCTTTCATCTGGGGAGGAAAACGGGAGCACTTCTTGATGCAGTTAACAGGGGGTCTAAGTATGTTTTTCACACACCTCTTTTCTGTAGATTTGATTGAAAGATTGAATTTAGTTTAGTTTATACCAGAATTCAGTTGAAAAAGTCCAGTCCAATCAGATACTTTTACTTCTCTTGAAGCAAATAACAAAATATGACAGTCTTCTAGAACTAGATATATACATTCTACATTATATTTTAAGTGTGAATGTGAATTATCTAAGATGTTAACATGTTACATGCCACTTTTTCTTTATTGTTACATGATTATTCATTTATTCCAGGGGCATCAGTTCCATCCTATCTACTTTAGTAGTGAATCTTATACCTACCTTATTTGAAGTCACTCTAGTCACTTGTATCATGGTAAGTCATGCCAGTCACTGGCCTCATGGAGAGTCATGCTAGTCACTGGCTTTATGGAGAGTCATTCTATGTTATTTACATGTATCATAGTTGATTTGGTAGAACTTTCTTATCAATGTGCAGTTGTATTGTTATGGAAATTATGAAAAATATGGAAAAATAACTTTATCAAATATTTGGCAATGGGGGAAGTGTTTAACATGTTTTTGTAACTTTTACATTAAGTACTTGTACATTTGGATTATCTCACACAAAAAAAAAAAAGAAAAAAACAAACAAACAAACAAGCAAAAACAAAAACAAAAAAATGAAGTGGGCTTATTTCCAAGTCAGTGTATTTCCCTGTTATCTTTAAGTAGATATGTGGTGAAAGAATAGCATTTTGTTTTTATTCCAGTATTACAAGTTTGGTGGGACTCTTGCCTTGGCTACTCTTGGCTGTGTTGGACTGTATGTAGCTACAACTTTAGCCATAACTACTTGGAGGTAAATACATATCTTTTTGGTTTTATGAAATATTTCCTTTGAATTTTAAATCTTGGACAATAAGGTTTATGGTTTTCTCGAGTATCCAGTATCATGTCATTCACATGGATAAATTTAAAGAGAAGAATTCAGGAAATTTTGTGTTTAATAGCTTTCATTGGTCATTCCAAATTTAAATATCACTTCCGATAAAAGATTCGGGAAATTTTGTGTATAATAACTTTCAGTGGTCATTCCAAATTTAAATGTCACTTTCAGTAAAAGATACAAGTATTGGCATGGCTTGTATGTGTTATTTGATTTATTAAAATCTTCTTTGACATAGAAACTAGAATTATAAATTTTATTAAATTTATTTGCAGAACAAAATTCAGAAAAGCCATGCAGAGAGCAGATGATTTATCAAGAAATAGACTGCTTGACTCTTTAACGAACTATGAAACTGTCAAGGTATGGTGAAAACACTTAACAATGTACTCGTATCAAACACCAGCTGTTCTGTATTCTACCCAATGCCAGGAGGAGGTGTGTTAATCTGTTAATTGCATTCAACAAGAGTCCCCATGGATTTTGTTCAAACTACCTAGTTCGATAGTTTCACTGTAAACACACCCTCACATCTCTTTCTGTATGTTATATTTCAGTACTTCAACAACGAACCATACGAGGCAAAACGCTACGACGAACCTCTAGCTAAGTCTGAAGATTCTAATATAAAGATAGCTTACAGCCTAGCCCTGTTGAATGGGACCCAGAACTTGATTTTGAATATAGGTATATTCACGGGAATGCTAATTGCCTGTAATGGAATTAAAGAAGGTATGTCATGGTATTTTAATATTAGGTTTGTCATGGTATGTAGGTATGTCATGGGATTTAGTAATTAAGTCATGGTATTTGGTAGGTATGTCATGGTGTTTTGTGACTCGATTTCACCACCTGGCAAACTTACAATGAAATGGTATTTTGATAAAAATTAAAAATGGGAAATGCAGTGTTGAAGAATTGGGCATGCCATTTACAGTGTACTGTAGGTAATGGCATGGATAGCGATGTCCCAGTTATCAATTTTCTCTGTATGATAGTAGCCTTTTAATATTCAAATTTTATCATGAAATTAATGAGAGATGATCATTCCAGGAAAGCAGAAGTTCACTGGCAAAATATAAATAAGAGTGAAAAAATAAGTATTATTTCAAAATAACAAGGTCTGGGTTCATTTGAAAATGAAACCACTTCTGCTCCTCCTGAAAACTGTTTTTTCCTACAAAGGTTTTCAAAAACAAATGTGAAGAATCTTTTAAGAAACTTTATGAAACACATCCCACTAATAAACAGTCTTGGACTCAAAAGATGATGATGAAAACATAACCTTGAATCCTTCATTTGCAGAGGTCATGACTTGTAATTGTTATTGTATAATGCTAGGTACGATGACAGTCGGTGACCTGGTGATGGTGAATACACTGCTGTTCCAGCTGTCTCTGCCTCTTAATCTCCTCGGCTCCAGCTACAGGGAAGTGCAACAGAATCTCATTGACATGCAGAGCATGTTTAAACTTCTAGGAGAGACTTCTTTGATAAAGGTAGAGGAAGCTTTTAATATTTCTTAACTTCTTTGGGGAGGGAGTGTGGGGTGGAGGAGGGGGGTTGAAAGTGACATGTGCGACTTAATAATGTAGGTAGCAATACAATTTCCCTGTATATGAAAAGCAATAAAGGCAATACTGGCATGTACAGTTGGGGTACGAAAGTTCAATAAAAGTATACATGTTAGATCATGAACTATATAAATGTGTTATTGATAATGTCTCTGGCTTTGTTACTAGTACATGACAATTAGGGCACATTCAGAACAAGCTGATCCACAGACTAGTTAGTCTATGGATCGATAAGTTGTGAATTCTCTCAATCAGCAAGGGAGATCTTCTCAGTGAGGTTTTCTTCTCAGGACAAGCCAGATGCAGTTGATTTGGTTTGCACCCCGCAGGAGTCGGAGATTCGATTTGAAAATATCCACTTTAGTTATGTCCCTGGCAACCCTATCCTGCAAGGCCTATCTTTTACAGTTCCCAGTGGAAAAAGAATTGCCATTGTTGGTGGCAGCGGATCAGGGTATGGTAATAAACATAAATGTTCAAACACCTTGCAAATTTTAAAAAATAAATTCGTCAGGGTTTCCCTTTTTGTATCTCAAAATGGTTAACTGTTGTTAAACACAAAGCCAACGAACATCTCAAAATGTTGAAGCAACATTTTTAAGAATTTTTTAAACAAAACAGTTTAAATCTATGAAAAAAAGACTTACGGACATTTTATATCGCTACTTGTAGTTTTACATTTATGCACAGACGGTGCTATTGACATTAACATGATAAATCATGATTTTATCTCCTGAAATGTTTGAATTGAAAATTCTAAATAATGCATAATTCTCTTTATTACAGAAAGTCCACAATCATCCGGCTACTGTTCAGGTTTTATGATCCTGAGCAGGGGAGGATACTTGTAAATGGGCAGGACATCAGAGACCTGAAGATGGACAGTCTGAGGAAAGAAATAGGGGTTGTACCTCAGGTGAGAGAACTGTTGAGGAAGGAAATAGGGGTTGTACCACAGGTAGGAGAACTGTTGAGGAAGGAAATAGGGGTTGTACCACAGGTAGGAGAACTGTTGAGGAAGGAAATAGGGGTTGTACCACAGTTGAGAGAATTCTACTGAGGAAGGAAATAGGGGTTTGTACCACGGGTAGGAGAACTCTGTAGAAGAAGGGAATGGGGGTTGTACTACAGGTAGGAGAACTCTATTGAAGGGAATGGGGGTTGTACCACAGGTAGGAAAACTCTATTGAAGGGAATGGGGGTTGTACCACAGGTAGGAGAACTCTATTGAAGGGAATGGGGGTTGTACCACAGGTAGGAAAACTCTATTGAAGGGAATGGGGGTTGTACTCTATTGAGTATTAGTGTCTAGGCTTATCTTAGATATGGCATTGTTTGAGAGTGTATGTAAGATATACTAATGTTCAGTTGATCAATATAATATTTACTTCTTTTGCCTTGCAGGACACTGTATTGTTCAACGACTCAATCTTCTACAACATAAGATACGGCAATGTCAACAAAACTGAAGAAGATGTTTACTATGCTGCAAAGCTTGCTGCAGTACACAAGTCTATTATGGGCATGCCTCAGCAATATGACACTCAGGTCGGGGAAAGAGGATTAAAATTGTCAGGTAACATGTCAGTATGTCTCACCATGAGACTTTGCACAGGTTATATGTCTGTAATGATATAAACAGCTGGGAGGCTGGGGGCCAAGTGTATTAAAACTGATTATTCAACAAAGGAATACCTCTGGAGTTGGTGCAACCATATACGATGTGTTGTTCTGCAGACCTCTGAAATTTTAACTAAGGTGATTTTTCATTCCAGTGATATTTATTTTATGGTTTAGGCATAGGATAAAAATAAATTATGACTTTGATTCATACATTTAAACTGTGCATGTTATGTTATGGTATTGGCTTTGATGTTGTGATAAATGATGCACATTTCCTTTGCTGTGATTGGTCAGATCTTTGATTGATTACTTGCATCCTTTACTCTAATTGGTCAGATCATATTAAAATATTTCTTCGATCATGTCAGAGGTTCTCAAAATTGACCATAAAATGAACAGGTAAGATTTACTGTGCTCATTGTATTAAATGGAAATAAATTCCTTTTACTTAATCTCAATTTAAGTAAAAGGAATTTATTACCATTTACTTAATCTCAATTTAAGAAAAGGTTTACATAATCTGTTGCTAGGATTTCATATCACTTTTCTGTGTAGGTGGAGAAAAACAAAGGATTTCAATTGCGAGGGCAATCCTGAAAGATCCCCCTGTGATTGTGTACGATGAGGCCACCTCCTCTCTGGATTCCATCACAGAACAGGTAGGTGAAATCAGCTTTGTGTGTGTGCGTGTGTGCGTGCGTGCGTGTGTGTGTGTAAGAGCGCATTCAGAACAGATGATCTGTGAACTAACTGATCCCCTGGACTAAACATGGCCGACCCCACTTCAAAATTGATGCCACTAATTCCCAAGTGGTCTCCCCGCCCCCACACGCATCATTGTTGCAGGGGCCAAGCAATTTTAATTATGTTTATAAACTGCAATACCAAGATTTAATCCGTTTAATGGCGCATGTGGAGGCAGAGAGGCCATCAGGGATTAGCAACATGGCTTTTGAAGTGGGGTCAGCCAGTAAGTCCACAGATTGTCAGTTCTGAATGCACACTAAGCTAAAAATGTAAATGGATAAAAACTGCTCTTATGAGATTCATATTTCACAACTTCACATTGTAAACATTCCAGTTATTCTGAAATCTGTGCTTGCCATCAGACCATATAGACCTTCATACAAGGTTATACATTGTTATACATAATAACCTCCGAGATTATTGCAAAAAACCAAACTTTTTAGAAAAAAAAAAATGGACTTACTTTGAATGTTGGAATGGTAAGTATGGTAAAACCGTTGTTTTTTTTTTGTTTGTTTTTGTTTGTTTGTTTTTGTTTTGTTTTTTCACGCCAAAACAAATGGTTATCCCTTTATTACAGTATGATACATTTTAATAAATTTATGGTCAGAAACCTTATCAGTTCCTTGTAAGAAACACTCCATTTTAACTTCAGTCTCCTATATAACTGTTCTTTTTTCAACCTTTCTATAGTACAGGCCCAATTATTTCCTGCACATGATATATCGGGTGCACTACATTATCCCTTTAACTTGATGCAACAGCAGTGGCTTTGTGAAGTTCCATAGGCCCCGTTTACTGCTGTGAATCTTCAATCTAATTCTCAATCTCAATTTTTTTGTTCCAGAACATTCTCCAAGCCCTGGACAATGTGACCAAGAATAGAACCACCATAGTTGTTGCTCACAGACTCTCTACTGTAGTTAACGCTGACGAGATCTTGGTGCTAGAGAATGGAAGAGTAGCAGAAAGGGGGAGCCACTATCAGTTACTTTCATATCCAGGCAGTCTTTATGCCGAACTGTGGAGCAAACAGCATGAAATGGCCTTAAAAGATGCAAATAACAATAATGCCAATGATAGTATTAAAACAGAGGAGGACCTGCCAAGCTAATGCAGGTTTTGCCTCAAACATTTCTCTTGGACTAGTTTACTCCAGGCAAGCATATACCAATATTTTGATACCAGTACTTTTAAATAAATTAAATTTTTTTTTTCCAAATATAAAATCAATAGACACCGTCAAATCAAAATAACTACTTAAATTTTCACTATTAAGATCAGACTAGTAACTTGAAAAAAATGACATTGTTTGTGGTCAATTACTCTGGTCATACTGTTGCCTTGAACCAGTGGGGTACATAATAAAATCCAAATATTACTCTTGGAGCTTGATTTTGTGAAGATTTTCTTGAGCAGTATTTTTTTAACATTTGTAACAGAAGTGCATAGATTTAATATCTTACGTGGTATTAAGGCAAATCAAGAAGAAAACTTTTAAACTTTGGGATAAAAAAAACACTAAAAACTTATAGTCTAAGGCTCTATTCCCATAGATTTTTAGATCGATCTATCCCCGACAGCTATTTAGCGTGAACCCCCAGGGAGTTAGGTCGATCTAAAGTAGGTCGATCTCATCTCTGGAAATGGGGTGTTAGAAGTGTCAAGGTGAAGCATTAGGATAAAGTTTTAAATGTATGATTTTTACTTACAAGTCCATAAATATCGATCGATTGTTGAACTTTTCTTCGGACAATTAATACTATTGGATCACTGTGTCATTAACTGTATCAGTTAAGCTGATTACACTCAGTAAGAATGGCCGCAGGGCTGGATTGATATAAATAAGCTGCATTCACAACAGACGATATGGGGACTAACTGATCTGCAGACTAAGTTTGTCCAACCCCAAGTAAAAGCAATGCCGCCTCATCATCTACTGGTCTCCCCACATCCACAGGCACCATCCCTCCGGGGGGCCGAGCAATTAAACCTCGGTGTCAGGATTTATTCCATTTAAGGTGCCTGTGGACATGGGGAGACCATCAGGGACTTTCTTTTTAGTGGGGTCGGCCAGGTCAGCTAATATGAATGCGACCATAGACCCTTGGTGTCTATTGGAATGGGGGTCATAGACTGGGTTCCCACAGATTTAGATCGATCCATTTGGATGGACCTAACTCCCTAGGGGTTCATGCTAAATTGCTGTCAGCTTCCGGGACCGAGCATGCAGGAAAGTTAATTACCCCCTTACAGCTTTTAGTAGGCGGGACAGCCGAGTAAGCTGACAGCAATCTAGTGAGACTCCCCAGGGGGATAGATTGATCTAAATATCTGTGGGAATGGTCTCATAGAAGATGATACATACACATAACAAAATGGTCTGTTTCTTTTAAGTCACATACTTATCTTAATATTGGTGCAAAAGAGATAAACACTTACAGGACATATACTCCCTTTTTGTTGCTTTCTTCACCAACACAGGCATTTCAAACATGAGATATTCCAGCATTCATCAGTTTTTTTTTTTTTTTGCTTTATAAATTTGATAGTTATTAGTTATGCCCCGTAACTATTGTCATGATAATTGGCATGACTGATGACTTGGTTGTGAACTTTAATCTGGTTTTGTTTTAAATTTCTTTGTTTAGAAGAAAAGCCCCCAATTACCATTCTCTACTAAACACATGCTTTATTTCACCTGGTTACTGATAAAAGTAGAAGTAAGCCTTTTTAAGAAAATTTGCTAGTAGTTCTTAAATTTGTGATTAAAAAGGCCCTTATATGTGAATTCTCAGGCCACTTATTCGGAACAGATTGTGAAATCCTTCAAATGTGGAAATTGTGTTTTATTTATTATTATATTTTTTGGAAACTGGAGCAGTCTTTGCAGTAGCAGTGCCCATTAGCATGGCACTTGCCAGGAGCGGATCCAGGATTAGGCCTACCCAACTACCAGACCCAGCACCGAATGATCCTGAATTCACCGTTAGATCGGACCACACTACCCGTTTTCAAGATGTGCATCAGTACACATTTCACAGTATCACACCTCCGTACAAATTTTGAGATGAGGGGCACTACTTTCCAACCTCAGTTAGAAACATCACTATCACATCCTGCACTAGGCAAGAGCAGTGTCACGTCTGATACTTTGTAGCGCATAATTACCCCCCCCCCCTCCAAGTTGGTCATTTGAGGTTTTGCGTTCTTCTCACCTTCCTGTACTAAAGGAATACACTGTCAAAAACTGAGACATTTCTTATCAAATATTAAGTGAAAAAAAAAATGAAGGTTCTTTTCAATCCCCTCCCTACCTCTTGTTTTTATTTGATTGAGGAATTTATGTATAAATTACATACTCTTAAGTTTAAATATTTAAGTCAAACAAATCATGTATAATTGCCCAGTCATCATTTACTTGTGATGTAATAAATAATAAGATTTTGTCTACTTCTTTATTTCAAGGTAACATTAAAACGGGTGTACACTTTTTACACATCTATAAGGTGAACTAGTCGGACATAAAATATACCACAATATTTAACATAAGTCAGAGTGAGAATTTTTTCCATTCTTCAAAAATAAAACGATGAAGATGTCACCGCCATAGTTGCCAAGTTCCAATCAAGACGGGTATAGCATTAGCCATATTTCAAATGTCCACATTTTCATTACAGGGTCAACCTGGAGGGGGGTTGATCAAGACACCACAACTCCACCACCTTTATCAGTAATAGTCTGTCCCCATACTTTAACACTGACTCTGTGCTACATGTGATCCCAAGTAATTATGTCAGTACTCATTTATGTTAAGATTCATGAACTTTTAAAGCTAAACATGAAGGTTTTTAAACATACACACAAGAACACAATCTTTTAGCTGAGAAAAATGTAAAACTCCAAGTGGTTGAGATACAATTTGCCTTTTTCAATCATACTACTAAAGATTCAGATGCCGAAATGGTCTGGTTCACATCTAGCGAGTCTGGTTCCTGATCAATGGCAGCTGTCCATAATCGTCTTCTAAATCAATGCTCTCATCAAGCACTCCAAAGTATCCTAACTTCTGGGTAACCTTGAAAAATAAAGAATTTATTTATCAACATTCCGTAGCAATTCAGTTCTTTGCAAAAAAATTTCACTCCCCCCCCCCCCCCAAATTTTTCTAAGTCCACTCAGTACTGAAAAATGTAAATGTGGAAAATATTGTATCTGAAACAAGGCAGCAAAGCTGTCAAATGTACAGACAAAAAGCAGGAAATAACTATGCACAATAAAGGCTACTGTCAATTCTGATGCGAAAGTACGTTATGTTAAACTGCAAATTCAACATCAAATTTTAATTATGCTCAACAGGTATTACCAATGTAAGTAAATGTGTAACAAGTATAAGGCTTCAGGCCCATGGGAGTTCAAGTTCACACTTTGAAAATGTATAACTNGCCTATGGAACTTCGAAGTAACACCTTGAAAATGCCAATTTGTGAAAAATTAAATTTTCACGAAAAAACTGTTTAACTGGCAGAAAGAATTACCAAACAGATTGCATTGCCTACTGAAGCTGTATTTTAGTCCCATGTTTCTTTCCTGTAAGTTTGAGAACAGTAAGTGACATGGTTTTTCTTAAATGGTCATCATGGGAGCAGTGCCCAAAATAGGTTTTTTTTTCAAATTTTGATGCAATATTATATAATGTTTAACAGCATAATGACCATCAATTCTTAATAATAAAATAGATGAGATGGAAAAAATATCAATAGAGCAGTGTTAACTGTCCAATTTCTTCCATTCTGAGATTCTGAACATAGTGAATGATTGAATCTGACAATGATATGAGTTTATTTCCATTTTTGAAACTTTATTACACAATACACGATAACAAGTTTACCATCATTTTTACAAAATCAACTGACAATGTTGTATAGATGCAGGAAATGTCAAACAAACACTTTTACATATCTTATTAATTAAATAATGAAACTGTTAACATGCCTAAGAATTCAATCTGAGGAAATGTGAAAAAACAGCGTAACTTCTAAAATAATGGCTCGATTATGCTGATTTTTTAACTCAACCTGCGTTTTAGCAGGATTGACCACTCCTGTGAGTTCAATGACAATTGGCCAATCTGTTTTTCTTATATTGTGTTTACAATGTTGTATATATGCTGAAAAGTGAAACAAGACAGTGCTCACTGTTCTGAAATGTTTTTTTTTTTATTTTTAACAATTTTTTTAACATAAAATTAACAGTTTACTGCCATTTTTATATGATCAACTAAAAAAATTGATGAGATCGGAAAAATATCAATAAAACAGTGTTAAATGTCCAATTTCTTCCATTCTGAGATTCTGAACATAGTGAATGATTGAATCTGACAAACCGCAATGATATGAGTTTATTTCTATTTTTGAAACTTTATTACACAATACACGATAACAAGTATACCATTATATTTACAAAATCAACTAACAATGTTCTAAAGATGCAGGAAATGTCAATCAAACACTTTTACGTATCTTATTAATTAAATAATGAGACTGTTAACATGCCTAAGAATTGAATCTGAGGAAATGTGAAAAAACAGCATAACTTCTAAAAAAAAAAAAAAAAAAAAAAAAAGGCCCAATTATGCCGATTTTCGAACTTACCTGCATTTTAGCAGGATTGATCACTCCTGTGAGTTTAAAGACAATTGGCCAATCTGTTTTTCTTATATTGTGTTTACAGCGTTGCATATATGCTGAAAAGTGAAAAAAAAGCATAACTACTAAAATAGTGGCCCGATTATGCTGATTTTCGAACTCAACCTGCGTTTTAGCGGGATTGATCACTCCTGTGAGTTTAATGACAATTGGCCAATCGGTTTTCCTTGAAATGTGTTAACAGTGTTGCATATATGCTGAAAAGTGAAAAAAACAGCATAACTTCTATAATAATGGCCTGATGATGCTGATTTTGCAAACTTGACCTGCGTTTTATGAATATTTATCAGCTCTGTAAATATAAAGCCAAAAACTAAAACTGCCTTCCACTTGTCGTGTTTACAATGAAAGTGCACGGCACCGGCATCGGCGACGACAGGCGCAGGTGATGGCAATATGTACAGACACATCTGTCTGTACATAAAAATGTACGTCATCTGGGTCCTTTCCACATAATGACTTTTAGCCTTCTTTGCTGCATTTTACTAAGAATCAAAAAGACCATTTATCTCTTCCTATTACTCCCCAGTCTTTTCACTAAGCCCAAAAAACTTAGAGTGATTGTCTTGACAGTTTTTTAAATTCACAATAGTCAATTTTAGATAAGTCAGCACCATTTAATGGAGAGTATTCTTGGATAATATGATCTTAAACAAAGATGACTTCATGTACAAGTCAGCTATTCAGTCTATCCCCACCCCCCAAAAAAGAAAATAAATAATAATAATAATAATAATAATAATAATAATAATAATAATAATAATAATGAAAACAGAATTACTGCAAAATAGGCACTAAGTCAGCCCCCCCCCCCTCCCTACCAAGGGAAAAAAAAAACAATTCTGTCACAGGTTTTAAACCTCTATGACTTTTTACACACCACAATATCCAAAATGTATTTTTTCACTGACCAAATATAAAGCTTTTTTCCTCACCGTATTCCATGTATTTTATTTAATTCACTTCTCACATGACTGTGGTAAGATGAATTTCCCTTCCTCCAAAGATCTTTGACCACCACAGTATGGTTGTACCCTGCAAGTTTTAGGTACAGTAAAGCTGCCTTCGTTTCACCTGTAAAGAAAGATAAACATACACTGTTAGCATGGAAAAACTAATGTATAACTGAAAGAGTGTAGTGTACATGTGTAAATTTACTGAGTTAATACTGAGGGCACCTTTTCCTGAAGGCATAATTGTACAGCAAAATACTGACTTCACAAAAAAAATATAAAAAAATAAAAAATTATTAATAAATAAATAAAAAAGTAAATAAATAACTTGAAAAAAATCCAATCAGGTTGGCTTTTTTAAAGGTACATACGAACCGAGCATCGCTGGAGCGTGGATTCCCAGTAACACATGTAAACCACTTCTACTAGATTCTTATGCGACTCAAATAAATTTGACATGCCAAGGGATAAACTGAATAGATCACTCGATCAGCCATGAAAGACCTTTAGACTGCTCCTTTCTTTAAATTTTTGGTTGTAAATTTAACCTACTTTCGTGACCTATTTTCCTGCCCCATTGACATACAGCTTAGAATGCCAGCAGAAAAATCAGTTCAAACATCATTTTCAGGTAAAATTAAACAATGCCTTTTGGTAATTCTCTTAGTTATACTACTTGAAACTATATGCTGGCATCTGGTTGGTTTTTGTGACAAAAATTGCCTTTGTATGCATCTTTAAGTAAAACTGTCCTTTAATCAAGTGAATCCAGTAAGGGCTAAGAATTATGATTTTCACCGTTTTCTCTCTATTGCATGACAAGGACTGTGCAATTTTTTTTTCAATTTCGATATAAGATCAGTGTTTACCGTGCATTCATAGGAGCAGCGTGAACGCTACGCTTAAATTCTCAGGTGCCCTGGTTTTAAGAAACAACACCTCAAAGGGCTAAATTGCAAAGTTCTTTTTTCTATCAAGCTACAACAAGAACACATTGCCTACCAATACAATAGTCACCTTATATAAACTTACCATTTAAGTCTGGCTTGTTAAAACAGACATGATAATGACGCAGAAGCCACACTGCTACCCTGCTCCATCCTTCTGGCAAGGCAGACATGTTTTCCATTTTAAGTAATCCAGTTTGGTCAAAGGCTCTGGGCACCTGCTTCACGTCTACAGGTTCATTAAATTCATTCAAACAAAATTCCACAACTGGATAAGAAATGGCAAGAACTGGCATGATTCTTGCCGTGTGGGGACCACCAAGAATCATCCGTACAGCTGCTAAGAGCCCCTGAAATCCCAGTTTTTGGCAAATTTCATTCAAGCAATCTGCCTGGTCTTGAATACTATGGAGTTTGTAGAGGGTTGGTGGAATTTGCTTGACATATTTGTCAATTTTGGCTACTTCTAACCTTCCACACAACTTCACGAGATGTCTCATCCTATCCACATGTCCCTTGCCTTCATTCACACTATCTATTTCCTTCATTAGATTAGAGCCCAAACAACAATCTAGTATTCCACTGAAGTCTTCCTGATAGCCATGGCCCATCAAATGACAAGCAATGCTTATTAATTGGAAAGAGGCGGCGTTTTCCCCCTGATTTTGCATTAAATCACTAATTTTTGTTAAAAAAGCAATGCTTGGCTTGCAATCCATTTGTAGGTGAGCATCAACTAAGTGCCGAACCTCACCAATATCATGTGAATTAGCCATGAAGTTCTCAACAACTTTCAAAAGCATTTCATGATCAGAATAGCACATTTTTTTACTAGCAAAGGAGCTCAAGATAGCCACCTGCTGCTTTAATGGCAAAAGAGAAGCATGCTTCTTGAATAATTCAGCAAGTTCTGTAACATACTGCATGTAATGTTCTTTCAACTTCTGAAAGCTGATCAACTTCAAAATCCATTGAACTGACTCTAAAGCCTTTATCTTCTCCTCTTCAGGTTCATCACTAAGCAATGACTTTTGAAGAATCTTCAAAATCTTCCTTGAAATGTCCTTGGACACCAAATGCTGAACTTTAAAACAGAGTTGGACATATGCAAAAATGAAATTGGGTTTTAATTGTACGGCAATGTTTTCATTATAAAAATACCACAATTCAAGCTTTGGCAAACACAATGTAACATCTTTAACATCCACCCATTTTCCACCTTGTTCATGGGAAACACGAACTGCAACTTCAAAAAGTCTAAGAAATATTCCATCATCAGGTTCCTCCATTAACTCACTCACGATGTTCTTCAAGAAATAACGGATTTCTTCTTCAAAGTACTTCTGCTTATGTATTGCAGACAGGTATATGCACCAGAAAGAGAAATGAGTCTTAGAATATAAATCCCATTGTGGCCATAACTGAGACGAGCATTTCTCCACTTCCGCATAAAAGTGGAGGACTTCTGAAGTTGGACGAATTATGCCCCCAAATAACAACAATCTGCTTAATGTCTTTGGGTTACTTTCCTTCATCAAACCCTTGTTGAGGATGGTTTGCAGGGCTGATGATAACCTTTCATCTTGCAATAAATGACCATTTAGGTGGGACGTAGGTGGTTCCTTCAAAAGACAGCAGACAGCCCACATATACCGTAGCACTCCGTCAAGGCTATCTGCACTACCTTCATTCTCGTAATCACGAATAATCTCTGCTACACTCCGTCCTTCGAGGTCCCACTGATTTTTTTCAAAACTGCGTTGAAGTGTTCTGATGAAGTGAAGGTCAGCTTGTGTTATTTTTGTGCTGTATGGTCGCTTAGTTCTTACGATATTTCTCTCCAACGACCAACCCCTACACATCTTCTGGGGGTTTTGGAGTTGCGTGACGGCACATGCACAGCATCGTGAAGGTTCAGCAAAACGCTTCGCTGTATTGCCAACATAGTTGTGTCTACTGCCTATACGGTAGAGATATCTCAGTGCCGAATAAAACATGATTCATAGTCCAGTTTCCCCGCACTGGACATGTCCACGAGGTCAGTCCCTGTTACGTGTGAATCGTGGATACAAGTCCCCGTGTTGGGCGGAAATGTACATGCGCATGCGTCACAAGAAGCAAGCTGACTGATGACGTCAACAAAGTGGGCAGCTGCTCTAGCTCCTGACTACTTCGATCAGTAACACCTCACTGACCTCATCTCAAGCACGCTGGATCCGCAAGATGTTGCCTGGAATGAATTGGCATTATCAGCACCCTGACAGAGAGTTATAACATCTGCATAATAATAATAATAATAATAATAATAATAATGTCTTCTTATAAATTTTTAATAATTTATGTTTTTTAAGGTTTTAACAGTTCCACTAAGGCTGAAATTTGTATATAATAATAATAATAAATTGCCTGCGACAATTTTATCAAAATTCTGCTTCTTAACCTATCACTATACAATAGTAGCTGAATAGTCGTTTGTACGAATGATAATTAAGGGATGATGAATAATTTAATAAGCAGTATGACCTTTAAGTGGGAATTATATATGTTTTCTATGATTCTATCAGTTAAACATATATTAGGTGTGTATTTTTCTAGAGCTTCTGGCAAGAAATACTGAAAATTTCACAGTAAGGGCAACTCCAGCTAGCACTCGATCGTCTTTATTGGTTTGCAAATCATAAAATGAAGACAAGAATATGTGTGTGCTTAATGGGATAACTGGTTCCTTTCTATTCCTTGAGATTGCTTAGGGTCATTTTATGGACAAAATAAAGGAGATGAGCATATTTTTGTCAGAAAGAGAAAGGTATAAAATTGAGATTAGGCCAGGCAAAATTGAAAAGTTGCTCAACAAGCAACACTCTAAGTAAACAGGATGTGGTGATTATATTTATTTTTGTTTTCTATCAGTTAAAATTTGGATCTGTAAACTTTTTTTTTATTTTCCCCTTTTTTTCGATCTAATTTTGACTCTCTTTCTTATGTTTTCCTTTTTACCTTTTTTTGTAGGAGTAAGAATGGTCAAATTCAGAATGTGGGCAATTTTTAGCATGAAAGTGTTTCCTGGGGTCAGTACTTGGAGATAATAAGAGTTCCTTTTTATGTCCAAGGTCAGTAGTAAAAAATTAACAGTACCAAGGGTACCCCTTCTGTGTGAAAAAAATAGTGATGTACAGTATAAGAACTTGGACCTAAATAGAGAAGATCTCTATTTACTATAGTAGGTCCAAGATAAGAATGATCAAAAATAAGCGTGGTACTTAAATGTTTTAATTCTAGGCCATGCTTTTCGGAAAGAAAAAAATATCAAAAATTAAAACATATATCACCCATAAATATACAATTCTGTCATTCCAAAAGTGAAATGAATGGCATATTATATTAACGCAGTCCTAACGAGTTTTCCTTATCCGAGTGTTTACAAACAGCACATCACATGACATTCATGTGACTCCTGAGTCATGTGCGCATGAGCGAAATGGTAAAAGGTACCGAAGACGATGGGTAGTGATTTTCTAGATTTTTTGGTTTTTATATTTTTCTTATTCATATCACGGTGTTGTGCCGATGATTGCAAGATAGGGGAGATAGATCTCAGCCCATTACAACGGTAAGTAAAGTTTGAGATGTACGAAATGTCTATCATGTTTTTTCTGTACCGCGTTGTCGAGATCGGGCCGAGCTAGCTGCCAGAGCCTGAGGGACAAGAACTTGAACCTCGATCTTTTCTCTTGTTGTGGGTGCCGAGTGAGTGCTCTCTCTGGAGGGAGTATCCACTATTCTGTTACATGGCAGATCTGCCACCCGCCACGGTACATTTCACGGTTCATCTTTTTTTGTGTTTGACCCTTGAACTGACAGTGTTCTCGTGAAGACCCCCCCCCCCAGTCTGTGTTTACTTCAACCAAAGGTTATCCTATTCTGTTGTATCTCAGCCATTTGCTGCTGAGACATTTGCATTGGTAACTTAACTTTGGTTTCAATATGATTTTTAGACCTCTTGCCAAAGCAGCAAATCAAAAAGACAAAATAAAACAATTAAATCACTGCAATTTAAAGAGTACTAGCTAGTACCTGTAATAGTTCCACTTTCAGTATGACTAACAGGAAATTATCCTGTTTATGAAACCTTTGTTTCGAAAGAAAAATGTTGCATGGACAAGTATTTGGTCTGTTATAATGGTGACATTGCCAGTAGTTTATCATATATCTTTTCATATGTAAAATGCATTTCAGGGCGAGATCCAGGATTATTTGAAGGGGGGATGGGGGGGGGGGGGATCCAGAACGACAGGTCTTGGAGGCAAACCCAGCCATAACCCCCATGGAGTGAGGTTCAGGACTTGCCCAAGGGCCAGTGTTTGCCTCTTAGGAAAATTAGTTGCTGGACCAAAGGTCCAGCCATCCTGACAAGTAGCTGGACAGAATGGGAAAAAATAGGAAAACTTCTCAGCCCGTTCTGAAAGTTGTCTGCCCCGGGCAGACGGTCCAGCCTTAATTTCTAACACTGCCAAGGGCCATGGAAAATTTTTGCTGTTTTGGAGAGCAAACAGTGCCCATTGATATGGTTTAGGACCATAATTTAGCTAGTCAAAATTCAATTTTCAAGAGGGGAATGTTGGTGTGATATATTTTTCAGAAACCGAAGGGAGGGGGGTCAGGACCCCACTGACCCCCCCCCCCCTCTAAATCAGCCACTGCATTTAAATAATTTGAATTTCTAGGGTACCATGGATAGTCAAGACCGATACTAATGCCAGTGGCCAAGCAACAGACTATAAGATAAATATTTGTGGAGAGGTTCCAGGTTCCAGCTGTCCAGCAGGGACATCAGTGTGTAGGACCCGTGGTCAACAGGCTGTGTCCATTGGAAACTTGACCAGCTCTTTGGTGTACCATGAAACCCCAACCAGAAGAGAGGTGGTTGTAAATCTCACAGGATCTCCATGTGCGGAGGTGCCCGGAGAAAACTTGAAGACCTTCATTATCCTGAAATGTGGAAAAACTTTGGTATGTATAATAAAGATTTATTGTACAAATGCAGGCGTGGGGAAACTGTCGGTCCGACTGGTCATGACCGCCTGAAAAGTCAGAGGACTGCCTGGATCTTTGATATTGCTTGTCCTCTGGACTGGCAAGGTTTTTGTGGAAATACTATACATAAATATTAATCTCACATAAACATTGAGCTATGGACCTGCACATAATTAACAGAACCTGCAAGCATTTTTAGTACTGTTCCTGTGGGCCTCCAGTACCTCCAAAATTTTCCCCGGATCTGCAAATAGAAAAATTCAATTTAAACCTACAGGTGGATAATAATTTGAAGTTTACTTGCAACTGAGAAATTTAGAATGTGCAAATTAATATTTTGCTGAGAATTTAATGAAAGCAAAAGCAGATAAAAGACTACTGGACTTAGCTGATGATTTCTGGGAAACGGATATCAACTTACTAGTTGACATTCTGTAGATTATTTCTAGGAAACCAAAATCAATACATACACATGGGCGTTAACAAAAAAAAAATTATTCATGTGAGTTAAAATGAAATACATACTACTGATATCCTTACCTTATTCAGTAACTGTTCATTTTGGGATTTTTTATGGGGATTTTACGTCTTAATGAAACAAGCTTTAGAATGTTTCTGTAATTGATTCATGAAAATTAAGTGTTTATTTTTCTGAATGAATTAGTCATCTGTGAATCATCCTTCTATTACAGTATTTTTTATGCTTTTTGCTGAGAATGAGATACTGCGTGCACATGCTGTGACTGATTTATGATTGCATTTTATAGACCAGAGGTTGCATATTAAGAAAATATGAGATCTGAAATTTGTGGTGTTTCAGGGGCAAAAATCTTTATGTATTTATGCTGATGGGAGTCCAAGTATTTCAAAGCAAAATTGTTAATTTTTGTGTAACTGTTGTTCTATGAAATCTAGATATTAATATATGGACAAATAACTGTAATGTAAGAAAGAATAACTTGAAAGAGACTACAAAATGCTTAATTTTTTTTTCTGATTTCAGATTATTAAAGCTATGGAGTATTGTCCTATGTTTCAAAACAGACATGATTCCATTACTGGTTTCACCAGTGCATGTAGACAATTTATACTTACCATTACTACAGATCTCTTCTGTATTTGTTAATAAAATCTCTAACTTTATTACCATTCCAGGGTTCTCCAGTTTTCCTAGACTCGCACCTCTGTGACACATACTTTGAATGGCATACTACAGCTGCATGTAAAGATGACCATAGCGAGATACAGGAGCCGTGTTATATCTATGACGCTAACGGCCAGAAACACGATCTAAGTCCGCTGATTAAGCTAAAAGGAGGACATCAAGTCAATAAGGCTTCCAGGACCTATGATTTTTATATCAATATTTGTAGAGATATTACCCCAGGTAGGAACCTCTCAGTTTCTTTAAGTAGTCATATTTATGTTCTGAGTTTGATAAATATACAGGTGTGCCAGTGGGGTTTATGTTAGAATGTGTTAGTTGTGACGTCATATGGAGTGTGGCATGGTAGTGGATGTGACATTGTGTTAGGTGTTACAGCAGATATATTGTGACTTTGTATCAGTTGTTGTGACGACATGTAGATTGTGACACTACAATAGGTGAGATTTGTTGTGACTGCTTATTAGGTGAAACAGAATGTTGGGTGTAACTGTTGTGGTAGATATGAGAAAATAATGATTATGACATTGTAGGAGATATGAATGTGCTATTTTTATGGATTATGCACAGAAGTAGGACAGTATTTTGTGATGTCTTTAATGTATCTAGAAACAAATAAATGTATAAATGAAAGTAGACAAATGAAGCAAATGGAATAAAAATAAATCAAAAGAAAAAACGTGCGTGTATGTGCAGTTAAAATAAATATATACATATTCACAGCTGTTCAGGTAGCATTTACCTTTCATATTAAGCTTAATGAATTTGTTGTAAAATTATGTTGCTTTGGCACATGTCAGATGAGTCCACGCAAGGCTGTAGTGGCAGCAGCAGCTGCTATATTGTAGATGGGAAGGCATATGGAATGGGCCGTCCTCGCGATGGACTGAAAATTACTGCCGATGGGGAGTTAATGCTGCACTATACAAGTGAAGAAACTCCTGCGATCTGTACACATCCACCTTCCACTACAATAAATTTCATTTGCCCAAAGAGAGGAGGGGTATGTTTGCATTTTACATTGCCATAGTGTTTTTTTTTTGTATTCTAATTCAAAAGAACTCATACAACAAACAAATAAAGCACAAGAAAAATGTACTTGATATATACTTCTTTTCACATCAGTATTAGATACCTAATTTCCTATATAACGATCCATTATTTCAAAGCACCTACTATTTTGCACATGGCAATCAATTGTTTTCAAGCTCAGATTAATCAATTAGTTCATGCTCAAATCTTATTCCTTCTTTTGACCGTTGGTTTCTGCCTTAGGGGAAAGATCCTGAGTTGATATCAGATGCTGACTGTAATTACCGTGTTAACTGGGTCACCGAAGCCGCCTGCCATGAAGATTTCCTGACCTCAAAATCTTGTAAACTTTCCAAAGAGCAACATGATGTAGACTTTGATTTGACGCCACTGAAACATATTCCAAGTAAGTAGTATAGATGTTCCTATATAACTTGAGCCATTTTTACGTGGAGTCTTGCTGATCATCCTACATTCAGATTGTTATAATATTGAGTAAGTTTTGTTAGTTTTCATAGTGAAAAGAAACAAAATCTTGCAATATTTGAGCATTTCATTACTGAGAACTGGATGGAGTATCAGATATAAAGAAGTGTGGAGGCAAGGTTATGAGCCTGAGTGTCTTGTAGACCCTATCATAAAATGGTCTCTCTTTCATTTTTAAATTGGTGTACATTGTAACTCATCTCCCCTCTAATTTTGTTTGCTGCCCCCACCCCCACACTCACACACACTCACTCAGCCAAAAAAGGCAATCGCTTGTTTACTTATTTATGTTTCAATTTAAAAATAGCTTTATCTTGCTGAGGTTTAATTTCATCCACATAAGTAGTCCTTTAAACCAGCTGCTTAAACAACAACATATATGTATGTATGTATGTATGTATGTATGTATGTATGCATGGGTGATTGCAAGGCAAGGCATGTGTATGTTAATAAAAGGCATGGTGTTGTCACCTATGCCATACGAGTGGTACACAGCAAGAAACAACAGGCTGTTTCTGTATTATTATTATATTTGCATTTGTGCATGCATGTGTGCCTTCCTGTACTAGACCATGTGAGCCATGCACAGCAAGTTACCATATTGGCTGTCCGGTGATGCTGGTGGCCATCCAAATGATGGCTGGACGGTTCGCTGGAAAAATCCTTTATATTTTTACAACCTNCCCCCACACTCACACACACCCCCACACTCACACACACTCACTCAGCCAAAAAAGGCAATCGCTTGTTTACTTATTTATGTTTCAATTTAAAAATAGCTTTATCTTGCTGAGGTTTAATTTCATCCACATATGTAGTCCTTTAAACCAGCTGCTTTAAACAACAACATATATGTATGTATGTATGTATGTATGTATGTATGTATGTATGGGTGATTGCAAGGCAAGGCGTGTGTATGTTAATAAAAGGCATGGCGTTGTCACCTATGCCATATGAGTGGTACACAGCAAGAAACAACAGGCTGTTTCTGTATTATTATTATATTTGCATTTGTGCATGCATGTGTGCCTACCTGTACTAGACCATGTGAGCCATGCACAGCAAGTTACCATATTGGCTGTCCGGTGATGCTGGTGGCCATCCAAATGATGGCTGGACGGTTCGCTGGGAAAATCCTTGATATTATTACAACCTCAGTGTTATAGTGAATCCTTCTTGTTTTCCAGCACGCCCATACCATGTGAATAGCACACAGGAAGGGACTGTCTACGATTACTACCTCAATGTCTGTGGGGACTCTATGGCAGTGCAGTGTCCAAACCAGACCAGTTTTACAGACAACACCCTGGGCTGTCAGGCTGTCCATGGACTGCCAAATACTGCACATGTTATTGGGAGGAAGACGCATCAGGAGCTTAGGTATGGACTGTTTTCTCTCTCTCTCTCTCTCTCTCTATCTTGTGTGTGTGTCTGCGTGTGTATGTGTGTTTGTGTGTGTGTGTGAGAGAGAGTGTGTGTTTGAATGTCTGTAAGTGTGTGTGTGTGTGTGCGTGCGTGTGTGTGTGTGTGTGTGTGTGTGTGTGTGTGTGTGTGTGTGTGTGTGTGTGTGTGTGTGTGTGTGTGTGTGTACTAATAATGCCTCACATGTTCAAACTTTTTCAGGTACTGGGACAATCAGCTGACCTTGACCTACAGAGGGGGTGACCCTTGCAGCAATGGATTCCAAAGAGAGATGATAATTACATTTACATGTAACAAGACAGCAGGTATTTTGGAAGTGACATCAGTTTATCCCTTAAAGTATCCAGAAACAGCAAGATAATATGATAGATATGCAACATGGGTGGATTCTAGTACATGACAGTATGGCAGATATCCTATGTTACACTGGAATTGCTATATTACAGTAGTATGTTACACTGGAATGGCTATATTACAGTAATATGTTACACTGGAATGGCTATATTACAGTAATATGTTACACATTGGCAGATATATGTTCTAGTGTATATATTCCAGGTCCTGGCTCCCCAGTGTTTAACACAGAGTCAGAGGAGAAGTGTACCTACCTATTTGACTGGGAGACGGAGTATGCCTGCCTGGACCACCCCACGCAGTGCCGCGCAGACTTTGGCAGCAAGAGGTTTGATCTCTCCGTACTGATCAGAGAAACAGGTAGGTGTTAGGCAATTTGAACATGGAGCTGTGTACTAATCTGACCCTGTCTGTACACATATTATGTGTCAGAAATGTGATAATTGTTACGCACTTCCAGTATTTTTTATTATCATATCATATCGTATTGTCTGGGTAAAAAAGATCCCGATTCAAGGTTAAAAACTATTATATATAGATATATATAGTATATATATATATAATTATTTATGGTACGTTTAGGGCTGGACCCTAACTTTTATGACCACCTGTCCTTTGGACAGTCATTGGAAGGTGGCATATAATTGCTTTAATTTTCTATAACTGTTTTTTCTTTAATGGAATATTTGTAACTGTTACATTATTTGTGTTGGGAAAAATTAGGGGAAAAGGGCGTAGGATAAATAATGTGTTATAGATAAATTTGATGTGATACATAAAGCAATGTTTGCCTATTCTGTTATTTGCAGGAAACAACTGGGAGGCTGTGAGAGCAGGCCACAGTGATGAGCAGGATGAAGCTCAGTATTTCATCAACATATGTAACGATGTACTGAGACAAGGAGAGGCAGCACAGTGTCCAGAGCATTCTGCTGTCTGTATGATCCGTAAGTATTGTTATAATAGTGACCATAGTGGTAAATGATTATTACTCTAACATCTTGATATGGTGACAGTGATATTCTGTAAATATGAATAATGTTGAACAAAATATGGACTGATTTGCCATATGTTATATCAAACTAGTTGTCCTGTGGGGGATATGGGTTTATTAGGTCTATTGCCTGATGAGGTTTACATTTGGATGAGCTGCACATATCACTGATGTAACATTGTCACAAATGATAATTAGCCCATGATAAATGATGTGTATTGTACCTAAAGTAGATGTATGGTGATTATGATAGATGAGCAAAATATTATGTTGAGCAAAATGTTATGTGCAGTGTTTTATTTGATGTACATACTGAGAGACAGTACTCACATTTCACTGAAAGATACCCTTGACTGACAAATACAATATTTTATATTCATTTAGTTTTCTCCCCTTTTGAATTTCAGCCAAAGATGGGTCTGCCCAAAACCTTGGTTCATATGTACAAAACCCTGTCTACCAGTCAAACCATATAGTACTGAACTATACTGGTGGAGACGACTGTGCCTCGGGAGGAAAGAAACACTCTATTATTACCTTTATATGTAGACCAGGTGTGTATGGAACATGTAAGCTTTGTGAGTCTAAAATGCCTTTGCTGGGGTAGTGCTAACACTCGCCAGTTTAGCCAAATGCTAAAACTGACTGAAATTGGCTAAACAAAATAGGGTTGATTTGACTTATTTTAGTCAAATTTAAACCATTTGAACACAAAAAAGATGAAAAAGTAGTGTTTTGGCTAAACAAAAAAAAAAAAAAATTGCTAGCGCCACCCCAGCTTTGTACCCATGGATTTCTGGGGTGCTGCTGTACCTACTGATTGTAATGTTGAACCTTGTGGATTACGTTATCATACACTATGTCACTGTACTCACCCTTGATAATGATAGCTTTGTGAACAATTTTTATCATAAAAATACACATTTATTGTTAATTTCATAAACATGAGAAATGGAATAACTGGAGATATGCTGAGAAAAACTGTTACAGTAGTAAATGCTGTAACTATATGTACAGTTGTAAGAACATGTTTCCCTTGTTAGATAATAGCATTATATTGAAATATGCTTGTGTCTATGAAAAAATGATAATAATAGTAATAACAACAACAATAATAATTATAATATAATAAAACTAGGTGACCTACAGAGCGCCCCTACTCTCATCAGGAAGTCAGCAGACCTCTGTTTTTACGAATTTGAGTGGCAAACGGCTGCAGCGTGTGCACTGGGGCGCAAGCTGGGGACTGATTGTAAAGTTTATGATGATGATGCTGGTGAGAAAATTATGTTTTTTTGAGTAAACAGCAAATGTACTGCCAACTGTTAACAGGCTGATCGGCAAGTACTGAAATATGATATGTATAAAAACATGTTCAGACTACTCAGAGTAGACTTAAAAATGACATTCATTGCATTGCATGAAAATTTGTTTTGAGATTTGGTGCAAGTTTTTTCTTTAACAAGAGTACATTTTGCATTACTTAAAAATTTAACAGATGTTTTTCATAAGAACAGAATCAAGATGAAAAAGTGAACTTTTCCCTGTTTAGTATATTTCATGATAGTTTGCATTATCTCAGTAAATGCTACTGCTTTTTCCACAAATTTTTGGCTCTCCACATTGTGCCAAATTTTTCTTTGTTTTCTTATGTGCCAAATTGTTCTTTGTTTTCCCATGTGCCAGGATTCAGCTTTGACCTGAATAGGCTAAAGTTGACAGGAGAGAAAGCTTTCTACAACGTCTCCCATGATCACCACGATTACTTCATCAATGTGTGCTCACCTGTTACTGGGACCAAATGTAACCAAGGGCAACATGCCAATGCTGGAGTTTGTCAACAGGAGCGAGGGGATTCAAATAATAGGCATGTTAATACAGTCACAGATTTGTGTAGACTACTGTGCTCTTTCTATGTTTACACCCTGTCCCTGTCTTTTCCACACCTGGTCCAACTTCATAATTGTGTCGACTATCACTTGTGCATGCCAAATATATTCTTTGTCTGTGCCTTTTTGAGGACTCACTTGTCTTGTCCACACCTTATCATGGCATATCTTGTCATATTTTGCCCATCCTTGCCAGAAAATTGATAATTTAAACTATTTTAAAAACTATTCCCTTTACAGCAACAGAGGACTAACATCCTTTTACTGAAATTATTGTACAGTCAGCAAACCATAACACAGTTTGTTCTCTTTCTAACTTTGTATAAGAAATAACATAAAAGAAACTGGAAAATATATTTTCCATCATGTTCAGCAGGTACTGGAACCTTGGAGAACCCTCTACAAGTCTCAGCTACTATGATGGACTGATAAACCTGACCTACTCCAATGGTGACAACTACAACTCCCACCCTCCAAGACCAAGGGTCACTGAGATTGCTTTTCTTTGTGACCTCGATGCTGGGCGCGGGTCACCTGTATGGGTACAAGAGACCAATCGCTCCTATGTGTTTGAGTGGAAAACCAAGTATGCTTGTCCTGATGTTCCCATAGAGTGCGTGGCAACTGATGAAGTTACTGGGAAACAGTACGATTTGTCCAGGTAGGTCTGAGAATATAATGCTGAAAATTTGTTGGCACACGCAATCACAATGATTGTCACAGCTGTAGAGAATAGTACATGTCACAATTGACACAGGGGCATTAGTTGTCACACTGAACACACTCAGTATAATCTGTGGTGATTAGTTAATGTCACAACTAACAGACAGAGACCAGAAATCTAGAGTTACTAAGTGTTTTTTTTTTATATACTTAAATTTAAAAAAATGTGAATATCAGTATCTTCCGAAATGACATGAAAAGTTGCAATATGGTTGTTGTCATCTGACTGATAATATTTCCTCTACTCTGATTGTTCAGCTGTCTGATTGATATTGTCCCTTTACTTGGATTGGTCAAAATCCATCAATTATTATGTCAGCAGTCAATATATTAGTGATTATGACATCAATCACTATTTAGTTTTATCAGACCTGGGATTTACAAATATAAGATCATAATCTTTTCTGATTATTTAATAATAATGAAATACAACAAAATATCAGAATATGGAATATACTGAGAAAAAATCATTGATAATAATGTTATGGTATCTGTTGAGCAGCTTGGCCAAGTCCGAAAATGGTGGAAATTGGGTAACGGCAGATAAGAAGAATGATTCCTTAACCTACAACTTCTACATTAACCTTTGTCGGCCCCTGAATCCAGTCAACGTAGAGAGTGGATGTGACCCCACCGCTGCCGTTTGTATGACAACCATAACAAATAGACAGGTAAATAACAGAAAGCATTAAGAGTTATTCCTGGTCCATATGTGTTCTATTGTTTTGTGGATGTCAAAAATTAAAGGTTAATGGTATCAAAGAAATCGGCAAAAATGTCACGAAATAAGATAACAAATGAAGAAGCAGACACCTATTCGTAAAAGTGAGATTTGAAAATATAAACTGAAAAAACTGAAGGCAAAGGGAAATTTGAACAGAGATCAAATAGATAAATAGCTCTATAAGTTAGGCATCATAGAGCTTTCTTATTCTGTCATATAATACTACAGTAACTGTTGTCAAAAAAGCAAAAATTATAACAAAAAGATTTCAGATGAAGAGGACACTGCTGTTCTAATGCTATCTGTATGTAGTGACTAAAATTACAGCTAAAGAACTGAAGCAGTATATCCAGTTTGCTGTTGCATGATTTCACAAAACCAAATAAAGTCCAATATCCAAAACTAAAAACCATTTTAAAACATCCCCCTTGACCTTATAATAAAAATACTGTGTCTTCATATCTTCCTCTTATAATGACCAAAGCCAAAATAGCAATTAATAAATGAATAAATATAGGAATAAATAACGGATAACAGGTCAAAAGAAAGATGCTTTTCATTCCAGGAGAAAGTTTCCATATCAAACATGGGTGAGGCCAAGACCAGCCCCAGGGTCAGCCAGACCGATGAAGGACCAGACATATTGATAGAGTACCTGAATGGAGGGCAGTGCACCTTGTCCAATGGCACTTTGACACAGTACAGCACCAGGATCCATTTTATTTGTAAGAAAGGGGATTTGGTAAGTTGCAGGGATGGAGGTTTTTCTTATTTTATGGTTGATACTGTCCTTTTTGGTGGAAATGCAAGTTAAGGAAATTTTATGTAGAATTTTTAGCAGCTATCTAGACACCACATTTCTGTGTTTTAGACGTCTAACCCTAACAGCTACATAGATATCACATTTAGAGTATATTCTAGACATTTGACCTATATATCACATTTCTCCTCTTATTTATTCTAGACATCTGGCCTATACATCACATTTTTATATTCTAGACATCTGACCTTTATATATCACATTTCTATATTCTAGACATATGACCTTCATATATCACATTTCTATATTCTAGACATCTGACCTTTATATATCACATTTCTATATTCTAGACATCTGACCTATATATCACATTTCTCTATTCTAGACCTCTGGCCCTAGCAGCTACCAGGTTGACAGCTGTACCTACGTATTTCGCTGGGAGACGGAGGCTGCCTGTGACATCAAGGATACAGAGGGTGGCAATGGCGAACCTTGCACGGTGAAAGATCCCAACTCTGAGTATGTCTTCAATCTTCAGCCTCTCAGGAAAACAGGAGGAGAGGTGTACTTGGTTCATGATGCTGTTAATAACCAAAATTACATGGTAAGACTGCAGAGGATTGTGTATGTCTGTAACATTGTGTATGCCTGTGACACTGTGCCTGTTCATGGATTGTGTATGTCTGTGACACTGTATTGATGTGCTAAGCTACAGCATTTTGTTTGATTTAACATTTGGTGAATTTTGCATATATCATTGTGTCTCAGCATGTTAAGTTCTGCTTTTGTTTTCCCTGGCACGGCTGACACTTTAGCCTTGATCACAGTGATGGCACTGTCAAGTAATGTGTTGATTTTAAATGCACATCTCCAAGAAAATTAAAGGTAAATATTAACACAATTTATTATTCATTCAAAGAGTAAAATCGTGTAAATGCATAGCAATGGCAGCCCATGGTATATTCTGTTTTATTTGTAATTTTGAAGTAATATATTAATTTATTAATCCTGTCTGTTAGGTGAACATCTGTGGTAACCTGAGCACCCAGGTGACCAGTTGCCGCGGCGCCGCGGCCTGTCAGGTCTCCAGTGATAACAGCACGGGAAACAGACTGGGCCCCTACTACACCAACTCTACCCAGCTGGAGTACTCTGATGACGGCCAGCTGAAGCTGACTTACTATGGGGACAGAGACGTGAGCACAGGTAAGGTATAGGACAAGGTGTCTGGCTCAACAGAGAGTGTCCACTTTATAGGTTATTTGTATGATTTCTGTAACAGCTGTGGCTGGGATCATATTTTTGGGTGGGGTTAACGTGTGATGTCATGTACATGACTGGCCAGCAATAAGGGCACAGGCATATAGAAATTACATGGAAGCCTATGGGAATTGGTGAGTTGGAGTTCTGCCAATATCTGACTGTGTCATTTATCACAGAAAAGATCCTTTATGCATATATCCTAGCATAGCTGTTCTAATAAATTATTTTGGGCAAGAGTAAGTGGATTTAAGAATTAAATTACCAGTCAAAAATCCACTGTTCTGTTATGGTTTGGAAACTGTGTATCCTGAGGTTTACTTCAGACCAGTAGTAGTTAAACTTTGTGATGTTCTTTCTCCATAGGGATGCGTACAACCACAGAAATAACCTTCACCTGTGACAAGACAGTCCCCTTGGGGGCACCAGTGTTCTCCAAGCAAGAGGGACACAAGTACATCTTCACCTTTCACACATCCCTGGCCTGTCCTCCTGAGCCAGTCGAATGCAGTGTGTACGATCACTATGGCAACATGTACGACCTGAATCCATTGTCAAAAACAACTGGGAACTGGCAGGCAATAGACACCAAGGAGGGCGACACGAATAGCGTCTACTATATCAATGTGTGCAGACCTATCAACATGGTGGCCGGCTCCAGTTGTCCAGGTAAAACTTGTCTTAAAAATTAATGATCATTTTCAAATAATGCATTATTATAACTGATTTTCATTCTAGAAAACATGGTGTTTTTTTACTGTCCTCTTAAAATATTTTAACATATTTTCAGATTTTGAAGTTATGCCAGGCATTGTCATATATGCCTAAGATATTGTGTGAATTTCTGTATTTTGAATTATTAAAGCTGTTAGTTGCTGTCCATGGTTTTGCACCTTTTATCAACATGTTTGAACAATACCACATCTGCTATGATACAGCATATCCCATCTTGCATATAAACTATTTATTGCTACGAGTTTCATTTTTTGGCCACTTTCAAAGTGCATTTAATGCCATGTAAAAAAGAATAGATTGAAAATTTTCATTTCGAAAATGGACTGTTTTAATTCAATCACCAGTCCGTTATGGCCTATAATGTATCACATCACTGGTGGTACAAAACCAGGAGGTGTTGTCTCATCTCTGATCCTCTAGTTCATTCACCAGTCAGTTATGGCCTTTCACGTATCCTATCATGTATCCTATCACTGTATTTCAGGTGGACCTGTAGGTGGATGTGTTGTCAAAAGCACTGGCTCCTTCAACATGGGTTATATACAGAGCAAACCTGTGGTGGCAGCGGATGGGACCGTCACGGTCAGGTACATAGGGGGCGCCCTGTGTCACCGCGGAAAAGAAAATCAGAATCATCGCAGCACAAGGATTATATTTTCTTGCGCAGAAAAGGAGGTGATTATTCATTTTATTCATGGGTTGAATTCTTGTTTGACGTGCATGTGCACACACCTAGTCACAGTGTAAGTTATCTGTTTTGAAAGATGGTATATTCTTTTGGATTTGTTATAATAATTATTATTTATTTATTATTACCAAACTTGCAACCAGAGGGTTGGATAATTACAATCATTGCATCATAGTTGAATAAAACCATTAGTAGGTAAGAATAAAGGACTATTAAAAGCGTATGTAAACAAATTTAAAACAAAATAACTAAAATGCAAGGTTAAAAAATAAAGTCTATCAGTTAATTCTGAAACTTGTATATGGCACTTGTTAAAAAGTCACTCATTGATCGTTTGGTTTTAATTTTAGGTCTTTTGAAAGTTTCCTGTTCCTTTAATGAATATTTGACGTTTTGTTTTGGTTGTAAAAGATAATGCAGTCTATGATCCAGTTCATTTGATATACTAATAAACAATTTTTTGCATGCATTAAGCCGTCTTTCACTCAGTAGTTCATGTTTACTATGTTCACAAACAGCGTCATGTTCAAGATCAGGATAAATTATCTTAAGAGCTCTTTCTTGAGACTTTTCTACTGGGGCAGTCAATTCATTCGTAAACCAAAAGTGTCAGACAGGGGCAGCATATTCTAAAACTGACCTTATGACTGTCTGGTAATAAGTTACAAGGTCATCAGTTGTAAGGCCTGCCTGCTTCATGTGCTGTAGGAAATAAATCCTTTTGCTTGCTTTTTTGGTGATTTGGTCTACATGTACCTTCCATGTGAGATCCTTAGAGATATACACTCCAAGTAATATAAAATGATTCTACAAATTCAATAACTGGGCAAGGTTGTGGTACACATGCAAATAAACTAACATTGTAGCATTATGGTGGAAATATTATAGCACATGGAGCAGTTCTTAGTATTTTTATAAGTGGCTTTTGTAATCATAGCAGTATATTTCATTCATTTTTAGCATGGTCCAGTGTTCTATCATAAAATTGACTGTGAATACTTTTTTACTTGGGATACACCAGCAGCATGCCCAGTCAGGGTAAGTAAGGATAAGACTATGAAATACCATCAGATATGGATGGAAGAATTTAAGGAAAAAAAAAGGCATATTACAGCTGTTAGTGAATAGTTTAAGCTGTAATATTAAAATGTTAAAACCTTGAATGATATGAGCAGTTGGGTGCTATACGCCAAGATATGTGCAAAAATCCTTCATTCATGCTCTCTGGATATGTTTCCTTTAATAAAAAGATAATGATATTACTATTACAATTTTTTTCATTCAGCTAATATATATAAAAATGTTCATAAGAAATAGTGTTTTTATATATAAATGTATGTTCCAGAGAGAAATTGGTGCCAGTTGTGCCGTTAGGGATCCAGTTTATCACTACCCATACAACCTGAATGGCTTGAGGAACACCACCACGCCTTATAACGTGTCTGCAGACGGCAGCTGGTTTCTCCTCAATGTGTGTGATGACATCAAGAAGGGTTCTGCGAATTGCGATCCTGGCAGACACGTGGGAAGCTGTCAGGTAGAGAAAGTACTGAGTGGAGTACCAGGGTCATGGAGCGNTTTGATGTGATACATAAAGCAATGTTCACCTATTCTGTTTTTTGCAGGAAACAACTGGGAAGCTGTAAGAGCGGGCCACAGTGATGAGCAGGATGAAGCTCAGTATTTCATCAACATATGTAACGATGTACTGAGACAAGGAGAGGCAGCACAGTGTCCAGAGCATTCTGCTGTCTGTATGATCAGTAAGTATTGTTATAATACTGACCATAGTGGTAAATGATTATTACTCTAACATCTTGATATGGTGACAGAGATATTCTGTAAATATGAATAATGTTGAACAAAATATGGACTGATTTGCCATATGTTATATCAAACTAGTTGTCCTGTGGGGGATATGGGTTTATTAGGTCTATTGCCTGATGAGGTTTACATTTGGATGAGCTGCACATATCACTGATGTAACATTGTCACAAATGATAATTAGCCCATGATAAATGATGTGTATTGTACCTAAAGTAGATGTATGGTGATTATGATAGATGAGCAAAATATTATGTTGAGCAAAATGTTATGTGCAGTGTTTTATTTGATGTACATACTGAGAGACAGTACTCACATTTCACTGAAAGATACCCTTGATTGACAAATACAATATTTTATATTCATTTAGTTTTCTCCCCTTTTGAATTTCAGCCAAAGCTGGGTCTGCCCAAAACCTTGGTTCATATGTACAAAACCCTGTCTACCAGTCAAACCATATAGTACTGAACTATACTGGTGGAGACGACTGTGCCTCGGGAGGAAAGAAACACTCTATTATTACCTTTATATGTAGACCAGGTGTGTATGGAACATGTAAGCTTTGTGAGTCCATAAATGCCTTTGCTGGGGTAGTGCTAACACTCGCCAGTTTAGCCAAATGCTAAAACTGACTGAAATTGGCTAAACAAAATAGGGTTGATTTGACTTATTTTAGTCAAATTTAAACCATTTGAACACAAAAAAGATGAAAAAGTAGTGTTTTGGCTAAACAAAAAAAAAAAAAAAATTGCTAGCGCCACCCCAGCTTTGTACCCATGGATTTCTGGGGTGCTGCTGTACCTACTGATTGTAATGTTGAACCTTGTGGAATACGTTATCATGTCACTGTACTTGCCCTTGATAATGATAGCTTTGTGAACAATTTTTATTATAAAAATACACATTTATTGTTGATTTCATAAACATGAGAAATGGAATAACTGGAGATATGCTGAGAAAAACTGTTACAGTAGTAAATGCTGTAACTATATGTACAGTTGTAAGAACATGTTTCCTTTGTTCGATAATAGCATTATATTGAAATATGCTTGTGTCTATGAAAAAATAATAATAATAGTTATAATTATAATATAATAATACTAGGTGACCTACAGAGCGCCCCTACTCTCATCAGGAAGTCAGCAGACCTCTGTTTTTACGAATTTGAGTGGCAAACGGCTGCAGCGTGTGCACTGGGGCGCAAGCTGGGGACTGATTGTAAAGTTTATGATGATGATGCTGGTGAGAAAATTATGTTTTTTTGAGTAAACAGCAAATGTACTGCCAACTGTTAACAGGCTGATCGACAAGTACTGAAATATGATATGTATAAAAACATGTTGAGACTACTCAGAGTAGACTTAAAAATGACATTCATTGCATTGCATGAAAATTTGTTTTGAGATTTGATGCAAGTTTTTTCTTTAACAAGAGTACATTTTGCATTACTTAAAAATTTAACAGACGTTTTTCATAAGAACAGAATCAAGATGAAAAAGTGAACTTTTCCCTGTTTAGTATATTTCATGATAGTTTGCATTATCTCAGTAAATGCTACTGCTTTTTCCACAAATTTTTGGCTCTCCACATTGTGCCAAATTCTTCTTTGTTTTCTTATGTGCCAAATTGTTCTTTGTTTTCCCATGTGCCAGGATTCAGCTTTGACCTGAATAGGCTAAAGTTGACAGGAGAGAAAGCTTTCTACAACGTCTCCCATGATCACCACGATTACTTCATCAATGTGTGCTCGCCTGTTACTGGGACCAAATGTAACCAGGGGCAACATGCCAACGCTGGAGTTTGTCAACAGGAGCGAGGGAGTTCAAATAATAGGTATGTTAATACAGTCACAGATTTGTGTAGACTACTGTGCTCTTTCTATGGTTTCACCCTGTCCCTGTCTTTTCCACACCTGGTCCAACTTCATAATTGTGTCAACTATCACTTGTGCATGCCAAATATATTCTTTGTCTGTGCCTTTTTGAGGACTCACTTGTCTTGTCCACACCTTATCATGGCATATCTTGTCATATTTTGCCCATCCTTTGCCTTGTCAGCCCAGAAAAGTAATAATTATGATTATTTAAAAAACAATTTCCTTTACAGCAACAGAGGACTAACATCTTCTTCTTAAATTATTGCACAGTCAGCAAACCATAACACAACTTGTTCTCTTTGTAACTTGTATAAGGAATAATGTGAAAGAAACTGAAAAATATATTTTCTTACATGTTCAGCAGGTACTGGAACCTTGGGGAACCCTCTACAAGTCTCAGCTACTACGACGGACTGATAAACCTGACCTACACCAACGGTGACAACTACAACTCCCACCCTCCAAGACCAAGGGTCACTGAGATTGCCTTTCTTTGTGACCTCGATGCTGGGCGCGGGTCACCTGTATGGGTACAAGAGACCAATCGTTCCTATGTGTTTGAGTGGAAAACCAAGTATGCTTGTCCTGATGTTCCCATAGAATGCGTGGCAACTGATGAAGTTACTGGGAAACAGTACGATTTGTCCAGGTGGGTCTGAGAACGCGATGGTGGAAGCTTGCTGTCACGGTTAACACAATCACATTGGCTGTCACTCCTAACACACTCAGTACAACTGCAGTAAATAGTAAATAGTTTAATTAAAAAATTTGTGAATATCAGTATCTTCCAAGGTGACATCAAAAGGTACATCATTGTTTTTTTGTTATCTGACGGATAATATTTCCTTTATTCTGGTCAGCTGTCTGCTTGAAGTGTTTCCTTTACTCTGATTGGTTAAAATCCATCAATTATTTTATCAGCAGTCAATATTATATTTGGTGATTATGCCATTTATATGCAGTTTTCTCAGACCTCGGATTCACCAATATAAGATCGTAATCTTTTCTGATTATATAATAATAGTAATGAAATTCAATATAAACATCAGAATAATAGATTTGCCATATACTGAGCAATAATTATCATGATGTTAATATTGTTGTTATGGTATCTGTTGAACAGCTTGGCCAAGTCCGAAAATGGTGGAAATTGGGTAACGGCAGATAAGAAGAATGATTCCTTAACCTACAACTTCTACCTTAACCTGTGTCGGCCCCTGAATCCAGTCAACGTAGAGAGTGGATGTGACCCCACTGCTGCCGTTTGCATGACAACCATAACAAATAGACAGGTAAATAACGGGAAGCATTAAAAGTTATTCCTGGTCCATATGTGTTCTATTGTTTTGTGGATGTCAATAATTAAAGGTCATTGGTATCAAAGAAATCAGCAAAAATGTCACGAAATAAGATAACAACTGCAGAAGCAGACACCTATTCGTAAAAGTGAGATTTGAAAATATAAACTGAAAAAACGGAAGGCAAAAGAAAATTTGAACAGAGATCAAGTAGATGAATAGCTCTATAAGTTATGCATCATAGAGCCGTCTTATTCTGTCATATACTACTACAGTAACAGCAACTGTTGTCCAAACACAAAAAATTATAACGAAAAGATGAAGAGGACACTGCTGTTCAAATGCTATCTGTATGTAGTGACTAAAATGACAGCTAAAGAACTGCAGCAGGTTATCCAGTATGCTATGCTGTTGTATGATTTCACAAAAACCAAACAAATTCAAATAACCAAAAGTAAAAACCATTTTAAAACATCCCCCCCTTGACCTTATAATAAAAAGGCTGACTCTTCATGTCCTCATAATCTTCCTCTTATACTGACCAAAGAAGGCAAATAAATAAATAAATGAAGGAAGGATTGAATAAATTAAATGAATAACAGGTAAAAAAGAAAGTTGCTCTTCATTTCAGGAGAAAGTTTCCATATCAAACATGGGTGAGGCCAAGACCAGCCCCAGGGTCAGCCAGACCGATGAGGGACCAGACATATTGATAGAGTACCTGAATGGAGGGCAGTGCACCTTGTCCAATGGCACTTTGACACAGTACAGCACCAGGATCCATTTTATTTGTAAGAAAGGAGATTTGGTAAGTAGCAGGGATGGAGGTTTTCTTATTTTATGGTTGATACTGTCCTTTTTGGTGGAAATGCAAGTTAAGGAAATTTTATGTAGAATTTTTAGCAGCTATCTAGACACCACATTTCTGTGTTTTAGACGTCTAACCCTAACAGCTACATAGATATCACATTTAGAGTATATTCTAGACATTTGACCTATATATCACATTTCTCCTCTTATGTCTTTATTCTAGACATTTGGCCTATACATCACATTTTTATATTCTAGACATCTGACCTTTATATATCACATTTCTATATTCTAGACATATGACCTTTATATATCACATTTCTATATTCTAGACATCTGACCTATATATCACATTTCTCTATTCTAGACCTCTGGCCCTAGCAGCTACCAGGTTGACAGCTGTACCTACGTATTTCGCTGGGAGACGGAGGCTGCCTGTGACATCAAGGATACAGAGGGTGGCAATGGCGAACCTTGCACGGTGAAAGATCCCAACTCTGAGTATGTCTTCAATCTTCAGCCTCTCAGGAAAACAGTAGGAGAGGTGTACTTGGTTCATGATGCTGTTAATAACCAAAATTACATGGTAAGACTGCAGAGGATTGTGTATGTCTGTAACATTGTGTATGCCTGTGACACTTTAGCCTTGATCACAGTGATGGCACTGTCAAGTAATGTGTTGATTTTAAATGCACCAAGAAAATTAAAGGTAAATATTAACACAATTTATTATTCATTCAAAGAGTAAAATTGCATAAATGCATAGCAATTGCAGCCCATGGTATATTGTTTTATTTGTAATTTTGAAGTAATATATTAATTTATTAATCTTGTCTGTTAGGTGAACATCTGTGGTAACCTGAGCACCCAGGTGACCAGCTGCCGTGGCGCTGCGGCCTGTCAGGTCTCCAGTGATAACAGCACGGGAAACAGACTGGGTCCTTACTACACGAACTCTACCCAGCTGGAGTACTCTGATGATGGCCAGCTGAAGCTGACTTACTATGGGGATAGAGACGTGAGCACAGGTAAGGTATTGGACAAGGGCTTTGTCTGGCTCAGCGGGGTGTGTCCACTTTATAGGTTATTTGTGTGATTTCTGTAACAGCTGTGGCTGGGATCATTCTTTTGGGTGGGGTTAATGTGTGATGTCATGTACATGACTGGCCAGCAATAAGGGCACAGGTATCTAGAAATTACATGGAAGCCTGTGGGGAATGGTGAGTTGGAGTTCTGCTAATATCTGACTGTGTCATTTATCACAGAAAAGATCCTTTATGCATATATCCTAGCATAGCTGTTCTATTAAATTATTTTGGGGATGAGTGGGTGGATTTAAGAGTTAAGTTACCAGTCAAAAATCCACTGCTCTCTTATGGTTCAGAAACTGTGTATCCTGAGGTTTACTTCTGAGTCCGGCCAGTAGTAGTTAAACTTTGTGATATTATTTCTCCATAGGGATGCGTACAACCACAGAGATAACCTTCACCTGTGATAAAACAGTACCCTTGGGGGTGCCAGTGTTCTCCAAGCAAGAGGGGCACAAATACATCTTCACCTTTCACACATCCCTGGCCTGTCCCCCTGAGCCGGTCGAATGCAGTGTGTACGATCACTATGGCAACATGTACGACCTGAATCCATTGTCAAAAACAACTGGGAACTGGCAGGCAATAGACACCGAGGAAGGAGACACGAATGGCGTCTACTATATCAATGTTTGCAGACCTATCAACATGGTGTCCGGCTCCAGTTGTCCAGGTAAAATTTGTCTTAAAAATTAATGATCAATTTCAAATAATACATTATTATAACTGATTTTCATTCTAGAAAGCATGGTGTTTTTTATTGTCCTCTTAAAATATTTTGACATATTTTCAAATTTTTGAAATTACTTCATGTGTTTCGAAGATATTGTGTGAATGTGTGTATCTTGAGCTATGAAAGGCATTAATTGCTGTTGATGATTTTACACCTTTTATCAACATGTTTGAACAATAACACATTTGCTTTGATACAGCATATCCCATTTTGCATATTAACTATTTATTACTATGAGTTTCATTTTTTGGCTGCTTTCAAAGTGCTATTAATACCATATTAAAGAGAGTAAAATGAAATCTTTTATATCAATGATCAGTCAGTTGTGGCCTGTAAGTTATCATATCACTGGTGGTACAATGCCAGAAGGCAGTATCACCTCTCTGATCCTCTAGTTCAATTGCCAGTCAGTTATGGTCTTTAACGTACCCTATCACTGTATTGCAGGTGGACCTGTAGGTGGATGTGTTGTCAAAAGCACCGGCTCCTTCAACATGGGATACATACAGAGCAAACCTGTGGTGGCAGCGGATGGGACTGTCATGGTCAGGTACATAGGGGGCGCCCTGTGTCACCTCGGAAAAGAAAATCAGAATCATCGCAGCACAAGGATTATTTTTTCTTGCGCCGAAAAGGAGGTGATTATTCGTTTTATTCATGGGTTGAATTCTTGTTTGACGTGCATGTGCATTCATAGGGAACATGCATGCATGCACACATATAGGTACAGTGTAAGTGATCTACTTTGAAAGGTGGAATATTCTGTTGGATTTGTTATAAGTGTGGTGCACATGCAAATAAAAGAACATTGTAGCATTATGGTGGAAATATTATAGCATATGGAGCAATTCTTAGTATTTTTGTAGGTGGCATTTGTAATCATAGCAGTAAGTCAATTAATGGACAGCTTCAGTTTTTACTTATTTATCCTAAGTTCTTTTAGATGTCTTTTACTTTTATTAGGATCATATTTCATCCATTTTAGCATGGTCCAGTGTTCTCTGATAAATCTGACTGTGAATACTTCTTTACTTGGGATACACCAGCAGCATGCCCAGTCAGGGTAAGTAAGGATAAGACTATGAAATACCATCAGATATGGATGGAAGAATTTAAGAAAAAAAAAGGTATACTAAAGCTGTTAGTGAATAGTTTAAGCTGTAATATTAAAATGTTAAAAACTTGAATGATATGAGCAGTTGGGTACTATACGCCAAGATATGTGCAAAAATCCTTCATTCTTGCTCTCTGGATATGTTTCCTTTAATAAAAAGATAATGATATTACTATTACAATTTTTTTCATTCAGCTAATATATATAAAAATGTTCATAAGAAATAGTGTTTTTATATATAAATGTATGTTCCAGAGAGAAATTGGTGCCAGTTGTGCCGTTAGGGATCCAGTTTATCACTACCCATACAACCTGAATGGCTTGAGGAACACCACCACGCCTTATAACGTGTCTGCAGACGGCAGCTGGTTTCTCCTCAATGTGTGTGATGACATCAAGAAGGGTTCTGCGAATTGCGATCCTGGCAGACACGTGGGAAGCTGTCAGGTAGAGAAAGTACTGAGTGGAGTACCAGGGTCATGGAGTGCAGGTAATCTCTCTCTCTCTCTCTCTCTCTCTCTCTCTCTCTCTCTCTCTCTGAGTGCTTTTTTTAACACATTTTCATTTATGGAAGAAACGTACATTTTGCTCTTATAAAAGCTATTAAGTGAAAACGTCTGATATAACTTGTACCATGCTGATGTATTATGATAATTAAAAGGAGTATTTTTTGATGGGAATGATATCTCCAGGTATAGCCAATGGAAATCTCACGTATGAAGATGGCATAATGAGCCTGAAGTACACTGGAGGCGATGGAGGTTGCCGTGGCAACCATACCCGCTCAACCTTGATCAGATTTCAGTGCGATCACTCAACGTCAGGGGTCACCAAAGGCCCTATGTTTATCGAAAGAACAGATGACTGTATGTACGTGTTTGAATGGAGGACGTCGTATGCGTGTGCCCTGTTCAAAGTAGTCGAGTGCATTTACCGTGATGCCCAGAACAACCAGTACGACCTGAGCAGTTTAACCTTGGCCAGGGGCAATTATAACGTCACTGATTCGGCTTCTCCACGCAAAAAGTTCATCATCAATGTCTGCTCCACTGTAGTCCATGAAAAAAGTAGGCACTGTTACAACTAATATTGCATTTGATATTTAGACTTTGAAATTCATCTTTTCAGCATTTTCTTGATATTTTTGAGCTTCTTACTTATTGATTCAAACTCATTTTAACTGTTATTAATAGCCACATATATGTACTATCAAATACAGGACAATTTTTTTAACTAGATTGTTATAACAGGCAGTATTGAGGACTGTATAAATGTAACCCTTGCTTTCATTTAGATATAATTATTATATTTTGAGAAAACTTGATCACTTTATCGGGTATGATCATATCTAACCATGGCTAACTCAGACACATTTTTCTTTTAAAAATGTCTCTCTTGATTGTAGATGTAATGTGTCCCCATAAGTCTGCAGCCTGCCTGATCAATCTGGATGAAAGAAACTATACAAAGAGGTATGCTTGTTGTTTTGTAAGAATATGCAAAAAAGGACTTGCAGCAAACTCAAAATATACAGTCAAGTAAGGAAGACAGAAATGACATTGAAATTGAATTGGAATCTCTAAGTTTCCTTTACTTTTACTGTAAAGTTATATTATTTTAGTTTAAAAAATTGAGATATTGTACCGTATTGAAAGATTGCTGTGCAGGTAATGAAATTTTTATGGAAAGATTACAGTTATGAAAAAAGTGATGTCACTCATAAATGCATGGTGTTTATGTTTATAATAACCATAATAATTATGCTTTCTACTTGTATATTAATATTTAACCTTTATCCTATAGATTTCATGATCTTGGAGAGGTGACTGACCAGCCGTTCTCTATGGTCAACAACAGACTGACCCTCACCTACACCAATGGAGAACCATGTGCTATGGGTAGTGGGAATTCTAAAACTATCATCACCTTTGAATGTGACCATGCTGCTATTGTAAGTACAATGATGATTGTATTGTGTGAGTGATGATGTTGAAATAACAAGTGTGTGATGTTGTGGTTGGGTCATTGTGACAGTGTGGAAGAGTATTAAGGCAGTAGGTAAATTTGTGATAAAAAAGTTTTCATATATAACACAATTATTTGCATGTATTTGGAATGGACTGTTTTTTTTTTTTTTTTTTTTTTCTGTTAGAGAGATGAAAATTTAAAAACTTTTAGTTCTGTTGAGAGCTAATATTAATAATTAAAAAGTTAAAGAGTTATATGATTTTCAAGTATCTTTTTTCTTCTTCCTCTTATTATTATTATTATTATTATTATTATTATTATTATTAATTGGTTTCTCCAGGATACCAATCCCGTGTACACTCTGACAGAGAACTGTGACTACCACTTTATGTGGAGAACCAGTGCAGCGTGTCCTGTGAATCACGGAGGAGATACGACCAGGAATAACTGCACTGCTGTCAACCCAGTCACAGGTACTCTCACTCTGTCATACTGTGTCACATAGTGTCATACTGTGTCACATAGTGTCATACTGTGTCACATAGTGTCATATTGTGTCATACTGTGTCACAGTGCCATACAGTGTCATACTGTGTCACAGTGACATACTGTGTCATACTGTGTCACGTAATGTCATACTGTGTCACATAGTGTCATACAGTGTCATACACATAGTGTCATACAGTGTTACATAGTGTCATACTGTGTCATATAGTGCTACATAGTGTCACACAAACTGTCATTGCTTTTCCCCTCTGACACATCATCACACTTACACTCTGACACTGCCACACTGTGTCAAAAATATATCCTGCAGATATAATACTTATTCAGTATATGATCTGTGCTCTGTCACTGTCATACCCTATGAATGTCAATGTAGCAATGTCACTGTCACAACGTCACAGTGATACTCTTCAGATGTGGTACTCAATATGAATCTGTCACTTGACATTTAACTATATTCACTAAATATTAAATGCTCTATCATTGGGTTTCAGGTTACACATTTGACTTGAAATCATTGGCCAAGGACACTGGGTACAGTGTGAGAGACGCCAGTGGGCAGAGGATGGATATAAACATCTGTGCTCCTGTGAAGAATGCTCCCGTGGGATGTGGGGACAATTCAGGTTCGATATGGCTATCAAAGCGCTTGTTCTTTCATTAGCACAACCACCCACAGTGCCTCAGTGAATACATTGACAAACTGTTAGACAATGTGACACAATATTTTATACATAAAATACACCTTTGCTGATATGCTGAACTCAGTCGCACCAAACACAATGTAACATGTCTAGGACAAGAGATACACCTTTGCAAATATGTCATACATCATATTAAACACGATGTAATATTAAACACAGCACTTCATCGCGACAGTTTCATGTCCCCTAACACACAGCACGTAATCTTTTACAGGAGCCTGTCAGACAGTCGTGACCAATGAGAGGCACTCTTACAACAGTGGCATAGCCAATGCAAGGTTACAATACGATGATGGATCGTTGATGTTAAACTATTCCGGAGGCGATAAATGCCCGAATACTGGGCTGTCCAGGAATACGATCATTACCTTTGTGTGTGGGGCACAGGGGTCAGGGACGGGGACACCTCAGTATATTGATGATGTGGATGGGTGTACATTTTATATCGTGTGGCATACAGAATTGGCTTGTGAAACACAGGTGAGGCACATAGAATAGGCCTAGGGCTGTTAAATATGTTACTGATATGAAATGTTGATCTTAAATACAGGTTTGTTAGTAAACAGTATTGATATTGTAAACAGTTCAGTGACAACATGTGGAACAAAACTAACAGGTGCCAAATAACATTTTTTTCATTTTAAATTCTGTATTCATTTTTAGGAGGAGGTTGGATTTTCTGTTTTAAGTGGACCCCTTTTCACCAATTCGTTTCATCCTATTTTTTTCTTTTTTTTTTTTTTTCTTTAAACCAAGATTCATGTCTGGATATGTTAACCGTAGAATAGACTTAAGCCTGATAGCCATAAAATTTTTGTTTTTAAGTTTTTGATACTGATAATATGTAATTCAATACCAGGTACACTGTGCAGTGGACACTGCCCAGGGCACTATTGACCTGTCCCCCCTCATCATGACCAGTGGTCACCACCTGGCCATGAACACTGCCCCAGACTCCAAGGACCCCGGAGCCACCTTCTACATCAACATCTGCCGTCCTCTCAACCCTATCCAAGGAACGCTGTGTCCAGCGGGGGCATCTGCTTGCAGAGTGAAGACTGGAGACTCTCCTCTGGTGAGAACATGTGGCCTTTCTACCCAGCATTGTTCTGCTTGCTGTTTGGCATTTTAATACATTTTATTTTAATACATTTTTCACACCTGTCTTTTTTTAAATGAAGCAAAATGTTCACAATTAAACACACTACATAACACATAACATCTAGTTTAGATCAAAATAAATGAAATGTTTTAGTCTTGAAATCAAGAAAGTTTTCTGCTGAAATTATAATGTGACACAGGCCACAAAGATTGATATTGTCATTATTTTGGTATTTCTTGCAGGGTCTAGGGAAGTCCCGTGCCCCTCCATCCGTGGACACGTCCTCTGGTAAGGTGACACTGATTTATGACCACGGTGACAAGTGCAGTTCCAATCCAGCCAAGAACATCAGCTCCAGGGTGATATTTGAGTGCCAGCAGGGCTCACAGCAGGTATTATATAACACACACACACGCACGCACGCACGCACGCACGCACGCACGCACGCACGCACGCACGCACGCACGCACGCACGCACGCACGCACGCACGCACGCACGCACACACACACATATAAATACACTAATGCAGCCAATCTTATACACCCATAACTTGACATTTTAACTGGTGAAAACATCATATCAAGGATAATTACATCAGCAGTCTACTAAACAGGTTTGGAATTTACATTTAAAATAAAAAACATTTGATACAATACGTCCAACAACCATTGCTCATAGCATTTTCCAGTTCATAAAATGATTATTCTACGTAAATTGCAGGGCCAGCCTTATCTAGAGGATGTGACAGACTGTGAGTATGTATTTGTTTGGAGAACCAACATCATTTGCCCAGAAGCCACTCCAGTGGTTCATGACCAGTGTACCTTCTATGATAGCAAGACCAGACACACCTTTGATTTAACATCCCTCAGAAAGACTTCATCAGATCCGCAGGGCTATTATCAGGTATGGTCTGTTAAATGGGAAGTTCTGTTATGCATGCTCCGATTCAAGGGGGACTCTCTCATCTTAAATTAGTTGGTAGGTCCAGTCAGCGTGTATGAGTGACTGACCTTATTGGTTAGAATTCTTCATTCTGTGGTGCACAATTATAATAAGACTTGATAAACATTTTATGGTACGAGATCATTATATTCAGAAAATGGTCTTATTACATGTAAGAGTGTTTGGTAAATACTCTAAGATTTGTTAGTTTTGTGCCTATGCCCAAATCATCGAAAATTTTTTGCTCATGAAATTAAAAAAAAAAAACAAAATTGATAAAAATGGAAACTTATTAATTTATGATATTAATATTTATGTCATTGTCATCATATCTCAGGTTTCAGACTACAAGTTAAATGTGTGCGGTCCTCTGTATGGGGTCTCCAGCAGTTGCAACAGTGCAGGGGTTTGTAAGAGCGACAGCGTCGTGTTTGGTTCTGCAGCCTCCTCCACCATCACTTATGAAGGTGGGATGCTAAAGCTAACATACACCGACGGGGGAACCTGCGCCAGTAGTGGTAAGTAGATAGAGTTTTCTGAAACCAAATCAGAATACTTATCTGTTCATCTGAAAAAAAGGAGAATTTGGCCAAAGTACAAAACACCCTATGTATAGCAGTAGTGCCCATTCAGGTCAGTTGGAAAATTGTTTTAAAATATTTTACCATTTCAAAATTTATATTTTTTTATAATGTAAATTTCCATTTTTGAAGTTATTTCATTTGTTTTTAGGACCTGGAAAAGCATCATCCCAAATTATATTTGAGTGTGACAGAACAGCAGGGGCAAGCCAGCCAACATTACTGACTGTAAGTTTTGTCATCACATTGTTCCATAAACACAATGTTTGTAAGTGTCCAGCGCAGTGACACATTGCCATTTAAAGTAATGTCTCTCAATTCATTGACATTTCTGCTGCAGAGACACGCTGTCAGAACCAGTTCTTCAATGTTTACTATATTGCATTACGACAATTTTTTATTGTTGTAGAAACATAATGTCAACCAGTGATACTTTGCATCAGTTATATTGCCACATTGTCATTGTTACTTTGAAATTGATGTTGATGAAAGTAGCCCACTGTTGCCCAATGTCTCAAAGTGTTACCTGTTTGGTCTCATTGTCCATGTCACAGTATACTGTTGACCTATGGTATTCATTCCATATTATAATTGTTGCCAATGTAATCGTGTTTGCAAATTGCTTATCATATGTTATAAATGAATATGTTACCTGGAATAAACGGAAAAAATATTGTGTAAAATAAACATAGGTATATAAAGTTGACTTTTATCATTGCCGCAGTATTACAAGATGAATTGCTTTTTCTTTTGTACAAAATCTGATTTATAAAGTATTTTAATCTCCTTTGTCATACTTTTCAGCAAAGTGCTTGCGATGTTGCTTTCACATGGAAGACTCCCTTGGCCTGTCCTCCTGTGACAGAAGAGTGCTTTCTGTCTCATGGTGGCAATTTGTACGATCTGCGCCTTCTGTCCAGAGAAACTGGAAGTTGGAAAGTTGAGGATGCTGATGGAAATATGTGAGTAGAAACTGACTGAAATATATTATACCAAATGCCTTTGGTGCGTGACCTAATTGTTTGATCACATAGGTTTTTCTTGTAAGTCTATAAGGCTTTACCTTATTGTTTGATCACACATTATTTATTATTGGTACTGGATAAATGGGTTTAAATGGATTCTTTATGATCTAGATATTCTTTGCTTATTATAGACACCAATTGTTAATTGATTTTCTGAGTGATGTTAGAGTACATTTTTATTATAATAAATTCCTGGGTTCGCCCCTGGTCTGTATATTACTGTTATATTTGTAGGTACTGGATTAATGTATGTCAGGGGATTCACAGCGGGCATGAACAGTGTCCGTCAGATGCTGCAGTCTGTATAAAACAGAAAGACGGAACGGTCAACTCATTAGGCTCGGTAATAACACAGCAACTCACAATGGAGGGTAAGTGACATGTTGTGTATATACTTGATACTTGAAAAATCATTTAGGAGTGTTATTTAAGAACTTCCATAAACTTAATTTAAAATACTCAAAAGTATCAAGATAATTTACACTGAGGCATAATTTTGTGTTTATTTATGTTTCAGGGGATGACAACGTTTTAGTACTGAAATACACCGCCGGGGGTAATGCTTGTGGCCATGGCAACCCTTCAGCTTCTACAGTTATTAAATTCGAGTGCAGTAACACAGTTGGAGGACCAGTTTTTATACCAAGGTGTGTAATTCACTGATGGGAAGTTTTATTTCAATGTGCCTTTTTTTCAACTCACAGTAGGGTGACCTGTGGTACATGATTAACAGAAGTCTGTAGTTTATGTATTGTGGTAGGGGAACCTATTTTAATGCCAAATTATGCTTTTTGTGAACATAGGAGGTGACGTGTTTGTTTTTCTACTATTTCTAACCCAAACAATTAACCCCAAAGTGCATTATATTATTTAAATGCTATTTTGTCAACTACTTGTTCAACAAAGATTCAATTGATGCTGAAAGTTTCAAAAATGTGATTATACCCTAGAAGAGTACTATGGATAATAATCTAAGATGATAATAATAGAAGATAATAATCTTAATGGTGCCAGTGCTGTTTTTGGCATCCAAACTATCAGTTACATACAATACAAGTGGAATGATTTTTTTCATTGCCATTTCTAACAAAATGTTTCTTCTTATCCAGCCAAGACCAGACAGGCAAATGTGAGTTTAATTTCCTCTGGAAAACCTCCATTGCCTGCAAGGAGGAAGTGGAGAGTCTGAAAAATGAGAATGGCATACTCCAGGACCCTAAGACACAAGGTGTGATAGACCTGAGAAATATCTCTCAAAAGTGAGTACTTGATTTTCGTAACCATATTTTTGTAAGTTTTGAGAGGTTGGTTTAAGAGATATTATAATTTCAGAATGCTGAGCTTTTGGAGAAAGAATACACTCTAAACTTAAATGTTATTGAAATAGTTTTGTTAACATTTTATTATTTAGAAGACCAGAGAAGTTTCATTAACTGTTCTACTTTTTACTCAGATTATCTTGCTTCAAAGTTCATTGACAGGATTTATAGAAGAACTTTAGCCCCAGATTTTGTCAAAATTTAAAGTCCTAAAATTTGGTATCCTTTTACTTATGATGGATCCAGTCCACTGAAATAAAATAAAAATATGTGTTGCTCTGAAACGTACTTCCATGTCTTTTTTGTTGTAAAAAAGGGACAATATTTCTTATTGGCTACTCTATCAGGCTACTCTCATAACTGTGATATATTTTTAGTCAAAGTAGACAAAAAATTGGTCTTGCTAAAAGTGCAGACCAATTTCTGGGCTTAAAATCTTAGGTGCCACAAGCCCATGAAGTTTGGAATTTATTCCCATTTTCCAGATATCATTATGCAGATGAGCTGCGTGGCTCCGACCACTACAGATACCTCATAGACCTGGGCTCTGGAGAGGCCGTCTCTGATGTGCCAGAATGCAAAGGTGCTGCCATCTGTCAGACGAAAGTGGGGGCGCAATTCTACAGACATTTAGGCACCATGAACAGCAGCAAGTTCTACTTAGAAGGTAATGCAGCTTGGTATTTGGTTTTCCAGAAGATGGTCAGATTTTCAGGTTTACATTAACAGGTGTTTAATTTTTTCTATCAGAAGACAGTCAAATATGGAGGATGGATCAACAAAGATAATTTGGAAGGCTGTCAGAAATATCTCTGGATCTGCCCTAACAAAGCATAATCCAACCTGCTGAAGAAATATGAATAATTTTAAAACAGTGTGATTCTGTACAGATATTAGGTTCTTATTTTATATTTTTTGTGTTTCAGATAATGTGTTGGAGATGATAATGGAGTCTCCCAGTGCCTGTGGTAAGGATAACACGAAGACAGTGCGCACTATCATAGACTTCTATTGTACTGAGGAGTGGGTAAGTAGGGTGCACTGATTAACTCTTGACATTTAAGGGGAGAAAACAGGTTTTATATTTATAGTTAGTTTTTATTCATGAGCATATGTCATATTTAATTCCTCATTTATTCGAATACCTCTGATATATTTTCCAGTGACATACTTATAGGCTGGGATAATTTGATGTTCCTTTACATTCCAGGGAGAACCTGCATTTGACTTTGAGTCCCACTCCTGTGAATATCTCTTTGATTGGGGCACCCCAGCAGCATGTGTGCAGTTTGACATGTAGGTATCTCAAGCAGTGTACCTGCAAACTATGCATTTTACACTGATATACATATGCACTGGTACTCATGGCTATGTATGTATGTATGTAACACACACACACACACACATGCATACACACACATGCGCACACACACACACCTTCTCTGTTCTGTGGTATTTGCCAAAAAGTTACATGTAACTTTGAAAATTGGGAGGAATGCAACATTTGTGTTCAGTACAATCATGTCCGACCAAAATGCATAAAAAGGGGAAAATGACATGTTATTCATTCATTTCAGCCATAATCCAAGCCCAGTGCCCCATGACCATGACAGCGGCTCAGGGGGTCACACTGGGCCAACCCAGGGGGGACCACCTAGTGCCTCAACCATTGCTGCCATTATATCTACATTCATGGGGGTCATATTACTATGTCTGTTAGTCATATACTTCCATAAGGAAGAAAGAAGGTGACTATAGTTGTAAATGCCATTTTGAATGCTTTTTAAATGTTAGCGTAAAATAACTGATCGGTCCTGTGATACTATGACCCGTTTTGCAAATATACTTTGGTGGAAAATTGGTCATGGCTAAGTCAGTTCAGAATAATGATCAACAAAGATTTGTGATTGCTAGATTTAAGATGGAGTAAATGAATTTTTTAGTTTGAAATATTGAAAGAAAGATGCTTTAGAGAGTCAGTTTGTAAGGCATTATAGTTTTTTTTTTTTTTTTTTTTTTTTTTTTTTTTTGGTTTTGTGTTTTCCTTTTTCCTTTTTTGTTCTATTTTTANCAGAAGACAGTCAAATATGGAGGATGAATCAACAAAGATAATTTGGAAGACTGTCAGAAATATCTCTGGATCCGCCCCAACAAAGCATAATCCAACCTGCTGGAGAAATATGAATAATTTTAAAACAGTATGATTCTGTACAGATATTAGGTTCTTATTTGATATTTTTTGTGTTTCAGATAATGTGTTGGAGATGATAATGGAGTCTCCCAGTGCCTGTGGTAAGGATAACACGAAGACAGTGCGCACTATCATAGACTTCTATTGTACTGAGGAGTGGGTAAGTAGTGTACACTGATTAACTCTTGACATTTAAGGGGAGAAAACAGGTTTTATATTTATAGTTAGTTTTTATTCATGAGCATATGTCATATTTAATTCCTCATTTATTCGAATACCTCTGATATATTTTCCAGTGACATACTTATAGGCTGGGATAATTTGATGTTCCTTTACATTCCAGGGAGAACCTGCATTTGACTTTGAGTCCCACTCCTGTGAATATCTCTTTGATTGGGGCACCCCAGCAGCATGTGTGCAGTTTGACATGTAGGTATCTCAAGCAGTGTACCTGCAAACTATGCATTTTACACTGATATACATATGCACTGGTACTCATGGCTATGTATGTATGTATGTAACACGCACACACACATGCATACACACACATGCACACACACACACACCTTCTCTGTTCTGTGGTATTTGCCAAAAAGTTACATATAACTTTGAAAATTGGGAGGAATGCAACATTTGTGTTCAGTACAATCATGTCCGACCAAAATGCATAAAAAGGGGAAAATGACATGTTATTCATTCATTTCAGCCATAATCCAAGCCCAGTGCCCCATGACCATGACAGCGGCTCAGGGGGTCACACTGGGCCAACCCAGGGGGGACCACCTAGTGCCTCAACCATTGCTGCCATTATATCTACATTCATGGGGGTCATATTACTATGTCTGTTAGTCATATACTTCCATAAGGAAGAAAGAAGGTGAGTATCGTTGTAAATGCCATTTTGAATGCTTTTTAAATGTTAGTGTAAAATAACTGATCGGTCCTGTGATACTATGACCCGTTTTGCAAATATACTTTGGTGGAAAATTGGTCATGGCTAAGTCAGTTCAGAATAATGATCAACAAAGATTTGTGATTGCTAGATTTAAGATGGAGTAAATGAATTTTTTAGTTTGAAATATTGAAAGAAAGATGCTTTAGAGAGTCAGTTTGTAAGGCATTATAGTTTTTTCTTTTTTTTTTTGGTATGTGATTGCCATCATCATCAGTATCTGGTCATAATCAGTATAATATTAGGTGTAATTTTAAATGGTTGTTTTTTCAGAAACTCATTTAAAACTAGAGTGAAGATCTGTTTTGGAAGGTCATCGGTTCCAAATTATCAATATTCAGTTGTAAGTATAAGGCAGCTGATCAGCAGGGTCACACAAGTTTCACTGAAACATGTATTAAAGCTTTCACAGCAAGTTCTTTGTACCTCTAACACTTGTCTTGCCAAGTTTTCTGTTAAAATTCAAGTCATTTTGCCAGGTTTTCTGTCACACTGTCATACTTATAGTCTACTGTCACACTTGCAATAATTCCAAGTTTACTGTCACATCAAATGCAGTCAAGGTAAGTCTGCCAAAAAACGTAAGTCAAATGTATTTTCACACTTTACACTTGTGACCATCCCATGTTATAATATAATGTTAAAATATGTCATCAAACTAGTGTGATATTAATTGTTTCCTTTTAATATTTGGCAAATTTTGGTACACATGCACTGCCACAATTGAAAAAATTCACTTTGAATCAATTCTACAGCTTACACGATAGAATTTATTTTTTTCCTGTTTAGGAGTTTTAAGTAAAGGGAATATTACATGACATATATCATGATGTAAATGTTATATTTCAGTTAAATCAAGGGGACGATGACTTGTTTGAAGAGCTTGTCAGAGATATATCCGAGGCAGGAGAGGAGGAAGTGAACATAATGAGGTCAGCGTCGCGGAAAAAGAAATATGACGAGGAACTTTTGACTGACCCAAGTATTGTACAGACAAGTTTCCATGACGACAGTGACGATGAAATTTTGACATGAAAACAGTTCATCTGTTATCTCTACATTCATGTACATGTTATTAAAATACACAGAGGTAGACACAGACTTATTTTATAAAGAGGAGTGGAACAGACCCACATATAGAGGAGAGGCCACTGTATCAGGATTTGCCTATTTATTTCTAGAACAAAAAAAAAAAAAAAAAAAAGGTGGCCCATGCCTCTACACATTCCCTTTCATATCTGCTTCTGTGATAATGCTGCGGTGCTATGTAGTATATTAATGGGGTGATGCCTGTTACAGTTTTGTCATAACTGGAGTGCCGGATGGATCTTTATGTCCCATGTATGCTACAGTGTGGTGACAGTGAAGTGTGTGTACATACGAAATGTGGCTGTACAGACTAGGTTGATAATGGTTATGATAATGATTATTTAAAAAATGAATGACCAGAAGGTTGAAGATTTTACAAAAAAAAAAAATCTTGAATGCACACAATTTGATATCACTACTGTTAGGTCTGGTTTAAAAAATAACTAAAAACTTCAGATAAATCAGATATCTTCCAGCACAGCCTTGGACAACAAAATCACTGGTTCATAGTTCTGAGAAATATTTTGGAATCTTTTGTAACTTGTTACTGTAGTAGATAAAAACAATAACACTCACAAACACAATGGGCAGTAGGCCTTTTTATATATCAAAAATAATTTCAGATATTCTAATATTTGAACCTCTCTTATAATGGAGATTAGGAGTGAACTATTTCACTGTTATGTCAAAAATGGTTATGCGGTACCTGCAAAACAGTATATAAAATAAATTAATGATGGTAATTTTTTAACAGTTTTGGATATTAGATTTAGTAATAATTATTGGGAAATTGAAAAAAAAAATTAGGTATTTAATGAAAAGTTCCAATTGGCATTGTATGGGATAAATATAGTCTAACCGAGTTGTTGACAACCCTGGTGGTTAATCGGCTTGTTTGCATAATGGTTTATGTTGACACCCAGAACTGGTTCAAGTTGAATTTAGTGGACCTGTCTTAAGATTTCTCATTGTGAACTGATACAGAGGGATCTCTTTTTTTTTTTTTTTGCAAACTTTCCCAAAACGTCCATCAGGAACTGGACATAATGTGTCATGGCAAAATTCTGTCACTTTTTAGTAGAACATTGGGGAAGGTGATTTGATTCTATCTCTTCTCTGAGATAAAATAGCGAAAGGATAGACTCTGTGTAATTAACTTTTAAATTGTGGATAGTTCTTGCCTAATTCTTCAGTTTTTTGTTGAATAACCCCAAAAATGTTATTTTAAACCATTACGTGGAATTATTCTGTTTAAGTGAACTATTGCAAAACTTTCCTAGTAAATTATTGATTTTGTGAAGTATTGTGGTCTAAAAGCGGAGACCAAATTTGGGGGCAAAGTTCTTTTTATAGAAAGCCCCCCTGAAGTATTTGACATATAACAGTATATGTCATGTTACTCAATACTCCTATTGTTTTGTTGCTTATGATGTTGTAGAACTCGTGTTTGAAAATGTTTGGTAAGATAGGTGTAGACGTTTATTAAACACTCACTTATGATGGACATTGGTAATAATTACTGAGTAATTTGTCATGTGCCTTATACTGTCCATCTGCGCAGTTATAGTAATTGCTCACAGATTTCTAACTTCTTTTTTGACTTAGGATTTCATGATTTCAAGACATTTTAATGTTTGACTAACTGCTCCCTCTCCCCCTGCAAATAATAATAATAATAATAATAATAATAATAATAATAATAATAAATTAATTAATAAAATATATAAAAAAAAGCAGAAAGGATGAAAGACCAAGTCAAAGACAATCCGAATTTCACCATTTCCTGCACTTTGCCCACTGTTCACAGTTATGTTTACAAATAATAATTTTTAATTGTTACAAATAATGTAACTAATTTATTTTGTTTGAACCAAGTGAGTGAGTGCAGTTCTCAAGGCTTTATGTATTCTGTGATATGTTTGCATGGCAAAAACATTTCAATGTCCAGGTAAAACTATTATTATTTTGAGGTGTTAACCAGTTATTGGTGATTCATGAGAAAATGATATAAGGCTTATTATGCGAAAAAATTATAATAATAAATAAAAAGATAAGAAAAAGAAAAATCAGTCTCTTGTTTTTCCCAATTTCATTCACCAGTAAAATACTAATTTCTTTTTTTTACCAACAAATTTAGTTCACTTCAGCTACAGTACGTTTGGGAGTTGGTGATTTCTGTTTTATTCATCTTTTTCACTAACCCCTTCGTCTTTAAGTAAATCGTGTTATGAAGAGATTACAATGAAGAGATTACATGCCGTGGAAAAAAGCCACTCACACACAAGTGCAAAGTCTCTGTACTTCTTAAAGGTTGGTGTTAGCGTTAATTTCTTACACACATAATTTTCTAAACTTTTACTAAACCAGCATATACAAATATACTATAATTGCCAGGCAATTTAAAGAACGCAAGAAAATTTTGCCGATCGACGTGAGGGAAATTCAAATCGTATATGTTTTAATCATAATACGTAAGACACAGATGTAGAGAAAAGGATCTGTTTTGACTTGCTTCACTCGTTATATGCACTTATTTATTTATTTATTTATTTATTTATTTATTTTCCTATTCATTTATTATCTTTTTTGTCTTCTTTGTCTATGCAGGGAATTATTCCCTGGTCTATGTCTATATAGATTGCGGAAAATGCATATCTTTCCTTTTTGCAAGAGTACGTTATTTTCGCTGCAGAAAAGATTCGTCCTTCCTCACTTTGAGATGACATGTACATGTAGGCCCTACGACAATTTTGAAAATTAATTATTTTTTTCATATTTCCGGATTCGATAAACTCTTGAAATACATTTTCTTCAAACAAAACGTGTCACACTAAATTCCGGGTGCACTCTTCCTTCCTGGCATCATACTATAAAAATAGCATCGGTTTATAACGAAATAATTGGCGAGAACCCATCTGCTCAATCAGGATGAAATTCATGGAATAGATTAAGATGCCTATGAGATTAACATTTCCCCTTCCTGTTCCTCATGCCCACCTGAAGGTGTATTGCTACAGGTAATTACTGTCCCGTAGTTACCGAAACGGAACAGAGCGAGGGCGTCGGGCATTTTAATGACATCGTTTTCTTTTGTCCACAAATAGAAGCACCACTGTTAAGTGGACAGTTCCTGATGAAAGGAAAGATATTTAACGTAGACATGAGAACGAAAATCGGACAGTGTCACAAGTGGAATGGTGAAAGAAAGTAGTGGTGACGACCATAAGCGAGCGACGCTTCTTGTAGTTTGTGACTTAATTTTCAAGTTACACCAGAGGGAAAACCGCCAGCAAGGACAACGTGTTAAAAATCAAATTGGTAAGCAAGATTTTCATTTACATGAAATATAAAAAGTGGCATAAATGAAAAAAAAAGGATCTTCGAAAATCATGAATTTTAGTAAATTACATTGACCGTTTGTTATCGTGAGATGTGAGTCTTCTCACTTGGCATCGGTATGTAACATTCTTACCAAGCAATAGTAAACTTCTTACTTTTAAAGGTAGTAAACAGATTTTTGAAAAAGCATTTTATGATTTTTTCCAAGTGCAGGGACACATTTTAATTTGACTTTTAAAGTTAATTCATAATTTATAGAATTGTTTTAACTCGTTTGTCAATTTATAAGTATATTGGCCTTATCTCAACCCAAAAAGATTGCCCATTTATTTATATCTCATGTGCAACAGTTAGTTGAATTAACTCTAAACTTATATATAGTTAGTTTCTTTCGAAAATCTCATCTCACATATCTCGCCTGTTTGAGACCTTTCACTGGGTAATGACTTGGTGCATGGCTGCATCTCGATTGACATCACTTTTTTTAGATCTGCAAAACAAACAATGTGCCCAAAAGCAAAACTCGATAATTGTTTTAAAATATAATTTCCACATTTACTTTAAACTTTTGATATTCGAAATAAAAAATAACAATATTAATTATGTCAGAATGCTTGAAAATCATCATGTAGGCTAATACTACCTCAACTGTGACAACAGCTATCATCTGACATTTTGTCGTCTGATTATGGTATGTGTCCTTTCCTCTGATTGGTGAAAAAAGTGTTTACGTCATCGAACCATATTTGATTTTGTTTCTCGGGTCTCAGTGACCGGGCCTCGCATTCCATGTTCAAGGATATTAGATCGTAATCTATGGCAAAATTATATAACAGAACACTTTACAAAATTTATATTCATTTTGATACAGGACACTTTATATCTTACTGGGGCATCGTCCAGGTGTTATATAATTAGAACGATGCATATCTATACAATTACCTTCCTTGCGTAGTCACGAGACGTCCGCAACAGGAAGATGGGACTTATTATCTTGATGTGCGAGACGTGCGTGTCGAAGCAGGGGTTTATTTCGGATAGATCTAAGAAATGTCCACTGTCAGACATATTTATTACTCTTTCTTTTTTATTTATTTTTATTCCCACCTCCTTTCAACCCCCACCCCAGTTTGTACATCTGGGTCCAGTTTCATCAACACTGCATGGATAGTACTTTGCAATTCCACGTCGCATAAGTTTTTTTTTACATATATTGTATAACAATATTGTTAGTTGTAAACAATTATATCAGCAAATATTTGTACCGTTAACTTATTGTTTTACATGACATAGGATTGGTTCTTATCTTAATGTTATTAATTCTTATCTCATTTGAAATTTTATATTTTCTAAATTCAGCAATTTTATTTCTAGCACCATGCCAGGAGAACGGTTAGTATGCGTTTGGCAAGCTGCACATGCAAACGATCCAAACCCAAGAAACAAAACTATTACCAAAGATGCCTTGAAAAAAGTCAATGTGCGATTTGCAGGCTTTCAATCTACGCATTACATGGAGAACAAATTCGACAGCACCTTCAAAGACGGGGTAACCTTTGAATTGTACAAAACTTACGTCCACAAATCTCTTCTTGAAAAAGGAGTTCCAGAGCACGTGCTTCATGACGACATAGAAAAGGCATGCTGGGATTTATCCAAGAGTAGCTATAAATGTTCTTTGCCAGGTAGCGATCTCTTTCGTCTCTGGCAAGTTGCTAATCGCCTTACGCAAGAGGGCACCTATCCTCCCATTATATGCACAGACGAATGTCAATGGCTAAGTGAGAAGATCGCATCCCACTTGGGAAAACACTGGAAAACAAACGATCACACTTACAAGGCAGATGGCGCCACTTTTCAAGATTTGCTGGATTCCCTCGATGACGTATACTTTCACGAGACATCACCCGATCTCGTCCACGCGTGCATCAAGGATTTGCACAAGTGGTTGGTGGAGGAGGTCATGAAAACTGGATGGATGTACAAGCGTACGCGAAAGCAGGCCAACTGGACCAACTGGACCAAAAGGTGGTTCGTTTTAAAGCCTGGACGACTGGAGTACTATGACAAGCCTGCCGTGGGGAATTCGACCAGTCGCCTTAAAGGTGAAGTCGTTATCTCTCAGAACACCAAACTTGAGTCATTGCCAGACTACAGTGGACTGGTTCGCAAGCTGTCCGGCCGCTTTAAGGTATCCAATGCACATGAAATAGAGTGCGAGATAGCGGATGCTGCGACCGGTGCCAGCAACAAAGAGAGACGCGCATGGCTGTCCTGCCTGGAGGAAGTCATTGAGACGTGCAAGGAGGGCATGACGCCGGTCCAGAAACTTCTCAACGAACGCCATCGCAGGCGGGAGATCAGTAGAGACGACAGCACGTCTAAAATTGACAACGCCTTGTCAGCGACCTACGAACGGTCAGTTGAGGACCAGAATGGCAACAGTCCTACTGAAGATGGTAAATACATAGTACCGGTAAAAGCACCAAACTTCCAGCCAGTGCCTATGTCCTCGCATTCTAACGGACAGGCAAAGAAACCAGATCCAGTGAAAATTTCAAACTCGTCCGCTGAAGTCCCCCCTGTTATAAATGTTGATCAACCAAGCATAGACACAGAGGAAAACAATGACAGCAACATGATCAAAGTTGCAGAAGAAAAACTGAAAGCCGTTTTCATGAAAATCGACACAAGTGGAAATGGCTGGATAGACCCCGAAGAGTTTTCAGCCTTCATTCACAGCCTCGGTTTGAAGATGACCGAGAAGGAGATCAACCTGGTTTTCAACACTGTCGACAAAGATTCCAACGGGAAAATAAACTTCGAAGAGTTTGAGGAGTATTTCTCAAGATACATCATGGATGAAAATTGCTCGTCCGCGTGTGTCGCTGCCCTCAGGGGTGCGTTTCTTGAGGCAGATCGTAACGGGACAGGGACCCTAAACTTCCACGAATTTGCAGAGTACGTTTGGGAGAAAAAAAGATCAATTCGTGTTTCTAAAATTCTGAAAGCTTTCAAGAAAATGGATGGCCAACAAAAAGGTGAGATAACCTTTACAGATTTCCGAGATCTCTACTTGAGACCTGGTGGAGGGGTTGAGGCACCAATTCCAGAGGAAGAGATCGAGCTGGTCCAGGAATCAGATTCTTTGGACGTTTTTGAACGTCAGCTGAAGCAGACCTACGATGACACGGACGTCGACACCCTATCCCATTACATACGGGACAGATGGGATAAGTTCACCAGTTTTCGTCGCCTTGGCGCTTCCGGTGAGGTCGTGATGAAGGGAGGGTCTGGCATGGTGGCGGATATCGTTCCCGGGGACTACAACCTCATGGACATCGCCTGTTTTTCGGACCTTCCCCCTCTTGTCCCCAAATGCACTGTCATCAAAGGAGTCAAGTGGGTCTCCAGCACCATTCCAGGGATTTCTGGCAAAATCGTTTTCCCGAGCGATTTTAATAAAGAGATCGTCACCGATTTGGCCACCAATGAGCATTTGAGGTACTACGGTTGTAGTTTTGCAGACTCGCAGCAGGTCAAGATCTCTTTGATGTACCGCCACGGAATTCAAGATTTCACCTACGAGAACAAATACCTTGAGGATTACGTCACCGTCTCCAATGGCGGTGCAGGCATCGAGAGACACGACTTCTCCCATCTCGACTGCCCTCTGGTGGAAGACTCAGGAGTTTTCATCATGGCGAAACTTGTGGGAGATGACGAATTGCACGTGACCGGCTTCCGTGTTCCAGTCCGCCATACACTGTATATACCCGGCGGTTGCATCCATTCTAATGATTACCTTAAAGGCACGTGGAGAACCATGCTCTCTGATGAAACTGACATTGACCACGTGCACTTGGTGAAGAAATCAGCGAAAGCGCTGGACGAGAATTTAACGGGCTTTAAATTTCAGTTTGTGTAACACCTTCTGAGTCTTTATATAATGTCATGGTGACTTTCTTTCCCCAGTCCCTTTTTACCATGATTTGATTGTAACCCCATTTCAATTTATCCAGTTCTACCAGAGGTGCGTTCCCTCTATGAACTAACACCAAAATGACTGAGTAAGAGTAATATTCTCTAGCGAAATTTTACCCAATCAATTTGGGGAATTTTTGAGAAATTCAAATTAGATTCAGAATACTAATTTTAATCTTAAAAGAAGTTTGTTAGAGCGTTTTTAAATAGTCTCTGTATACTAAAAAAAGAAATCGTTTGTTCATCTCTCTTACATGCCTTTTTTATAAAACTTTCCTATATTACATTCATTTGAAAGGTATTGTTAGAATATGAGCGTTTATTTTGTAGGCCTTGTAAAAGCTTTAATTTGCTTTAAATTCCAGTGGATTATTTGAAGGTTATTTGCCAAAATTTTCCAGTTGGTTAGATGTCATTATGTAGAGAAGATGACGTTAAAAATAATACTGTTATCATTTAATTATACCAGTTTTCATTGTAAATACATTTAGACGATAAACTAAAGTTTAAAGTCTTTACACATTAAGGCAATTTTGAATGTTGTCTACTTAATTTCCGTTATAGTCTTTTTGTACTTAAAGATAGAAAATGATTTATAAATAAATCAAAAGAAATTTTCAAATGATAAATGAATATAGAAGAAAAGTGTGCCCATAGAACGAGCCTCGTGAATGAATAAAGTCGCCATAGAACATCTTGAATGCGTCAGAGAAGCCGAGATGAATCTCAACCAATTGCATCAGGAAACGCGCACCTAACAAGTGCAATGATACTCCAGGATGTTACAGATGAATTGGCAGAAATCATTACAATTCAAGCGCTCAATAATGAGAAAGGCCACAATTACTTTGTTTACTGTCGAATCAACTGTCAAGTATGAAATGTCCTCGCCGCTTTTTAACAGTGAAACTGCCGGTTGAAACTGCTGGAAATCCGGTTATGTGCTTCGACTGAGATGACTATTTTTATGTATAAAGAAGTACAAAAGAAGTGAAAGTTGACTGGGAATTGCAACCATCATTATGTGTCCAAGGATGAAGAAAGGGAGGGAGGGAGGGGGTGAGAAGAGCGGGGATAGAGGAGTTACAGGGACGCCTTTGGACCTATTGCCTTTCAATGGAGAAATAAAGACTGTTAAAACATTTTGAGGCTAGGACTTTAGGCAGTTTCCAACCCTGATCTCTTTATCGTAATATGATACGCCTCCGATTGTGAAATGAAGTCTCTTTTATTTATTTATTTATATAGGCCTATTTATTTATTTTGTCTGGAAAAGGTCAGTTCTGAATCAAAGTTTTGACGGGGTCATGTCTTCACACCCCCGCACCGATAGGCCCTATGTTCCGCACCAATACTCCTCCGCACCGATACTCCCCCCATTTCGATGATTCAACGGATTTCGCCATAACGCTGACGCAACCCATTACGGAAAATACATAATTGTGAATCACTTTTGGCCACAGAGAAAGAATTCTATAGAAAAAAACATTGATATTATATCCAAGAATATAGATATTTGTGAGCGTTGAAAAATATTACAGTGACCAATCAAATTCTGAATCATTATTTATATATAATCACACATTCCATTAACAATTGATTAGTTTTGATGGTAAATATTTTTAAGTAAGAACATAATTTAACTTTAGGCCTCAAGAAGTACGTACTGCGCATTTATATATCACTGCGTTTATAAGAAATGAGTAGATCAATAAGAGATGCTTATCCAAGAAAATGTGATACTTTAATTAATTGCTGCATCCTTCAGCAACAGGCAATAACTCCATTACATAACATTATGTAGGATCATTTCCCGAGTCACGCGTGAGAGGTATGAGCAAGATGTATGTAATTTCGTGTCATCTGAACTTAATGACTCATCCTTCTCTCCTCGTCGTCACATGAGCGCATCCTTCGTGAAGTCTAAAAAAGATTTCATTGACATACTTAGATGGATGTTGGGAGTAAGGACTACAGCAGCAGGTAAGAAAAGAAAACCGTGTAGGGTTTACTGGAGGGGGATTTGGGGAGGGGAGGGGGCTGGGGGTCACAGTGGGTGAGACGCATCTGTTTTAGCTTTGGGATAACCCCTTTTCTCTCCCCCACTCCCTGAGAAAAGTAAAAGAGAGAATATTACAAGATAATAGAAACACGAAGAGGTTTCGTTAAGGTCGAAAAAACCTTGGAATTTTGTGTACATTGCTTTGATAACAAACTGCGAAAATGATCTTACAGAGAATACGATTATTCTGTATTCAATTTTCACTGTATTCTGTATATTATTACTCAGAGTCACATGAGCCCGTGTAACAGTAGCTATGCATAAGACATTTAATTCGTTGCGATTTAATTGTGGTGGTATTTAAATAAAGCCTTTAAGCCACCTGGGCTCAGAGAGTCTTGAGATTCAGGGTTCACTGATAATGTAGGTTTGTTTTCAGAAAACAGAAGGTGTCAGGTTCATATACCAGTGATAATAATAACAAATATAGACCGAGAGTTTCATTCTATTTTTACTGCGAAATTTGGAAAACGACGATCTGTAACATGTTATTTTCTTTTTGCAGTTAGGGCCATATATAATTTATTTAAAGATTATTTAATAAGCAAAATGAGCAAATAATATTCAAGCACATTTACATTCTAGTCTGAAGTAAATGTTTTAATTCGTAAATGACATAAAAACTGAACCGAATGACAAAGTAACAACTAAATGCTATACATGCATATGTGTGTATTCTTGTGTAAACACATTAAAAGTAAAGGATTCGTTTATACTTTGTGGTGAGTGATTTTATGTTTCAGTGATTGCATCACTCTTAATAAAAAGGGACAAGGTGACCTCAAACGAAGATATGTTAATATGCACCATAAACCAAAACAACCTGAATTCACATTAAAGATATTGTGTTCTAACGCCCCCAAATGCCCGTTATTTTGTTTCCACTTNATCCCCCCCCCCCCCCCCCCCCATTTCGATGATTCAACGGATTTCGCCATAACACTGACGCAACCCATTAAGGAAAATACATAATTGTGAATCACTTTTGGCCACAGAGAATGAATTCTAAAAAAAAAAAAACAAAAAAAAAACACGGATATTTCTGAGAGCGGAAAATATAACAGTGACCAAACAAATTCAGAATCATTATTTATATATAATCACACATTCCATTAACAATTGATTAGTTTTGATGGTAAATATTTTTAAGTAAGAACATAATTTAACTTTAGGCCTCAAGAAGTACGTACTGCGCATTTATATATCACTGCGTTTATAAGAAATGAGTAGATCAATAAGAGATGCTTATCCAAGAAAATGTGATACTTTAATTAATTGCTGCATCCTTCAGCAACAGGCAATAACTCCATTACATAACATTATGTAGGATCATTTCCCGAGTCACGCGTGAGAGGTATGAGCAAGATGTATGTAATTTCGTGTCATCTGAACTTAATGACTCATCCTTCTCTCCTCGTCGTCACATGAGCGCATCCTTCGTGAAGTCTAAAAAAGATTTCATTGACATCCTTAGATGGATGTTGGGAGTAAGGACAACAGCAGCAGGTAAGAAAAGAAAACCGTGTAGGGTTTACTGGAGGGGGATTGGGGGGGGGGGGCTGGGGAGGGGGTCACGGTGGGTGAGGTGCATCTGCTTTAGCTTTAGGATAACCCCTTTTCTCTCCCCCACTCCCTGAGAAAAGTAAAAGAGAGAATATTACAAGATAATAGAAACACGAAGAGGTTTCGTTAAGGTCGAAAAAATATTGGAATTTTTTGTACATTGTTATGATAACAAACTGCGAAAATGATCTTACAGAGAATACGATTATTCTGTACTCAATTTTCACTGTATTCTGTATATTATTACCAAGAGTCACATGAGCCCGTGTAACAGTAGCTATGCATAAGACATTTAATTCGTTGCGATATAATTGTGGTGGTATTTAAATCAAGCCTTTAAGCCACCTGGGCTCAGAGAGTCTTGAGATTCAGGGTTCACTGATAATGTAGGTTTGTTTTCAGAAAACAGAAAGTGTCAGGTTCATATACCAGTGATAATAATAACAAATATAGACCTAGAGTTTCATTCTATTTTTACTGCGAAATTTGGAAAAAGGCGATCTGTAACATGTTATTTTCTTTTTGCAGTTAGGGCCATATATAATTTATTTAAAGATTATTTAATAAGCAAAATGAGCAAATAATATTCAAGCACATTTACATTCTAGTCTGAAGTAAATGTTTTAATTCGTAAATGACATAAAAACTGAACCGAATGACAAAGTAACAACTAAATGCTATACATGCATATGTGTGTATTCTTGTGTAAACACATTAAAAGTAAAGGATTCGTTTATACTTTGTGGTGAGTGATTTTATGCTTCAGTGATTGCATCACTCTTAATAAAAAGGGACAAGGTGACCTCAAACGAAGATATGTTAATATGCACCATAAACCAAAACAACCTGAATTCACATTAAAGATATTGTGTTCTAACGCCCCCTAATGCCCGTTATTTTGTTTCCACTTGAATGTCATGATAAAAAAGTATAACCCTTTTTGACGCCTCTGTATTGTCACACAAAGTGGCTTGCCAGAATAAGAAAATAGAATGCTTCAAAAATAAACTCTTTCCGACTCTTACCGCTTAAATTACTGCACCTATTTTCCTGTTAAAACAAAGGATCTAAGCCAATCCCACGATGGCTTACATTTAGACCTTTTTCTTAAAGAAATAACATCGGCAAATACACAATTTAAAAAATTCAATCACGAGTCATTTATTTTAGGTCCACTGATTGGTTTATTTTTCTTCAGAGCTAGTGCTGCAAGTGGAAGAAAACCCAACCTCAAGTAATTTATATGCCGGATGTAGACGGAATGCTGTATGGAACCTTGTGGCGAAACTAAGTGAACGCAGTCTCAGAGTTCGCGAGATGATGCGGTGTTGACAAGCCCTAAGCCAGTTTTAAAAGTACGGTAAGGATACACGAACGCGCGTGAATGTGTGTGTGTGTGTGTGTGTGTGTGTGTGTGTGAGAGAGAGAGAGAGAGAGAGAGAGAGAGATTTCCAAAATAAGGAGCAAGGATATGGGATTCAATGTACTAAGCAGGCGCGTAGAAAGTTAAGTTTAATTTTATGTTACCCTTCAGATAAAATTAGTGACAAGGGTATCAGTGAGTGTCGTTGTTAAAAAAAGTGTGTGTGTGTGTGTGTGTGTGTGTGTGTGTTGGAGGGAGGTGAAAAATAGGAAGGCAAGTCTTGTTTCACCCCCACCCCCCCGATTCATCGACCGAGTGCAGTCGACATAAACAGTGCCAAAATTCACCTGTCATGTGCATGTACGGGTGTGTGAGACTAGACCAGCCATTCTCTATTTTTTAGTTGATTGGGGAATCATTGTACGAGTGCTGCAAAACTCACTAAATCCCTAGCAATTTCTTCATAGTTGTTGTGTTTTATATACGGGGCAAACGGCTTCTTTCACCAGCGACATTCAAGTGGGTATAATATTGTAGCTAGGATGTTTAACACGGGCCACATAAGTTGAAGATTCCGTAGTGCCATTTAGGGCCCCATTCATCATACATGGGTCAGAAATCTACGAGTTTGACGGCCCATAGCACCTGTCACTGACATTGTGGACCTTATGATAGATTTGCTTCCATATTATCACGACACCACAGTTGAATGTTATAATACATGACAACTAACAAGTGGTTGGCCAGTTTTGTGGGCGTCAATAACAACTACCCCTGAAAAATTTAAGTAACTGAATAGAAAGATGCACGTGAAGAGTGTCCACACCAGGTATTGTAGAATACAACCCTTAATTAAGGTCACTTACTGGCAAACAAGCTACACAAAGTACATGGTCCACAGTGCAGGAAAACATGACGGGTAATGATAGACTGAACGGTTTTTTGACTGCTGTCAAATACGGGCAAATACAACCTCCGTCGAAGAGTAGCTTTTAGGGACGGGGGGTGGGGGGGGGGGGGTCCAGTTTTTTTAAAGAATGACAGACCTCGGATGCGAAGGTGCAGTTTAGAACTATGATTCATCTGTTCAAAATTGTAATATCAAGAGGGAATATTGGTGTGATTTTTTCCAGATACCGAATTGGGGGGGGGGGGGGTCGGGACCCCCCTGACCCCCCCTAAATCCGCCACTGGGGTAGGAGGTGCAGTAGGTCACACCCCCTTTAAGCTTCAGAAGTGCCCACCTCTTAACCATCACCACCCCTCAAAAGAAGTTTATTATCACCAAGCATTTTAATCCCTGTACCCTACATATGAAAATATAATTGAATATTGTCCCAGTATGCTATTTTAATGTACATGTACATGTATTTGCCTAGCTTCGTTCGGCAAACACTTATTTGCCCCCCCCCCCCCCCCACCTCTGCTCAACTCCTCAGTTGATGCAATGCAAATGTCATGCGTCAGATAAATATTATTAATGAAGGGGAAATGGTTAAGCGTCTGTTCTGGCGATTTATTTAATTACACTGCAACATTACGCAATGACAAAGACGCAACGTGAAGTTTCTTTCAGCTGACGCACGCATACAATATTTCTAACTAACATCCGCTTTTTTAGTTAACGTGTGGCAAAAAACGATGGATAATTTCCAGCTGGAGGTAACATTGCAGAATACATTGCATTGCGATATTTTTCTTCTTTCTTTTCCCCTCAAGCGTTATTTTCAATATGGGTGAATTGCTTCATCGAACTGGTCTATTCCGTAGGCTACAGATACAGCAGACTGTAAAGTCACCCGTCTTGTTATCAATAATTTTGTAGGACTTCAGCCACAGAGAAAAAAAAAGAGTAAATCAGTCGTTCGTGACATATAAAAAAGACCAAATTGCAAAACATATGAAAACTTTAAAAAGCATTTTGTTATTACTTTCCAGGACTTGACTCAAGAGGAAGCATGACCAAGCGTGCCATTGTGTTAGTTGTGCTCTTGTTGTGCCAAGCGCGCAATGGCGGTGCACAGGACCCGTGCCCTGCGGTATGCAGTTGCAGTCTGGTGACACTTGACGAGGAACAGGGGTGGTCGGCTGACTGTAGGTTCAGGAACATAATAACAATACCAGCTTTCAGAGACAGTGCCAGACCTCTGTATGTGCTTAATTTAATAGGAAATAAGATACAAAACCTATCTCTCATTAACACTCCATACTTGAAGGAATTATACTTAGCTGAAAATGCAATTGCTGATTTAGGAGCATCTTCACTGGATGGAATGTCAGATTCCTTAAAAATCTTGAATCTCGGTTCAAATCCATTGAACACCTACCCCACAGCCCTTCACAATTTAAAAGTTCTTGAGAGGCTGGACCTTTACAACGTAGGACTCACGGGTCTAGACGTAAATTTTTCTAAGGAACAGTTTAAATCTTTGCGGATTCTTAATCTTGGAGACAATAAACTTACAAATATTCCACCAGCTGTCATGAATTTAACCAGCCTGGAGCAGCTTTTATTATATGGAAACCAGATACACGCCGTTGACGGTAGCGTGTTCCAGAATCTTAATTCATTGAACATTTTGAACATTGGAAACAACAGACTGACGACAGCGCCATCTAGATTACACATGCTACCCAAACTCCGAGAGCTGTTACTGTATGGTAATAGCATCGCTAATGTAAGCGATATGGCGCTACGGGATCTCCCTCTATTGACTAGGTTAAACCTGGGCACCAATGTGCTGACAGAAGTCCCAAAAGCTATTCAATTACTGCCTAGTTTGGAAAAATTGGAACTGTACGAAAACCGAATAAGCGCCATAGAACCGAACTTGTTTGAAAATCAAAGCAGAACTCTAAGGGTAATAAACCTTGGTGGCAATAGACTTCTAAAAATCCCTGATGCAATACGAGACCTTCCCAATTTGGTGGAGCTTGATCTGTACAAAAATAACATTTTTGATTTCGACACAGATATCTTTACGAACCATCAAGAATCCCTTAGAATCATTGACCTGGGCTCAAACAGCCTCACGTCTATCCCTGAAAGCATCCGGAAATTGCGCTCTTTAGAAAAACTCGTTTTGTCCAATAATAAGTTCCAAACTCTTGAAGAGCGCAATTTTGATGATTTGCGTAATTTGAAAACTTTGCTACTGGGTCCAGGTAACAACTGGCATTGCAACTGTACATTGGATTTTTTGCGAAATTTAAAAGTGTTGGCTCCTGATCCAAAATATTTAGCGATTTGTGCCACTCCACCTCTTCACGAGGGGAAGAGCGTTCTTAATTTTTCAACCCAATCATGCGCCAAAAGAGGCCCGTCTTTTGAAGGAAGTGAATCCATGCTTCCGGTATGGGGATGGGCCGTAATTGCATGTGTTTGTGCGGTCCTAATTTTGATCACGTCTGTATTGCTGATCAAGTGGATCAAGAAGCGTAGAAAAAAGGAGTATTCCAATGATTCTGAAACCTCCCGCAAGATGAAAGGAGAAAACTCGTGGAAGAATGAGATAGGGTACGAACCGAAACAGGTAACGCAACAGGTCTTCACTTCTCCAGACCTCCATAAGTCTCCAACTTCACAGATATCTATCCGATCACGTCCGCCATTGCCTCTTCCTGAAATCCCAGAGTACCTTGAAATTTTACCCAGTGTATCACCAGGCTCGGAAAAAGTGACAAATAATTCATGTCCTGATTACAACTATGTTCCAAATTCTACCCTTATCAATTTCAAATCTGAAACGCCGCATGGGGGCCAATTGGAGAAGGCAGACGAACACGTTGACCCTCAGGGCTACCTTAAGATGTCTGCCTGCTCGAGTTGGAGGGACAACACGTACGAAGAATTGCCAGAAGACGGCGATAGTCTGGATCCTGACGCTTCAGCCTTCACAACCTATTCGCACCTGGTGCCAGAGAAAGAATACCAAAATGTGCCCGATATAGAAAATAGGGAATCCCAAAAGTACACAGATTTATTACCAACGTATCAAAACTCATTTTAGACAAAATCAAGGGGCAGAGAACTCCCTTTTCTAAAACAAAACGGCAGACTCAGTCCTGTCTGTCTCGTTATTTGGAAAGGGAAATTGGCTCACGCAGAGATCTGCTTTACATAATTGTGGGAAAATGCCGCGAGCTGATCTGTCTTTGCACTGCAGAGAGTGTGGTGGCGTGTACGCTATGTCATAGCCTAAGTCGGACATTTTTGTTATCAGACATGCCAGAGTGTTAAATTTTAGGGCTTAGAGAATTTGATACAAAATTGCTGAGATACATTTGTTTGCTTCGAAAGATGTCATAGTTTCACTTTGATCATTTGCCACGTTTTGTCCCACGTATTTAAGTGTGTTGAACAGTGTATTCAATTTATATAAAACAACTCACACTGGAATCGGCTGACATGCTACAGATGTTCCGAAAAGAACGGTGCAAACGCACCACTGAGGCACAGGTTTTTTCCACGAATGACAAAACAAGCACAAGTCCTTTGTCTAATAAGCTTTAGTAAAGTTATAAATATTACTGTGGATTTTATTCACAATAGACAATAATAGCAGAAACACATTTTCAGGATTCGCTTAGTTAAATTAGCTGTTGAACTTTAAACTTTTTAAATTTCTTGAATTACTATATAATGTGTTCATGTACACGTCTAAAGTATATTCAGATTAATTTTGCTTGTAACCTGAAATAAACGTAAATTGCAGAGATAAGCACATTATTGGAATGTCCAGGCAAACATGCAATTTCAGTGAATAATTCCTCAGACATTTTAAAAGGATTTACAATTAAACTACTGATTTTTCATACAACGGATATGTCTCACAAACTATTGTAAACAAACAAAATAGGTATTTTGTCAACTGTCCAAATTTATAACGGTAAATATATATTTTGGTACAAGACTTGACAGAGAATTGAGACTACGCTGAGGCAGAGCGACTCTCTCGCTATTACTAGATAATGAATCAAATGATGACAGTCTTCAGAGTGATATATCATCATTTGATTCCAACTATATAATTATGCTTACTCAAAAAATGTTATTTTTAAATGTACTAGACTGAGCTAAATGACAACATTTTATCAAAGGCATGATGCCCAGTGCTTTATGGGAACAAATTTTCTTGATTTTCCCTGATTTGAGGAACTTTTCTCAAATTCCTTGACTGTAAAAAGGGTTAGTCACTTTCCGGTTTTCACATAATTCCAAGAGTGCCGAAAACCTTAGTTTGTGTCGAATTTGGGTTCACCTTAATGCTTTTCCCTTCAATATTTGGCACCAGATGGCGCTGTTAGCAAAGGATTCAACATCCAAGACAAACCTTTACTCAACTACCGTAATTTCAAAGCTAATGTAATTTTTTTCCGTATTCATAAATCAAACGCTATAGCTACCATCACCATAGAAATCACAAGTTCGTTGGTAACAAAACGAATGTGTCCCTGATTTTTGGTCGTAGAAGTTTCAGTAGTGGACGAAAAACTCAATGGATACACTGTGCTGGCGCTAGTAGTGCTTGGCTCGCAGGAAGGGTAATTTTCCGGCCGTATACGAATCGGTCTTCCGTACAAATGCAGCTGCTTGTTTTTTAGAACTCTTTCTATCCAAGCCTGCGTACAAGTTGCAAACTGCCGACCTTGTTCGTAGCCTGCCTGTGTCACGTGGAGCGTAGCCAAGACTTTGAAGACGACGGTTCTGTTGGCTGCAAGCTCATCGTATTGCGGGCCGCAGCTTCGATAAACTGCATTTGCTGCATTTAATACATCTTTTAATTGTTTCTCTCTAGATATCAATGCGTTGCAACCATCTCCCAGTGATGATAGCCAGCCAAGGGGCACAAAATGCAGTTGAATCAAGTGCCTTACTATTGTGAAATTAAGGAGGGGTCGGCAGTTCTGTCCCTCAGGAACAAACAGAGGAGGGCAAGTCGACTGCTGTGCTTGAGGCTGAAAATGTGACATCGTATAAACTATACGTAGTAGAAAGAAATATTTTAAGTTCTTAGTCTCTAGCCATTTCAACTTTAGTAAAATACTTTTATATCGCTTGAATGAACACAAGTCGTCCAAATTGCGACTTGTTGTTTTGAAAAGGTTTATTTTAATTCCACGGATTTAGGTTTGGTATTAAAGACTATACTTTACACGCTAGCAATGTCCTCAGTCCGTTAGAGTTTTAACTCAATTACTTTTACAGTAAATAACCTCACAGCCTACACGAAGGAACCATTCCCAGACCCTATCGTTCTAACTGTGGATCGATCCATCTCCAGGGCAATACTCGCTAAATTGCAAACAACTAAAGCTGCTTAGATGTCTGTCACGCCAAGCTGCTAGGGGGTAATTAATTATCGTTTAGCAGCTTTAGTATGCGTGCCAAACATCTAAGCCGCTGAAGCTGAAAGCAATCTAGCGAGAAACCCCTTGGAGATGGGTCGAACCGATCGATCTAGGTATTGGAACCCAGTCAAACATTAAATTCCGAACTTCTTAACTGTTCCTTCCATGTGTTCTTACGTACCATGGTCATGACGTCATCATCCTGGTTCCGGTTCAGATCTCCAACGTACAGTAGGGCGCGGAAAGACAGATCTTCTATCGCTCGGAAATCGTCTGGTGGTTTATATATATCTGGATATTATTAAAAAAAAACATTATGTAAGCGCTGCGATGTTATTTGTTTTTCGTGTAAGAATTGTTAAATGCCAAGATGCTACACTACAATATTCGATAGTTTAGTCAGTAGGCCATAAGGTCTGTCCGGAAAATACGAGAAGAAATGGTTAAGACAAATGACAAAGCTTACTAATTATTTTCAAAGTGTTTTAAAATAAAGGTAAGTACAATACTTAAAACTGATGGGAAATGACCTTTAAATATCTTAGCGATGATGAAATGTGGGAGGGAATTTCAGGGAACCATTCAAACAAACTAAAATACGCGATTCTCTATTATTTGATTTTACACAAATTATTCAACATTAACATTATTTTTCTGAGAACACTAATTATGGTAGGAAAACTGCACATATTCAGAACATTTAGTATACAAAGAAAAATACCCTTCCTTTGCAATAAACAGGAAAATTCGGTATTTCTGATCTACGTGCGCGCAAGGTGCAGAACCTCCATTTTATATCTTTATGTTGCATGTATATTTCTTAATATTCATAACGCCACTTACCGTCACAAAATTGTACCCCGTAGTAACAGACCATGCAGTGGTAGTTCTTCTCAATCCCTTCTGAACCGTCTACGATAACAGGGTTGTTGTACGCCAAGCAAGCATCTCGTAAAGCGGAGTGGAGCGGTAATGGTAATGGTAAACGATACACGCTACCATTTATAAGTCTGAACTTACAAGGACCAAAGGCATCGTTCTCAATTTCTCGGAAGCACATCCTCAAATTCCATTCCAGGTTGGCTTCAAAAATACCATTACACTTTTCTTTTTCCAGTTTTCTTAACACACAAGCCGAGGAGCTACAATTTACAAAATCGTGAATTAGTGTTCTTCTGCAAGAGACGACCAGTCCCCACGGTTCCAAGCCGTTCTCGATACCATTACAAGCTGCACAGTACTTGTTTCTGAAGGTGATCATTGAATCTGGGTCGGTGACTGGCTGTTGCAGGAGCACATCTTCTGAGAGGCTAGCATTTGGTGTATCTGTGCACTTAAGACGGGTTTTTTCGTCCAACCACGACGATGGACATTGATCCACCATCAAAAATCGTGGTCCATTACGGTCGACATGCGGCAGTTGTTTTTTTGGCAGTTGTTTTTGTAATTGTGGACGATTTCTGCAGGAGCTTTTAAGTGCCAGTGAAATCGCCACAGGATCGCCTGGTTTTTCATGCCATTCCCAAGAGGAAGTTTTGTTATGGGACAGGATAGTGCTGTTAATTTCAGCTACTGTTAAGTTGGATGCAAGGATTGTTTTAGAATGTGAGGAACTTTTCTGCTTTTTTATTTTGGTGGAGGCGGCGCACACCTTGGTGTTTTCTGGCATACCGTAACAGCAGTCACCGTACAAGACGCACAGAGAGTCACAGCTGCAGTAGATCTTAATGCTGAACGAACGATACGTTTTCTTTAAACAGAGCCATCGATGTGGTTCAACTGTTTGCTCAATCTCATTTGGAAAGGATTCTTCCTCGTCCAAGGCACCCTCTTGGTTCTGCGGCTTCTGCATGGTACCCTTTTCTTTTGCACTCTCAGCATTGGGCGATTCTTGTGTGGTTTCTACGTGCATTCCACTCTGTGGATTCGGGGCATTTGTCGTGTTTTTCCCCGTCATTCCCTCTTCAAGATAAACAGATTCTGTCGTGATTCCCTCAGGAGTTACGTTCACTACATCGGGTGCCTTTTGGGTGAATTTCTGAGCGTGGCCCTTCTTTTGGGAATGAAACAGCATAACGGCTGTCAACAGCACGCATAAAGCAAGGTATACATTCATCCTAGTATTAAATATGAACACTTCAGCAATAGCATAGTGAAGTTGCTTACACCAAAGTTCGACGATCTTTTATAACGCTCATGCCCTTATTGATATAAATTATTCGACTTGTAAATAACCGTTTGTGTGCGATCGCGTGCATCGCACGCTTGGAGAAAGGTGAAGTGTCATCGTGCGGTTTGTCATTTATGTAAGGGGCACTCTAATTGGATAAATTAGCTTGAACGCACCTGTCATCCAAGTCAACAAGACTAAAAAAAATATCTCGAAAATTGGATGTCCTTTTGCGGACTGACCCTACGTCACCGCAATGCATGTCACCATGACGTTTGAGAAAGAGAAATAGTATAAGTTCAAACAGGGTTATAGGAATGAGCCGGAAACGAGTTAATTAGGAGCCAGGTGGCGTGATGCGCACGGAGCACGTAAAGCCATGGTCACGCGAAGAAGCTACAAACGGGTTGTCCTTACAAGGCCAGATATGAAAGTTATTTTGTTTCTAACTAAGCTGACAATTACCATGAGATACCATGTACAAATAGATCTTATACTTGGGCTGTGTTCATTTAATCGCTTACAACCGTATCACGTGCCTGCGCCGCTGTGTCCAATATGCCTGGGTTTTGACCGTCTCGAGCCTCTCGACCCTAAATTCATCATCCCAACAGTGGCTGAGAGAACTTTAGTCCATGGATTGAGATTAGAGTTGCAAATAACCTAAAACATGTCGCCCAGCGGTTTGCCATTCTTAATGTAATCACTTTTTAAACTGTCGCTGAAAGAGGACTATAACCACCATTGTAACAAACCTTGAGAGACAGATTTACCCAGTTACATGTAAATCAGAGGTTCGTTTCAGACAGGTTCGGAGTAGAAACAGCTCGGTTTGAAAATGCAATTAAAAGAAAATGTTATACGCGCTCTTCGTCTCTTGTCATACAGTTGGTTGTCAATCTAAATTACCTTGTGTGTAAATGGCGTGGTTGGAACATTACAATTTTAACCCCGCCCACTAGAATAACGCTCCCTATGAAATCTTAATAACTATTCTTTACCTGAAAATTTCCTTAACAATGATCTAGGGTGATCATAAATTCTATTGGCTATTCGTCTCTTGCCCTAGGGATTTTCGTAAGGGACAATAAGACGCGCTTGACTTTACTTTAAGGTTCGTGCGGGCAGACAACTCAAATAGCAACTGTCAATATATAAATATAAATACGTATAAATTATTATTTATTTTAACAGGTACATGCATGTATGTTTCATATACCCTGAAGTTTGCTATGTTAATGTCATTGCACAATACTTGGTGCACGTACTCCGTAAATAGATAATATTTAATAAAGGTTTCAAGTGAACAATTAATTGTGCTTAGCTGGACCCTTTTCGATAACAAAATTCTGGGGAAATCTTTAACAATGCAACCGACGCCATAATTACAGGTGGTAGCCTATTGAATGCATCATCGCTATTTATAGATACTGTTGTGATAGGGTCAATGTTATTGATGAAGGTGTAAACAGAGAACGGCCAGCTCTGTAAAAACCGTGTGTAAGGTATGTATTGTTTGTATTTCACCGACGTTGACGCTGGGAGGGGAGAATTAATATACTGATGTTAACCTAATATGTAAATCTATAGATCTATATTTCTTATTTACATTGAAGCTGTACACGAAGCTTTAAAAAAATGTGAGCATTAGTACGCAAATCATCAATTCCAAGTAGGTCAAGTCCAGGGCGTCAACAAAAATTGAGAAAAACAATATTGTAATTTGTAAAGTATGTAGGAAATTATGTAGAGCTTGAAGGAAATTAGCTTTAAAGCATATACTTATAGTGACAAACTGATATCGGGGAAATACCCGCAGTCGTAAAATTTTCACTTTCGTTTTAAGCTGTGGCAGACATTTTGGCCTCATTCTATTCAAGCACGCTCTCTCTCGAATATTATTATTATTACTACGCAGCAGTTACGTTCAATCTAAAGATTTTCTTACTCTCAACAATTTCAATTTTAACCTCGGGCGTTTCCATGCCAACGCATCTGACACTCATATCAAGGCGGAAATGAAAGCTTAGGGCCTAAGCTACATGTATCAGAAAAATGAAGGTCAATGAAAGTCCAAAAAGGAGGGGAGGGGGGTACTAAGTACTGAGGCCCGTAGACGAGACCCTTATATATACCGTATATACAGTAGTTTGGGACTATTTTGTGGCTCACACGGGTTTAAATGTTGACTTTTAGATTACATGTATCTATCAATAGTGTCGAGGTTAAATGTAATCTCCCTGTTACAATTACTGCGGTAAACCGTATGTTAAAATCACGGTGCAGATTAAGCAGATGCGCAGGATAGGCAAAACGCCTCTCGTCTCACAATGATCAGAATGGCGCCACTGCGTGAGAGTATTTTGACACACAATACCCTTATAAAATAATGGGGCACGTGAATGTTGTATTTAGCTTTCAATTTATATCATTATAAATCTTAAGTCAGTCCTTCTTTATTTTATTTATAAACGAGTATTTATTACATCTAGTAAGTAAGTAAGTACCTCGGACCTAACAAAAGAACTGCAGGAAAATATGACATGGTCACGTGGAAAGGTGAAAGAAATACTTTTAGAGAACAGTTAAAGAACCGTGAGGTTAAAAAAGAAAAAAGTCACTTTCAGAAAGAATCGGGAACCGACTGACATCATGTAGCACTTATTCTAACCTGCAAGTCTGTCATCAATTCAAGAAAAATATTAGGGGAGATATTGTTTGCATACGATCAAATACAGAAATATATGCTTCACCCTTACTAAATCCAGCATAAGAGCTCGGCTTTTGAAAGGAACGAAAAAAGGGAAGAAATAGACGAAAGTGGTAAAAACTGTACCACCGGGGAAATAGAGGAATGAATAATAATAATAAGTTTCTTATTTGGCGCCTTACAATGGATAATGTAACTAAAATCATTAAAATTGCTACAATATTTAAATCTAAAACACTCCTCAGAACCATTTAAAATTAACACTACTAAGAACTGAGTCTTATTAAAAATTTAAGAGCAACAGACAGATGTCCTTGTACAAGTAGCATGCGGTGTTATCTCTACTCGGTGTACAAAATAACTTACTTGAACTTTAGCATCAAAGATAAATATATCACACTGATAAACAGAAAAAAGATGATCATATGATAGTACTTGCCAAGTAATTATGAGTAACCTTTCATAAAGAGGAACTGAATGAATTAATTTCATCCGTCTACCCAAGTGCCTGATCTTTTTTTCCTTTTTTTTTTTGCACAGCATTATGCTAAATACATTTTAATCAGTTTCTTAGTATGTACGTATTGCGCATTATCTTTGGCATACATTCATCCCATTGCATAGGCTTATGTTACAGAAATAAATCCACTTCATTTAAAATCCATAAAACTTTTATTTCAGCAAACGTTTACTACCAAGAACACAAAATGTCTACGGCCGTCTTGGGAAAAACTGAAGTTGGTGTGCGAAGAACTACCACTGACATCAAAGTGGATGAAACCCCGAAGTCCAAACTGATGTATTATTTCAACTGCATCTGCACGGTGCTGCAGATGGAAAACACCCCTCGGATAAGTCGTCTGCGGAATTACCGTAAACATCGCGTATTAAGCGAAGAAGACACCGATCACCTATTGCTGTTGTGTTTTTTCATGAGCCCAGACGAGCTGGTGAACAAGTGCATCTTCATGGACGAGTCCATGTGCCACGAATACTTGAACGAGTTCTACGAAATCAGCGCCGTCAGCAGGGCATTCGTGGTGTCCCCGGAAGTCTTGGTTGGCGGAGAGAGGAAACAAGTGCGCAAGATTATGTGTTTCACTCAGTCGTGGCTGAAGGACAACTACATTGATCCCATGAAAACGTACGAGGAACGCCTTCGTAGAATCACCTCTGAGTTGCGGTCTGCCGCGTCGAGAGGCACTTCTGCTTCACCGAGAAGACGACCTCAACCTTCGGCGCCACCTTCCTCGCAAGATTCGTCCTGCGTGATCTTGTAACTGAATGTAGAACAAGGACATTTGAGAGAAAATATCTACTGCAGGTATTCTTCTACTTTGCAAAATTCTCCTTTTTGAGGCAGATGTGCGTTTTATGGAAACTATGTCACGCGCAATACCACACAACAATAATACAGGAGAAATGTGACAGAGAGCCCCCCCCCCCATTAAGAGTCAGTTTCTCATTCATTTGTACAGGTAATTAAGCCTCGCCCTGGATTTTGACTTGGTCAGGCTAACCCTAACCATTATAACTTAATGGAGGGCGGACTTTCTGTTACACGGACCCTCAGTTTCGTTACACCGGCACACGCTTTGGATATCTTTTTAAATCGGACATGTTGATGAAAGTGTGATCGCAATCTCAATAAAACTTATCCGTGAAAACTTTCCATTAGCCTTAAACGCACTTTTCTTTTTTGTGTCAAATCCAAGGACATTTGAGTGAAAGATGAACCCCTCCTCCAGGGATAATACTCAACTCCTCTCCTCCGTTCGATTCTGAAAAGACGTTTAACACAAAGACTGGAGATGGAACTGGCATTAGCTGACAAAACATTCCATATAAAGTAGAATTAATCTTTTGTTTTATTAATACTTACGCATAATATGCATAATATGCTATCAGATTTTTATTTTTAATAATTGGAGGATAAAAGCGTTTTTTTTTTCATCCAAGATGCCATAATTGCCGCAAGGAGTTATTAAGTTATGAAGATCACTTTTAATTACTTGCCCCCTCTACACTGCATACAGAAAGAAACTCTTTCAAGTAGTGAAGGGCGGAACAACAACGTCAAATTCTCCTCCATAACAAACGAGACAGTGATATTATCTTGGGTCAATCATATCGTTCTCGCTTTTGAGAAAAAACTTTGCTGTTTCTTACACTTACCAGTGTCTATATTGTTTATAATTATAAATAATAACTCTAAGTATTAAGGTCCAGAAAACTAGAAAAGAAAATTGTATAATGTGCACTAGTAGATATATGTATTGAATGTTTAGAATGTAAATTGTATTTATTTATTTATTTCTGTACACTTTCACCAGCTCAGTCTAATGTAAAATGCACGTATGAATAAAGAGCTGTAATTAACACAGAAAGGTTTATTTCAATTATTGCTGAGGTGCGGATGGTGTGTTCAGGTATGCTTTCATAGCTCCGTTCGATGTCATTAATCGAACCCATGCTGTCTGAAAATGTGGCTTGAACTGTTAGAAAGACACGTAAATAGTTCAGAAGTGATATTAAGGCAAATTTCCAAAATATTTTATTTAGCACTGACTTCCATCACCTATCGGAATCTGAAATGTACTACAACATGTATGGCATGACCCGTCAACCTCGATTAGTCCATCATACGTAGCGATGAGGACAGATCGGGGCAAGCTTGTTTGTTTTCAGACACCCATCTTGTACTTGTTTATCACGACAATAAATGGCATTTTAAATTTGAAGCAGCTAGCTTGTCCACAGCGCTTCTGACACCCCAACTGCGATTCAAATCCAAGCTTACATCCATGATTTCCTTTTTTTATTCGGACCGCATTTCATTCAGTAGCTTGTTGCAGTGTGCTTGGTCCGCGATCTTTGCTCTCTTCGCCCTGAGCGACTGAACCCTCGTCCTCTGTTGTTGTGACCGTCACTGGCTCTGGTAAAGGAGGTTCTGGGTCTGCTATAGTGCCGTGTTGGGCCACGGGCGTGTTTATTGGCCAGTTTATAAAATCCTTTGACTTCTGGTATTCTTGGATGCGATCCAAACTCTAAATAAAAATGTTATATTAATCTTTAACAATTATCATCAGTGCGTATTTATAACCGTATTTATATGTTAAATAACAGAGTCGGAATAGTAGCAACATGGAATTATATGGTTTTTAGTGTCTTGTGTGGCGTCAGAACTACTTAAGGATTTTTCTCGCTGACGCTTGTATGGAACTGTAAACCCTACACCCAGCGTATATTAAAAACCTCTGTCTTAAAATCCCCTACAAACTGGACGGCGTCCTTTCTGTGTCCTTTGTGCGACCATGAAACTGGCAACGCTGTGGTCGTAGAAAGGAGACACAAACATCGCTTTGGGTGCAGAATGAATGCTCAATTGCCAGCACGATATGTTTTTTTTACTATCAAACGGGGCCGTATTACGGGGCACAGAGAGGACGATAAGACTAAAAATTCCTTCAGTGTGTGAAAAAAACGCTGTTTTATCTGTTGTCCAATGAAATATTTTACGACATAAAAATGCATAAACGTACTTCAAATCTCTTCACAAATTCTGCTAAATTTTTGTACTTGTCTAAGCACTCGGACTGCAGGATCAGGTGCTCTTCAAGGTACTCATACATCAGAAAGTCCGCAATTGATATCTGAAAATGGTCCAATGATATCCATTTTCAACAAAATTTGCCGTGAGATCATCCTATTCTTAATCGCTATGAACAGAATAATACATCTCTGCTTCAGCACAACTTGTCCTTTTATTGCGTTCTTCTCAAAGTTACCAAAGTAATTTCACTATTTTGAATACATTTCCGTGATATTTCATTTAGTACATGCCAATAGTCCCACTGCTAATAGATTAATGCTTTACGAATAAGTATTCGATAGTATATAATATCATTAACAGAAGTCATATCTTCGACAGAGTGATCTTTGAATATTCATGATTATTAGTTGAATATATAATCACATATACAGAAGATCTGATATTGGGATTCATTTATTTATGTCCAAAGGAGAGAAAGTAAAGATTTCCTTTACTCTACCTCGTTTCCGGCAAACCAGGGAAGATCGCCCAGAAACTCGGAAAACTCCTCCAGTTTTGTTGGAAGCACAGCCAAGTATCCAATCTTTAAATCCTCCTGAAATGCACATACATGTACTTTAGATTAAGTACAGATGTTATGACCCCATAGGTTGGGGTGCGGGGAGGAGTCATACACCTCATAATTGAACTTACAACATTGTGCATTTTGGGGGGCGCTTTTCCTGTTTCTTGTTTTATAAAACTACAGGGGACTGCTTTAAGAGTAATATTGGCACTGACATCAAACCCCAAAACACAAGCAACTTGGATACTTATGAGAAATGTCGACCAACTAAGAGCCAATGAAATTTCAATCTATGTCGAGATATTTCTAAGGGTGTTTCCCACGAAAGAGAAAAAATAATTACAGTTTGTTATGTTATTTTGATGAGCAATTTCTCTTTCTAAAAAGCTTCTCACATAGCTGGAAATAAGATTATACATAATTTCATTTTTCTAATATGTACTTACGAATTCCTCCTTGCTCTCGGCATAAACCAGCCTGGCGTACCCCATCTTAAAGTCCGTAGCCTGGGCTTGAATGAGATCAACACGTGTCTTTTCTTGTTCCGTTTTGCCACCTGGAATATGGAAAAAAAACACGTGCATTCTAATGTATGAAACATATGAAATGATTTCGCAGGAAATTCTGTTATCAGTTTTTGATGCACTGTAACTGATTTTTGTCCTTTTTGTGTTTTTCTCAAATTCTTCAGATTAAAATAATAAAGAAAAATTCAGTCCAAACGAGTGATTGAAGCATTGATATCCATGTAATACATACACAGTCCATATTTTCGTCCTATGTATCGCAAGATGGCGCTGCTTTGGGTCAGCTTGACGTCACCATCCAAGTAATAAGGTAGCTGGTTAAAAAAAGAAGCGGAAGATTGACTGTTATGTTGTGCTTTACAAGATAAACGCCATAACATCAACTCGACCTAGTTTATTGATGTTATTGATTATTGATTATTTCTGAGACAAAAAATCTTAAAATATACAGAAATACTCCACAGACAATTTTGGCGGGAAACCCCTCATGATTTTCAGTTCAATATTATGACGTCATAGATCCTCGCCATGTGTTTCGTGAGGCCAATATGACGTCAGATAGTAACGGCAGAGTTTCAAGATTTTGCGCAAGCAAAAGCAAGCAATTTGTGATAGTTTCTAATTTTATTTGAAATGATTATCATCTCGCATCTAGCGTTCCTGGGTGTGAGACATAGTTACGAATACATCAAGCTCAGAGCCCTGGAATATAAGGTAAATAATCATGTAGTTCTGTATTAAAATTTTAGGAGAAAGTTTTTTCGTTTATAGAATTCTAGGATCAAAGCCTACATGTCCTCTTCGTTAGGTTTATAATTTTTGCCAGCGGGTTACAACCGATGACGCCGGCTTTTCGAAGTATATAGGCCTACTCCATGCGTTTAGAAGAAGGAGATTTACAGTTATGTTAGATCTGAGAATGTCAGACAGATATTTACCTGGTTTTTGGCGAAAATAACGAAGTGTTACTTAAAACAAATGAAAAATAGGCCTACCTTGAAATATCTACCACATATGAGCTTTCTTATTTTTAGATCCGAAAGCTTTACTTAGCTGAATTTCCAGCACAGCAAATCCTCGGATCTGGGAGTTACGGGAAAGTATATCAGGTTTGAAATTATTTCCTATGTATATCTGCTTGGATTTTGTAACGGCCAATATTAAATGGATAAATTGGTTTAACTAAAATTGTTTTTGATAACTTTCATTTTTGGAGTACTTTATATTACTGAATGGAGTCACCCTGGGTTTAGATCTAGAACTGACTCTTTCTCTCAGCAGACGGTTTCTATCCCCACATCCGAGACTCTGGTTGTGAGATGGCGGCCATGTTATTTTTAGATATGAAAAAATACATATAAGAATTGAAGTTCTTTTGTAAATTTATTGATTTGCCCTTACCTGGTGGGCGGACAGTGTTTTTGTTACATATCTTGTTTTTATTTCACTTTTAGTTTTCAAACGACTGGGCATTAAAAGTGCCGGTAGACATCGACAGGGCTCAAGCATTTGAAAAGGAGATCGATCTTCTTAAAGAGCTCAAAAATGATTTCATTTTGCGGTAACTATTTTTTTATTTGTTTATTTATTTATTTATTTTTTGCTTATTCTTATAAATAAGTTATTTATTACTTTGATTCTTCTTACGCCAAATTACGTTTGCCTCTTGATGTTTTTTTTAAATTTCATTCCTTCATTTTCCTATATTTTATTCATGAATATTCATGTACATGTTAAGTGTCCAACCTTGAATGATGGAAGTCGCCGTCTTTCATCATCAGTCATTATTTCATATTCATGCTATCTTTTCATTGCTATTTTAGTTTGCATCATTCATTTGAAGTAAAGCCTGGGTTACCTGTCGTCTTGACAGAACTTTGCCCGCTTGACTTGCAGCGTGTAACCGATTATCAGTAAGTTTTATTCATTGATTATTTTTTATTTTTAATTTCCTGCTTGTATTTTAAAAAAACATACGGATTCGTTTTAACTGTATTTGACTTTTTATGTCCAATTTCATATTTTCGTCCTTCCGTGCTGGTTTCATGCGGATGTTGGTTATTTCTATAAAAAAAAAAAAACTACTTATTTTTCATTCATTATTCTAATTCAATTTGTACATAGACCATGTTTCTGACTCCCGTTTAAAATACTGTAATGATACCAGATTAATCCATCATTTTAAAATCACACAAAAGATAAGATATAAAAGAAATACGAATCGGCTGTCTATTTTTCTTTTCATTTTTCGTTCCTATTTTTCAGCGGCATCCTAGAGCCAAGGGCTGTCAAGTTCATTACTGTGTCAGTCTGTATAGCCCTGCAGTTCATGAGGAATAAAAAACTCATTCATTTTGATATTAAGCTGAATAATATCCTGATAAACCGGAATGGCATCCCAAAAGTGGTGAGCTACAGTAATATCAGTAAAAGCGAAATTTTAAGTTTCACGCTTCACAAAATAAAGTTTCATAAATACAACTGTAAAGCGCAATACAACGCATAATAACGTTTTAAAACGGAAGCTGCATACAATGGTACACACAGTGGTAAATCTAAAAAAGTGACAGAAATTCATAAATATTAGGACTGCCAATGATGTATTTGATGCGCATTCTAAGCATTTTACTTGCGACTTTCCATTTATTTTTGTATTGCAAAGTGAAACAAACAAAAACACTGCATAGACCATGCAACACGTTAGTACTTGTGCAGTGTTTTATTCATTCGTCCACGTTCATATATTTTTATTCACTTTACTTTTCAGTGTGATTTGGGATCCGCCCACCGCTGTGACGAGAGCGGAGAGAGTAGCTGGGGGCCGAGGATGGTAGCTTACACTATCACCAAGAACCTCGCCCCTGAAATTCTAATGCGCACTTCCGCTTCCGTTCAGGCTGACTATTTCGCTCTCGGCGTAATGATCTTCGAGTTGTACACTGGCAGGTGAATAATAATAATAATAATATAATCGCAGTAATTAAAAAAAATAATCACTAAAACTGTGTTCATTTGGAATATTATTATGTTGTCCATGGTTATGAAAATTTTAAATATATCTTTCCTCATTCCCCTATGTAGAATTAGTTTATGTTATTTCTATTCTAAAAATAAATAAATAAATAAATAAATAAATAAATAAATAAATAATACCTATTTCACCTGAATTTCAATCTTAACATGGGCAAATGTTTTACATTTTAGTCCAAAATTCGCCAATTGCTTTTGGAGCAACATTTATTAAGAGTTCAGACATGCAGTGCAAAAGATATCTCTTGTAGTGGGCTGAATGAACTGGTATTTTGAATAAGTGAAATTTCATTTGCTTAAATCTAAATAGAAGAGTCTCCAATTTTTTATAACGTCGATTTCCCTCTCCAGACACCCTCTTTGGTACAACGAGCCACACGGCAGAGCAGCCATTAAAGTGAAAATCCTGGCTGGAAATATCCTCCATGCCGACTATGCAGAACCGACATTCCGGGAGTTTGCTGAGAACTTGATCTGGTGAGTAGTTTTCTACTTCACTATTTCCCTTTGATCGTCTATCTGACCATTAATTAATGCATCCCGAAGATATACACACACAAACTGATTATACAGCAATAGCTTGAGATTTGATTATGCAGAAATTCTGTAATCGATAGGTGTCTTTTCAGAGACAAATACATGAACTTTTATCAATCAAATTAAAACAAGCTAGTACATATGAAACATTTTAATTGCGATTTTTATCAATCTCATATTTCTAGTGATAAAGTCAACAGAGTTCAGGACGTGAAGGACATATTGCGCCTTCGGTAAGACTTCTTTAGTTTGAAAAATTAAGTGCAAATTTGTTTTTTTTTCTCATTTGTCCATTCTGTTCAGTCTTTGTTTACTTACGTTGAATTTGACTTCTGTTCTGCTTTATTTATTTATTTATTTATTTATTTATTTATTTATTTATGAATTTATTTATTTATTTGCTTTTATTCTCAGTTGGCTTGCTGAATATCACACTAACGTGTTTCCCATGGACCGCAGGTCCTCTCCTCTTCTTGCTTTTGTGCAGGTACTGACTTCCTTTTTTTCAATTCATGTACTTTTCTTTTAATTCTTTTATTTTAAATTTATTTATTTATTTTTTTCATTATTTGATAATTATTTTCCGTGTCTGGGCGCACATTTCAAAAACGAAAATCTCGTGTTCAATTTTCAAATGATCCAGTTATATCAGTATAGATTGTACGCAGGTTTTGGAGTTTCTGCCGTCACCAGCGACTAAAGCATTCTGGCTATATAAAACTTCTAGTAATTCACGCATGGCACTTGTCAACATGTCTTATTACTCCGTAGTGTAAATTAAAATTAACATACAAAAAACAAACATTTGCAGTGACCTACAGTATGTAAAACTTTAAAATTTTACACAGAAACATCTGGTCTTATGTCGGATTTTTTTCATTCAGGATATTTTTCCGTATTTTTCTCTCTTCAAGGAATCTGTCCTGAAGGACATAGAGCGGGTAAGGTGCCTCCAAGCTGCGGCGCACCGCCAAACTCACACAACCACACAAGAGGCAGCGCACGGCTTAACTCCCGGCACTGGCGAAAACAACTGTGATCTTGTGCCTTGGGACATGCCAGATGACGATGCGGCAGACGTCAACGGGCTGCTTCAGTGGGACGTCCCCAGTGAGGACGTGGAAGATGGCGGCATGATGGCCGAGGAGATGCTCGAAAATGGGGAAGATGGCATGTTGGCATTGGACATGCCCAGAGAAGAGAACGAGGCCGAGGAAGACATGCCGGAGTGGGACGCTCCTGTGGGGGATTTCGACTTTGATTTCCCCTTTGAAGAGGATTGAACACTTTTCAATAGTCTTTTCAGCAACAGACATTCCTGAAATCCCTTCGGTATCATAACTCATTCCCTCACTCCCTCACAAACTGTATATTATTATGGCTGTTCAGGCCCGTAGCCAGCAATTTCAAAAGGGGGGTTCTTTTTCTAAAAAAGTGGACCTTTTCCCATAAAAACTTCATGTACCTAGATCAAATTTTACCCAGAGTGGACCTTTTCCCTGCAACCCCCCGAACCCCCACTGGCTACGGGCCTGCTGTTTTAGTAGAACTGTTTACCACTGTGCATCTCTAAAAATTCAGAAACTGGATTTAACATATGGTACAAATTTCTTTAACTTTAAAAGTGAATTTTAACTGTGTAAATATTCAAGTAAACATTTTTCATACAGGCTTACAATTCTCTTCAGTATCTTATTCTCGCTATTAAAACGGAAAATACATATTTTTTTTTATTTATGTATTTATTTGTTCGTTTATTATTATTGTTTATGATAACAGACAGTCCATCAGATTTTCGATGGTTTTAATTCATAATCAAATGCTTTTTGGTAGTCATCTAACCTGTTTATCCGAGTGGATGGAGTTGTGGCCAAATGGTTTCATTCCGCAGGATCTAGATCTTGACAACATCAAATTCAGCCATTAGCAAAATGGACAGGGAAAATTCCACTCGCTGGGAATATCCCGGAAGGAAAACTTTTAATTACGCCGTTTTATGGTTAATACACTGTACATCTGCTTTAATCCCCAGTGTCAAACTGGTTTAGCGGTTACTTTCTAGTGAATTCGGAATCACGAGGTGTATTGAGAGGCACCTGGGACTATTTCATAAAGAACTTTACTCCAAAATATTGGTCTAAACTTTCAGATCAAACATTTGGTCTGCTTCAGTGAAAGATAAATACTGTTCATTTCTTTCCATATCGGACGGCACTATGGTATAAAGCTAAAATAATGGGGCAAGTCCATATTATGCAAATATTACACAAAATGTGAGCCTCGCTGACAATACCTTTTTGTTCGCTTTTTTTAAAATAATTATTATAAAGACTTTATATTCACAACTCACGTTAGGAAAAGCCAGTCCTAGGCTGTGTTTGTGAAGATACCATATCTCACGGTCATATGAAGGTTCTGAAAAGGAAAAAATAAAGTGTTATCACACATGCAGGATCATTAAAATTGATACTCACAGCTACTAAAATCCGAAAGCTCCACAGAGAGCTCATGGTACAGTAATAGGGCAAAGAAGTTTAGTTTGCATATGCGCGATAATACCGAGAATATTGCGACGTTATTGCGCAGCGTACCCACTTCAGAGGACAGGCTCGCCATTTTTAAGGGAACTGTTCATTTTGGCAAAAAATGAATTTTCCTGGGGTAAACAATAATTTCCCCATACTAACCAATGGTTAGTGAATCCATTTCTACATTCAAAGTTAGTCCCTGTTTTTTTTCTAGAAAGATTTTTTTTGTTATAATCTCTTAAGAGATTATTACATAGTATAGCCATCTATGGAGGTCACATGGTCCGAAGACAAGCACAGATTTCAGAATAATTGTTTTAACTGCCATTTTTGTGGTAAAATAGAATATATTGTATTTCTATGAGTTGTTTACAATGTTTTTATTGTGAAGTACAGATCTCATACGAAGAATTGTTCTCCCTTTAATGTTTGCGAGTTCGTTATTATGATCGTCAAACCCACCGACCGGTTGACGTAGTGCCATAAATACTGAAGAAGCGAAGGCTACGATGGGGACGTCTGCGACATAAGGTGACACATTCAAATGACTCGTGCTAACACAGGCACATCCGGAGGTAGGACCGCTGCGAGACAAGACGTATCTCATTTCTCTTCATCCTTCAACTTTAAAGTTCTAACACACGTCAGGTCAGTGCAAGTGAAAAACGAAGTCTGCAGGGAGAGTCGACACTTTGCTGTAACTTTGGAATAACTTAATAGCAGTTAAAAACGGGTGCACTTTACACACCGGTATCTCTTCATGAAAACCATTCTGCTAATACTAAATAAAAAGTTTGAGTCAGCAAATAGTTTGCAGGGTGAACTGGATATACTAGTAAATGATGTTTTTAAAAGACTTATCGCCACTTTTTTCTGCCAGCCAATATTAGCTTCACGCGCTATATCTGTTTCTGAAGAGTTTAGCAAAATTTTGTATTAAAAGATCAAAATAAAGATTGCTCTCTGAAAGTGCTCTACCGTGCAACATGTACAGGTAATATTTACCCAATATCTTACTAGTATTTTTGGATGTTTTAGGAAATAAACCCCGCCTAAAAGCTGTAAATACGACATACGTATGTCTAAAATGTCACTTTTTTAAGTAAAACCAATTATACGTTGGAGTGTGCTTTACACATATATATTACTACTGTATGCAGCTGCAGTTCTGGCGTTGTACACGTATATTAGGTTGTCTCACTTAGGAGATTCAGACCATTCGGCTAACATCGGATGATTAGGTGTTTGTGACGTCAAACTATCCCAGTAAATACTAATTAAGCTATATCGATATACCCATCACAACTAAACTTGTTGCTGTATTAATTATGATTCTGATCATTAAGGTTCTAAAATGTCTCTTGGTCGGCTATGAATCTCATGTGCCAAAAATCTGCTTTTCCGCCCAGATGGGTTTGGACTAGCTAGAGAAGTACTCACAGAGAAGAGGCAGAGAGATTTTGCCATCACTTAAATTTTTAAATAGAAAAAAAAACAAAGGTTTATTTTTTATCTAAAGTAGTTTGTAACTACAAATGAAAGAGAAAAATTTCAAGAGAAAATGCATTACACAACTACAAATGTGTAGCCACCATTTCTCCTAGTGATCCAATGACGCATTCTACTTAGCTTCCCCTTCAATTCGCGCATAACCTTGAAACGAATGATTTCAATTAATATCAAAATTTTTTATTAAACTTTTTATTAAACTTAAAAATGGTATTAAACAAGCTGGATGCCTGGTCTACACTCATGTCAGCTTATACAGTTATATAAAATTAGCCTGTCTTAATAAATATATATAATAATTACTGAGACACCTCCGAGTTCAAATTTGTCGGAATCTTGGGATTGTGATCGAATTAACACGGACGTTACCATACGTTCAGGTCGTTTATATGGATCATTTTAACCCGCACTTCAGCTAAGCTTTCAATAAAAAAAGCTAAACGCCAGTTTATAGCTTTGTGACTATCGACCTCTTTACATAATGGTAGTGTATCAACTTCACACATCACTGACGGATACAGGATTTTGCTTAGGAGTGGGGGGGGGGGGGGGGGAGGGAATAAAAATACGTAATTATAGACGAGGACACTTTTATCATAGGTCTATATGGGAAAGTTGAAACTCGTTCGCTCAGGTAAATGTATATGAAAACCCGTACCGTGATTTGAATTTCGAAGGTCGTTCAGCGTGACTTATTGCTGATTACTTTCGCATAAAAGATACGTGAAGGATGGCTTCAGTCCGTAATTCGATATGTTTTGTAAGATACTAATGCGTCGAGCAAAATGCAATGAATATAAAATAGAAATGAGAGAGAGAGAGAAAGAGAGAGAGAGATGGGGAGGGTAGACAAAATATTACCTGGTCCAAAATCGTAAAGTTTTTCCTCATAATCCTCTCCCACGTATTGTAACAGCAATCTGATGGGTTGGGCCAACTGAAACAATATTTTTAAGAACAGTGAGCGACAGAGGCAGTATAATCAAAGGGCAATGGAATGGTTTTCCATTTCTGATATGATTTCTTCGAGCAACCATTACTGTAGGCAACTGCGATATGGGTTGTTGTAATGCTGGTGAGCTAACTCTGATAATGACAAAGAGATGTAGACTAGAAAAAAAGTGAAAAAACTGCGATATGGGTTGTTATAATGCTAACTCTGATAATAATAATGACAACCAGACGTAGACTAGAAAAAAGTGAAACGGTTCATAAACTGAGAAGTATAATCAAGATGGTTGAAACTTGGGCCCTTTAAGCAATGAGCGGTACAATTTTCTATATCGCACTAGTCTGAAAGATTGACGACTTAAACTTGGCTATTACGTAAGAGAGTCACCTAGACTGAGCCCCCCCCCCCTCCCCCTCCGTGCTCGACATGACCAGTTAAACGGGTGCGTTTTGATTGGAGTATTGGGGCTTGTGAAATGTAGTAAAACCCCTGGCATCGAAATTGCACGTAAGGGCCGGTCAAACTGGAACGATACAGAAAACTGTACCGCTCAGTAAAAAGGAACATGGAAAGTGAACAATACTGACAACATTAGTCATTACATTGCTCAAAATCAATCATAACAATGAGGCTGAAAGCATACCTTGTCATATTATTAACAACATGCTACGTCATGCTTAACCACGCGAAGACGATGAGGATGGATTTTATCAATGGCCAAACACGAGTGAAAGAATACAATATGTACTTACAGAACTGACAACTATCATACCTACCCCCCGGATTCTCCAATATCCCAATGTCGATGGGGCCATAGTAGTGACACCGTCTGCACCTGACATGTAATAAGCCCTCAGCCTATTGGTACTAATTCAACACGGCAATGAGGCGCTATATTAAACACGATGTATACTGCCTGTAGCTTCAACTATGCATGTCTTTGATATACACTTTGGTAAGCTTGTCTCGCGGTGCTCCTTTTAATGAAATTGTTTTACCGTCTTGTAGCCGAGATGGTGATTAAGAACCGGGCCGACAGGTTTAGGGGTCCAGCGGGTTGCGTTCTCAATGGGCGCGTTCAGACAGGAAGTTATACCAGGACTGATTTCGGCCCGGGTCTACATTCAGGTCGTAAAAATAAAAAAATGACTGAGTCAATTTTACTTTGGATAAATTTGTAGTGGTATACTTGTGCGGGGATAGTGGGTCTATTTCATAAAATTAAGGGTAAAATGACTTTCGTTCTGGTCCTACAGTTGTTTTATTCTAGAACAAAACGCATATGCTACGTACTGCACTCTTTTAGTAAAAAATGCAAATGTTAAGGCATAACTTTGTAATTACATGTATACTGCAGTTCGCAGGCCCTTGGGCAAGTGGGGTTCAAAAGAACCACCATTTTGGCCGGAAAGGTCCGCTCTGAATCTAGATTAGATCTTGATTCTGTTCTGTATATCAGGTTGTAAAAAGAACCCCTATATCGCTGACCACAGGCCTGATTCGCGACACCATATGGTAGCATATAAACTAGATTTTGGTCCGACATGTGCTATATTTTATTTTTAAAAATGTATACTACCCGTACACGCATTGCTTATTTTTAGCAATGTAGATTGTCACAAAATTTGCTGAAAGACAGGTGAGACATGTAATGGACGGGGTCGCGACATGCGCTGTCTTATTACCAGGTGACAAACCGTAATTTCCCCTCTTTTACACGTATTGTGGCACCTTTAATAAACTTCCTCTCCGTCTAGTGCCTTATGTCCAGCTTGCTTGATTTGTTACCTTGTCTCCTAGTGTGAGGCAATAACACTAGAAGCGCTTTGACTAAGCGAAATATTTGAATAAGTATACTGTTGTGTCTTTTGAGAGTACCCATTTTTTGACATAAATCTTCTTTTCTTTCCTCCACCTCCCTTTGAAAACTTTCCGTATTTATCGCGTATAAGTTTGAGAAATCGTTTTTGCTCGTTTGCGAACAATTCTACGTATGTTCGATCCTGTAACCTCTGGAAAACCCCATCACTCTTTCCTTCATTTGGAAATTGGTTATTAACTATATACATTTACTTCACACCATATTGACTGACGCCTCATACATAACCCATCCACTGTGAGAAAATGGGTGTTACTATTGACACAGTGACGACGATTGTGTTAGAGGAGTGAATACTGTTAACAAGCTAGCAATAGTCACGCGTGGGAAGAGAAATAACGTCATCAACTCCTCTATCGACCCAATAAAAGTAATAAAAATAATTATTATTTAAATGGAAAAATATTTAATTCATATGTGGCATATTCCATATACAGTTTAATTCATCTTACAAAAATTAAAAATATTAATACCAAAAGAACAAAATAAAAATACTATAATAAAATGAGCATTAACAATAAAAAAAAAACAAAAAAACTTTCGTATGCATGTTTAAGGTGCCCAGATGAAAGCTTGCATCACATGGGTCAGTTTTAACGTAAAAGGCCTTTTGTAAAGCCAGATGAATTTTTTTTTCCATATTTGCCAATGCCATGGAGAGCAGAACCAAGTTTTTTTCCAAGGAATGCTGACGTTCTAGTGCTTATATACCCCATAAAGCTGTACCAAGTTTTTTTTCAAAAAGCCGTGCTGATGCACAATATAGGTTCCAGTACCATGGAAAGCTGAACCATGGGGTTTTCCAAGAGGGAGTCCTCGTGTAATGCCAAATACTAAGCTCTATCAAGGTTTGCTGATGTTCCATCACCAATGAAAATGTTACCAGGTTCCTCCAGATTGGAACACAGAACAGGTGTACCCATACCACTGAAAAACACACCCTTACTTTACATCAGACCACAGAAATATATAATTAATGTAATCCGTAGTTGGAATTTATCATCTTTTGTAAGTTGAGAACTCCTTTTCCTCTTCTTCCAAGCATCTAAGACTTGTCTGGAAATAGCTGATACTTGAGGCTGAAATAAAAAATAAAGCAAGATAAGAGGTTGCCCAGCATAGAAAATCCTTTCATATGTTTGTAGGCTGCCCCAAGCTGACGCCAGCATACCCACTTTCCAGTGGCAGAATTCTGTTATAGAAATAGGTTGATTTACTTGCTTAATCCATACATTTGTTGCTGCTAAACAAAATCATCCCTAAAATGCATCATGTATGCAATTCTGTTACATAACATCCACGTAAAAATATAATAATAAATAAATAAAAAATTAACAAAAATAAAATAAAATAAAATATAAGGGGCATTAGGACACTTGTAGTATAAAATCGAGCAAGATTTTGCAGGATTTGAAAGATTACTGCAAAAGAAATAACGACAGAATAATGTTTCATTGAAAAGAATCTAGTGCAGTGCAGCAAAGAATAAAAGCTAACAGAATTTAACCACAAGTATATTTTTGTTATTTTCTCTATGTTTCTGTTGATTCATAATCTGTTTTTAAATGTAACCTTTCTATTGTTTTCTAAGGAGACACTCCCACTGCACCAGTATAGAGTTTCATCTATCTCATGCAATATTCCTGTATATTTTCTAGTCTCATATAACATCACACAATAACAACAGCCTCATTTAAGGGTGTCTTGGATGTTTTAATTATCCATTAAATCAACTCAGACCATAAATGGTCTTATTTAACTGTAATCAAGTGGGATTTCAATTTTCAAAATCATCTCAGGGGGTCGGTCCTATCTTGACATCTGGTGATGTCATTTAGACTGGTGCAAGTTAGTCTGGTTGTGAACAGGCCTTTGAAACCAACTCTTCTGGTGGTTCACAACAATAGAAAACTTTTTTTTGCAATGTTTTAGTGATGATAATCACTTACTTTGGAAGTTGGAACATAAACTATTAACGGAACAGCTATTTTATTTTTGTCAAGAGAGCACCACGTTCTTGCATTGGGAGATTATTTGGCATAAATTTTATATCATTTACAGCACACACAGTACATAAATAAAGGCAGAACCATTGTTCAATCATACCTATATATGTGAAAACAACTCCCCTTGTGTTTAAATCATTATTAATGGTAAACTTGTTTGACATTCACTTCAAAATCAATATTGTGACCACAAGCAATAACAGCAATGTATGGGGGTTGACAACTGTGCTATAGAGACCGTGTTTATTTTCAATTATCACCCGTCATCTGATCCCAGTGGCATTTAGTTAAACAACAAATGTTGTCTTAAGATTCCTGGAAACAGATATTTCCTCTAGGGAGTTACCGAGAAGACTCCGGATGCTTGGGTCCACAAAAACATGTTCATGTTCTCTAAAAATTTAAGTTAGGCCACGTTCATATTGATTTCATTTGCTATCAGTTTAAGAATCCTTTCCATGAGATATATGAAATGAAACCCCATATAGTGGCTTCCATTTAAATCTCCTTTTATTGATTGACAGAGACAATTAACACATCCACAAATCAATGCTTATGTAGGCTTCTTCCAATTGTATACTAATACATTGCCAATGAAAAAGACTTTTATTGCTGCTTGAATGAAGTATACATGCATTTGTCAAATAAACAGGCTTATTTCCATTTTCCAAACAATAAAAGCAAATTGAATTCAATTTTAATGCTGGTATATGGGGTATGTGAATTAAAGCAATATAAATATTTAAACATACAAAATTATATTCTATGAAATGGGTATTGATCCATTTCTCATGATTTTCCCTTTACACTTTTGAATTAATCACACATTGAAATAATACTATCTATCCTTTTTAAGAAAATAAAAAAAAAAATAAATAAATAAATAAATAAGTGCACATTCTAAACAGAATTATGAAAAATAATAACTATCTGTGGGTAATATAAAAATGTATATACTAGTAAGTCTTTTTTTCTTGACCTGGTATAAATCCAAGTCAGTGTTCATAAATATTCTTTTCAATCTCATAATATCACTTCCAATAAGATGTAGAAAAATTTATCCTTCAAATCTGCAGTCTCTGTTCAGAAACAGGTGGCGAATGATGAACAAAAGAAATTCCTTTTAATAAGAGCTGTATTCTGAGAATTATGACCCCCAGCAGGCAGAATCTCACCGAAGTAAAAATCATTTTTCTGCCTGCAGACAACCCCGACAATGCATTCTGAGAACCCTTTTTATCTTTTATTCAGTATGATTTGACAACAGAAGTGAGGTGCATGTGCACCAATACAGTGCTATACTTATTGATGCTATACCAATCTATTAACACATAAGGATTATTATTGGATGTGTGTGTGGAGAGAGAGAGAGAGAGAGAGAGCAATAAAAATTAACTGCATCTTCATCATCAAACAGAAATATTATCCTTCAAAACTTGTCATCCATAACCTAGGTCAATTAAGTGTCAAGTCTACCAATTATAATTAACCAAAGCACACCAAATATGACTCATGCATACATTCATATCTGAACACACAGCAATAACAAAAGCATGTTCCTCAGAACAGATGGGAATGCATTATATGCTACATATTCATAATGTGACGGATTCATCCATGCGAAACCACTCAATATATAGATCAAAAGCGCAGTTATTACATGTATGCTCTCTGTTCTTTTTCTTCTGAGACACGCTTTAAGTACTAAAAGAATGAAAGTAATTTGAATCATAGAGGCTGTCAGTGTTGCTTGCAGTTAACAAAACATTCAGATCTACTGATAAGTATGTTAAGATGTTAACAATACAGAAACCAAAGAAAATCAGTAGACTAAAGTGTGCTAATTGTACACAAACATGAGCGCTGCATAAACCCAACATTAATTGGAGGCAAAAAAAAAAAAAAAGGGGGGGGGGGGGAGCTGCGGCATTGGGAAACAAAAATGCTGGGTTATATATAAGAATTTAAATATTAACACCTCAAATATCTGTGGGTTGTCACCACATCTCAGCCACCCACGAGTTGCGTAGGTTCTTTCACGAATTTCTTTTTCCTATGAAATCAACATGAAATATACACGATGACTCATCTTCTCTCAAAGACCTGCTAGTCTCATAATCAATTTCACTCAGTCAATGTGGATATATTTACATGTATGTGGATGGGATATTCATTACAAGAGAAAATTCACCAAAAATTCAGCAAGTTCTTCAGAAGGCATAATTGTTCCAGGGCCATTTGACGAGTCATTCAACGTACAACGTGACAGTATGTTGATAAGGAATACACATATTCTGCAAGAGAATACAATGTACAGAAAATACTAGCAAATACATGTAAGCATCATGTATGTACATGCAATCTACATACACTGGGCAATCATTGGTATGAGAACGAGTTAAAAAATCAACTGCTGATGGTGACAATATTTCAGATTTATTTCACACGTGGGCAGATCTGCATTTGCAGATGGGAGCCAGAATTTCCTAGAAAAACTGCTTCATGAGTCGGTTGTCTTTTGTACAGGTGGTTGCCTTGAAGGTCAGGATGAGTAATGGTCATATGGGGTTAGCAACAATACCACCAACTTACTTATCACGTACCTAGACAATGCTGCTATCTCCTACGTCTTGGATAATGTCGTGTTTGAAGCACTACGGAGCCAATATGTGTCAGAGGCCTTCTCCACAGCAGACGGAGGCCGTGATATCAATGTCGTCCAGCTGCAGTGACGTCAAGAGCACGCGTAAATCTGCAAGGGAAAGTGTAAAGGTAACCAGAAACTTTAAAACTGAATAAGTACTTTTATGTATATATTACAATTATCTTTTGTATTTGTCCAACTAGTGCATGGAAAAAGTATGCTTCTTTTTTAATAGTGGTTTCTTGTCTACTGTATAAAAAAAAAAGAACTAAATGCAAACACAAAATAGAATGCGTTAAACTGATTGACTTAGTTCCATGGCTTCAAAGATCACAACTGAGCATTTAATGTATTAAAATGAAACCTTTAAGTTAAATGAAACAAAAACTGGTTTGGGAGCTTGAGTGGTAATACATGTATGGGTTTCCCCACCAAATATAAGTACTAGTAAGAACCTTGACCGTGCTTGTAAAATATGACAAATGTGAATACACACATTTTCCTTGTATTACCTCATGAACAAGTATATACTATATGTTAGCATTGTGCTGATTGTATAATAATTCACTTTCCATTAATTTTTTTTTATTATTATATCTTTTTTATTCCCTTTTCTGATTACTTGCAATCTCTTTAACAACTTCCTTTAGTTATTTACAATTGCCAAATATTTCACTTACTGGTCCCTTGTTTCTCAGATGCAATATATTTCCATCAATTTCTAATGATGCCAGCATCCATACTATAGGTTTACCAGCTATATGTAGTGCAAGAAATAATTTATTGTTTCTTCTGATTACATCTTTTGTCTTCATCAAAAAGACTGCTGACAGCCACTTAATTCATACACAAAGAAAATAAATTGATTTGCCACTTAAACTGAGCAAATTTTTGTCTCACAGGCCAGCAATCTTAACCACTCAGAGACCTAAAAGGACTATAATCACTCCTAGACAAGAATATTTTTTATTACGCGTTGTTTCATAACCATGTTCAATTTTCTGATCAATTCTTTTATAATGGGCCTTTTACTGCATAAAAAAATGATAGTCCATATCAACCACACCAGTGTTGATAATGATAGACATTATTATGTTATCATCAAAATTTACACAGTATAAAACACTAATTACTTGATCTTTTCAATCTGTAATACAGATTCATACCGGTAATTTTAGAATCATTATAAATAGACTTCTGTGAAGCATTTGTGGTACAGTTTGCTGTACAGAGTAGAACAATACTATTTGGTAGCCTGCTTTTCAGTTTTGTTGTTTTCCACTCAATAGGAATGTTTTTATTTATGAATTTAGAAAAGTACAGGGTCTGTATAAAATTCACAATTTCCCCATTGAAAAGAATGAGCCATCAAGCAGATCTAGATCTATATTTCAAAAGCATTCACCGGTCTAATTTTGCACTTACATGTATGTGTGGTTACAACAAAATTTAGACTTAATTTTATTATATTGATCTCACTGCTTCAGTACAATGCCTGCCTTGTTTACACATAATGATCCCATTCTGATGGCCAGTCTTTTTCTCTATAAGCTTAATTGATTCTCTACCTTCCAATATTTACATTTTTCTCATCCTAAATTTCTGCCGCATTCACTGAAACATGGGCATATACCGTACACATAAGCAAAAACACTTGCACGTATAACTGTCTACATACATGTACTTATTAGTATATACTACACGCATGCATACAAATATACACACATATAACACAATTAACAACACTGAATAGAATCCTTTCAACTGTGCTATGTCCACATAAAGTTATTTTCAGATCCAAAAAAAAATCAATGCTGCATGATAACTTTGCAATTTGCCAGCATGGATTCTATTTAAACAAATGTATTGGAATGAACTGTGCTAATAATATTAGCACAGTCCATTTTATTCATTTCATAATATAATTTAAGTAGAAAGCAAGTCAGGCATGCAATTCTGTAATAAACTGATATTCTGAAATAAGCAGAGCAGGAAATTATCAGCACTTTTTATGTCTGGTTTACATGCTTACTTCAAGTTTGAGAATAACAAACTTTAAGGTACCATAGCTATAAATAATGAGTTACTTGATACACAATCATATTTAATAAAAAGGTTTGATTAACATATAAGTACAGTACTAGTACATGTACACAACAGCCTCATCACTAAAACGAGTATATTGTTCTTAATTTAAACCAAGGTTTGGGAGTGTGATAATAAGTCTGATCAACCTAGCTGAAAAAACCTGGTGTAACATATGATTGTATTCATTTATAAATAAACACACACATAAATATATAAAATTGATAGATAAGCAAACAATTAAACAAATGAAAAAAATATACATTTGTTGAAGGCCACTTAATAATAATAATAATAATAATATGTATCATAATGATAAAAGATAACTTGCAAACCCTAAAAGAGATTTAAAAAATAATATAAATGTCATTCTTGCCTAAAAATTATTAGATCAATTTGGACATGATATTAATGACTTTAGAAATGTGAATAACAAACAAATATAAATAAATAAATAAATAAATAAATAAATAAAACACTTTGAATACACTCTTTCAATTTCAAATATCTAAATGCACGCTCGGCTGTCACCTTGATTGGATAGTAAACGATTGTCGTAAAATCGCTAAATGATATTAAAACCGGGTGCATAAACTTGAAAACCACCTACAACAACCTTGAACTACCACATTAATCCAATACAATGCAAAAATAAACTATAACAAGTGGTTAAGTTTATTTTTGCATTGTATTGGATTAATGTGGTAGTCCAAGGTTGTTGTAGGTGGTTTTCAAGTTTATGCACCCGGTTTTAATATCATTTAGCGATTTTACGACAATCGTTTACTTTCCAATCAAGGTGACAGCCGAGCGTGTCTAAATGCAGTATACATGCACTGGTACAACTACTACGTACAGTAGTACCACATTCAATCACGTGTAACTTTACTAAAAGGCAATTATATGGAAAAAGTTTACTGGTAGTTGGTATCTGGAGTGTGTCACAGAGACACACAATAGAGAGAAAAAATCTTGTTTACACTATTTACTATTAGTACATACACGTACATCACATCGCCAGGGTGTGATGACGTACGAGGGAAAGGTTAATGATACAGTCCCCATGATGCACATTGGCTTTGCCCAGAGACCCATCTTGCTATCCAGTCCCATATTTCCACAGACAGCTGGATGGTTAACAAAATATTTGGGTTGGTTTGCTGGGTTTGCCTGGGTGGCACTGGTAGTATCCCTGTAAATCAATGACCAAATTACAAAATCACATTATGAACTCCCTGTATTTGGTATGCACATTATGAATAATTTGTAAACGCTTACGCCACCAAATATAAATATGTATTCATTTTGCATTTAACAAATGCAGCTAAACTGAGCTAACCGAACTTTTGGTCAAATACAGTACCAAGTAAAGCGTGAATCCTTGGTATTGCACGAAACGGTTTATACGGTACCTCTGACACATTTCCAAGTTCCATAGATCACTTTCACTTTCATCGACAGGGGATGGGGGGGGGGGGGGAATCTTTGCTAACGCCCCTTCGGTTGAGAAGCTACTCGTTCAGTGATAAATGAAATGTAATTAAGACCATTTGTGAACTTGATATTCATTTACCTTGGAGTGTACTTCGACGTAAGCTCTCATATCTATTCAATTTTACCGCATTTATGATGTGGTTCCTTTGGATAGTCCCGCAGATGTCTTAAATAGTATCAGAATCTAATCACATTTTAATAAATTGATCTTGTTGTTAATTTATAAATATAATTTAGTTAATTTTTTGGCTGCTTTTTTATGTTTAGATATCTTACTGAATATATATACCATAAAGATATTTCTTTAATAATACCGCACTTCAATTAAGGTCACGTGACCTCTCTGGATCTATTTCGGCTTAGCAAGGGCACTAGTTGGTTCATTGTTGTTTTACATAGCTAAGATGAGACTTAAGCGGTGCAAATACTGTGTATATGAGTAGGAGAGATGAGTATAGATTGATAAACATCGCTTGTATTATGTGCCGATCTTTTTGATCGCAGCAAACAAGGATTGAAATAGCATATTCGATTCTTTTCAAAATGGCGTCGAGAAATGTCAAAAATCCCAGCTCGGCATCAGGGCATGGGACTTCCTACGAGTCGGTCGGGAAATTGCCATCAAATACGCTAAAGGTAGGAAAAAGATATAAATGGGCACTGTGGGAGTAAAGAAGAGTTGGCGTAGTTTAACTTCCTTGTTTAGGTTTGATGCTCATTGAAGCATGTGTTGTTTATGTCGACTTCCCTTAAAGTCAAAAATTAAATACAGTTTGTGGATAATCATGCGAAGTCAACATTATAGACAAGATCGACTCACATTGTCCATATGTACACTTTCTTATGTGAGTTGAACAAATAATTTGCTATACTATTACTTACACAATATTCCCGTTCTGTGTACACGAGGGAACCATGTGTAAATTTAAATGTCGTCCATGTATTTTGTTATGACTGACCTGAAGGATGACCAGTGCTTAATTATGTCTGAGCTGAGACAGAAGAAAAACCTGTTTCATCTGAAAATTTTCTAAATTCATTGAAATGTATTGATAAGATTTGTCTTGAGTGTGAGTGTTCCAGAGGTGGAAGGGTTGGGGGGGGGGGGGATGGAGAGGGAGGGGAGGAGTTCATCTGACCAAACAGGGTTGTATTGCTTTGTAACTTTGCCAAGTCATTGTCTTCAGAACAGTACACATCACACATAATCATTACATACAATCATAGACTGTTTTCCTATGGATCTTAACACCTATTTATCTGTTTTATTATTTATGCAAGAAAAACCTAATGCAAATCAATATATAATTTTTGAGCATGATTCAATTTATTATTAAACAGTTAACCTGTTTTAGAGTGTGATCTGTGATGTTTTTAATACCTTTTATAAACTTATATAATAATTGAAAAGATATTTATTATTATTATGGGAATATGGTGTGCTTGTGTCAAAAAACCTGAAGCTACTGGCTCTTTAGGCTATCAGGATCTAAAAGTTGTAGTGTTATAGTTGTAGTATTAACTTTTTTCACTAGCCCACTGCTTCGGGCTAGTGCCTATCAGCACAGACTGATAATAACAGTGATATCATATATTATAAAATACAAAGGATGCTGGGCACAGAAAACTCAAATGCAGCACATGTGGTATGTGAAGTATTGTGCAAGCTGTTACAGTCTGTGTATCTTCTACTGTTATCAGTGACATTATTGCAGTTAAGATGACCTATGAGTTTCAACAGCTGGAGCTTGGATAATATCAGCTATATTCTGTACGAAGAAATGTTTGTTTTTTTTCTTTTTTTATATCATTTATTTCAGCAAAAAGGGCTGTGTTTAGCCATGTTGCACAATGCGCGGACATTTTTAGTTAAGATACATTTTATGAGCAATGTGTATGAAAAAAAATGAAGTACAGCAGGATTTACTGAAAATTACTTTACTCTCTATGCATGCCAGGAAATATCAGATGTCACATTATATTCTTCATTCCTATCACAGCTTGAAGATTTAATGAATTCACCAAACCTAATCCATAAAGTGATAATAAATATTTGGGTGTTTTAAATAAAAAAAAAAAAAAAAACTCAGGTGTAATTTTTAAGCATATCTGAGAACGTAGGTCAAGCAAGAACTTGTAGAAGTAAATACTTTGTTGTTGATTTTTGATTTGAATCTTTTATCATTTTCCAGTTTGTGGTTTTATACCAGTAATTATAAATTGAGACTTTTATTATTACAGAGGCATCCCAAAATGGACTTAAATAAAAACGACATGCTGCGCCTTCTTAGTTACTTGGAGGGGGAGTTACAAGCCAGGGATGTTGTCATAGCAACCATGAAGGTGAGTTAACATTCTTTAAGATGAGTGAAAGAAGACTAGGCTTGGAACAGGAAGACTGCTATAGTGTTTGATCTTTACTAAAGATTTAATTTGAAGTGCTGTATCCGGCTGTATTTTGGGATGAAGAAGAGATTGATAACTTATTTTAGGTTTCACTCGAGGCAACTTTTGTGCATTGTCAAAAAATAGGACAGGATGTGAGGGTTGTTATTTTGGGATGATTCATTTCAGTTTTCAACCCTTAACAAAGAAAAGATAGGAGTACTTCAAGGACAGGTTTTCACTTCTATATAACTTGATTGAAAAATAAGAATTAGGGGTCATGTGCACCCTCTTCCTTTTTCTCCTCTCTCTCTCTCTCACACACACACACACACACACACACACACACACACAGCAAGCAGTGTTTACGAATCACTACAAACATTTCCAAGTGAACTCAGTTGCAGTTTTGGTAATATACCAACCCTGGCATGCAGACAAACTCCAGGTCATGGACCAGCTTTCATAATGACTATTGAATTTGATACACAGACAGAGAGTGTGAGGAACATCAATACTGTTGTCTGCTGTTTCCCAGACACAGGCCAGAGAGAGTGATTCATAGGCAATCAAGCCAGTATTCTACAGTCATTTCCTGTGCTGTTGTTGTCTAGATCTTGGTTAACGATTATCATGTTAAAACTATTTAGTTATGTATGTATTTTTGGTCGAAAAATTACCATTTTCGCTTTAAGTGTTGAACCCGTGCATTATTTGTAGGAATAGCTTGGTGTAAAATGGTAATAGTGTCGATTGAAATTCACCTGATAAACATGTTTGACTGTCAATAATACATATTAATAGTCTATTCTAGCGTAAAGATAAGTTGTTCTTCAGATATGTATCTTTTTTATCCTTCCAGTGCAGACTTATTTTATTGTAAATAGTTCATTGTGAACAGCAGGAAAGTAGACCATAATGTGTATGACATTTTAGTATGGCTTTTAGTAGGTCTTTTTAGTGAAGATCTTTGGAGATGAGGTTGACTTTTTATCAGTGAAACACAATGCACCCTGGAATGTCCTTTTAGAAAGCAACACAAAAGTGACACCCCAAACCTGAATTTGTACTGTTGCACAAGAGACTGTAACTTAAAAGAACTAATAAAGCAACAAGAATGATATCTTTGGATTTATAAGTTCTGCCTGTTTTTGTCGTTTCCCCACAGCAGTCACTGGTATGCCATATTTCTGCTCCACTCTCCTCTAAATCCTATGGAATCTTGCTCAGTTTTTCACTTTATTGTAAGCCTTAGTTCTGTCTTCAATGAAACCCATTGAAGTGTTGATGTATGAAAGCATCCAGACCAACAGCACAAGTCCTTTCTGGTGTTTTTTTTTTCCATCTTGATGGTCAACATATTGTGTCATTTATATTACCAAAATGCATAAAGCAGACTACAGGATAAGTTATGACCGTGTCATGGGGCGTGAAAAACACATCAAGATGTTTTTTTATCTGATCATGTCCTACTAGGCCACCTTTTAATGGCTTTGTTACCCTTCAGTCAGTCAATTTCATTATGTAGTACTTTTCCTAACTTTATAACCAAAATATTGAGTACATAGTTGCAATACTGTGTTCTAATGCTTCATAAAATTAGCTGTTGATAAATAAATATATTTGATAACCCCCCCCCCCCCCCAATTTATCCTTTATTTATATGGCTAAAAGTTATATATGACTTACAGAGGTAGAAGACAAGAAGAGGAAAACAGAACCCTTAAATCTTTTCCCACATTAAGTTGACATGTTGGGGTCTGGGAGGATTAATGCCTTTACCGATGGTGACAGATTTTTGAAGACTAAGACCCCATTTCCATAAATTTTAGATCGCTCTATTCTTGTGGGGAGTCTCACTAGATTACTGTCAGCTTAGCCGGCTTAAGCGTCTGTCCCGCCTACTGAAAGCTGTAAGGGGGTAATTAACTATGGTGCGCGCTCGGCTGACTGCAATTTAGCTTGAACCCCCTGGGAGTTAGGTCGATCTAAATCTTAATCTCTGGATCGATCTAAATCTCTGGGAATACACCCTTAAACCCAGTTTACATATTGACTTCGTGCCTTGTGTAAATATGAGTTCTAAACACCAGTTTGATTTCTATTATTCATTGTCACATTACTAGTAGATTTGAACTGTATGTCATGCAGTCATGTTGAAGAGTCACCATGGCCGACTCTTTAGCATGACAGCAATTTAGCGTGAACTCCCAGGGAGTTAGGTCGATCTGGATGGATCGATCTTAATCTCTGGGAATGCACTCTTAAATTATTGATACCTCTGTCATTTGGCCAGTTTTCAGGGAAATGTTTTAATTTAAGCTCTAAAAAGAATATTTGCTTCCTTCTCCCTTCCCTCCAACACAAGTGCATGCTAACAGATGTGCATGCATGAAAAAAAAAACTGGATCTAGAAATATTTTTGGCAAGCTATTATAAACAAGGCTTTTATCCTACTGTGTTGGTTATGATTCACCAACAGTGCTTTCAGCATGATATTCAAGACAAGCCACAACCATTGTTATTTTTGGTCAAGAATATGAGAACACTTTCCAGTTTTTGCTTCACAGGTAGATATCTGCAAAGATTTAAATAGCTTTTAAACAGCTTATAATAATGTCCAGAGAGTGATGCTGTAGGGAAATACAATTTACCAAGTCAATTACATTAGTGCTGTGTAAGTGGCCTCCAGACAGTTAACAGATGGCTAAATTTAGCAATAACATTGCAGACAATTCAGCTTATTTAGAAATTCAGCTGGTCAGTCATTTGTAGAAAGGCATGAAATGGTTGATTCACTGGATTAAGACATAAGCCAGTTCAGAAGCAATTAAACTTACATCTATTCATTTATTTCTTTGTATTGGTTGATAGGCAGTTAGGTACCAGCCTTCTAAGAATGTGGATGTGACTTTTTCCTGAATGTGTGTGTGTGTGTGTGTTTTTTTTTTTTCTTTTTCACCTAACCTTTATAGGATGGGCAGTGTAGAATGCAAGTTTTGCTCGTAAGTAAACTACCTTTATATCGCCAGAACAAAATACATTTGCATTTAGGTTAGATAAAATGGTGGTAATCCAGTTTTTGATATGCCTTCACCCAGAAAATTCTTTTCTGCTTTGGTACATCTGCGATTGGAACCACAATCTCGATTTGCATAAGAATGTGTTAGATATGTGAGATATTGGAGAATATATGGACATATTGTAGCCAAGAGGAAAGATGAAAAAGATAGCATCGATGATCTTGGGGTAGAAATTTTTTTTCGGGTCAGTAAAGTGCAGTTGACGTAAAGATGGAGCAAATAAAAGACCTTCATGATTGCACCTAGGGCTCTTATGTTATCTGTTAATGTGGAACAGTCATGAAAAAATATATTCTTTAAAATTTCTTTGTCATGCTCCTTAAAAATGTTTGCAGCCCCTTTTCCCCAGCATGCACACACATATTTACACTTCAACATAGATTTATGAGTATTCTAAAAGTTGATGTTTGGATTCATCTTCAATTTAATCAAGGTAAGTTGAAATGGAGAAATTCAAATCTATTTTGCTGTTGTTGTTCCATATTGGACACTGAATTCATCAATCACCAATCCACAGAGGAGTTGAACTAAAAGACATCTCAGAATACTAAGTAACAATATTGCTGAACAAACGACAGTTAAATCAAAATCAATGAAAAACAATCAGAAAGCCACAGTTGGTGCATGCCTGGTGAGATCTTGAAGTATAACCAACATCTGTTCAGACGAAGAGCATTTTTGATTGAAAATTGAGTATTGGGTCTGGGGCAGATTAAGGCCATCTTCTGGGTCTTCCAGAAGACAGTCAGGTTTTAAAGTTAACATTGACGGGTATCTAATTTTTTCTGTCAAAAGACAGTCAAAAATGGAGGATGGATCAACAAAGATAATTGGAAGACTGTCAGAAAATATCTCTGGATCTGCCCCTGTGGGTTATCAGAGGAGTTTGTGTCCCTTGTTGTGGAGGGCAGCATTACATTGAGGGTCCATTTTGCTCGTATCTCTAAATCCTGGTTTGATTTTAAATTTTCTGATGATGACTTTTCCCAGTCTGAACAAAGCCTATGAATGTTTGTACTTCTGAAACAACATGGTTTTTTAATGTAATTTGGTATTCAGAAGCATATTTCAAGTGGAAGTAAGAAAAAGATGTCAGAAAAAAAATATACAGAAAATACTCCTTGATCCATGTGACTTGGGAATCTTCAACAATAATTAAGTGTTTTTCCCCTTGACTGGGCCACACGCAAATACCCATGCCCCCCTACACACACACACACACACACACACACCACACACACACACACACACACACACACCTGTCTTTACAGCAAGTGATCTCAAAGGAAATGTAACTAACTGAATAAGGAGATGGATTGGGAGTCTGATTCAAAGGTTAATTTCATTAGATTTTCTCAGAGGATATGTTCTGAATGTCTAGTCATTTGATTATTGTTCATTGCAGCTTAAACACCAATGCCTAGTCTGTCCCCCCCCCCCCCCTCCCCATCCGCATACACACATATACTTTCCTCTCATATTGTGATTATCCAGGTGTTCAGCTTGTTATTATTTTGGTCTCATTCACTCGTCAGATTCATTATTTTGGCAATTGTTCAAAGATATTATCATGTAGCACACATTGTTTACATATCTGAGATTTAGTAATAGGTTAATTTGCTTCAGTGTAAATTAAAAAAAAAAAAAAACTGTAATGTAAATTTTGTGATGATCAGGTTTGAAATATTTATTTAACTTTATCAGTTTGGTTTCTGTGAGTATCAAAAGTTTAAGTTCCTGCTAAAAAAAACAAAACATTTGCAATCTTATTGAATAAAAACACTTTCGAAAGCAAATTTTCTGTTCAAACCAAGATAAAGTTTTAAAACAATATAGTAGTATACAGTGGACCCATTAGATGAGGTATAGGTTCAGTAAAAGATGGAGACACCAAGGCACACATTTTTCAAGAAACAGCCTGTAGACATGCAACAAATACATGTGAGACTTGAAGATTGTCACTTTTATTTCCTTATTTCACTGAACATTGTCTCTAAATGTGTCTTGTAATAAGATTTAGGACAATTCAGTCTTTGAACAATTTAGGAAATACTGGATTTTTTAAATGCTGCACAGCCATATAAAGTGTGATAGGTATTGATCATTATCCTAGGAAAAATATAAAGATTCTCAATTTGAGGTGTATTTTTTCCAAAATATTGTCTAAGATAAATATTTTAATGCTGTGACACATAACTTAATTCAGAGCAATAGCTGTCCATAATGTTTGGCCTTTGTGTTATGTTGGAATCATCAAAATTTCAAACTACATTTAACTTGATAGATATTGCACTTCACTGTGATAAAAATTGAATGTGAAAATTCTTGCTTTGAGTTTTATCTGTGTAAAATATTTTATAATATGTATGCAGCATTAACTGTAAGATGATGAATAATGTAGTTTACTATAGTTGTCTTTAAAGGATATTTTTAAAAGATTGATTTTTCCATTTCTTTGCCTGCATTATTTGTATTCATCCTTGAATTTATGGGAAAAAATGTAAATAGCATTATTTGACCTTATATGATGACAAATAGGCCCACGCAATGGGAATGAGTCAACTTGCACTCGTTAAACGGCTATTAAGTGTTTTCATCCAACAAACACAAGTTGCATATACTAGAGTGTGTGTGTGTGTGTGCATGTGCGTGCATGTTTGGGTGTATGCATTCGTGTATGTGTACGTTCATGTATGCACAATGCTGCTGATGAAAGCATGGTGTGATCCAAACAGGAAAAGTAGTCATAATAAAAATAATTATAATAGTAGTTATGATATAACAATTATTGTTTTTATAATGTCTTAGTACAAGGGCATATGATGTAACTTGATAAAAATTATACAAAGAGAAAGAATATAGATTACATTATGTACTGATATTATTATATATGTTCCTCTTCTTTGTTCACTATATGATAGGTTCAGTCTATCAAATAATTGTAATAAAGCTGGCCCTATGTTGCACAAGTTCAAACAACTCACTTTTACCAAAAAAAAAAAAAAAAAGATGTTGGTATCTGTAATTTGTAAACCACTGCTGTATTAGATAAATATAAGTAAGAATTTACAATTTTGGTATGGATCAAATTATATTATTCTCTATCAGGGACTAATGGGAAGATAACTTGTATCATTATAAGAATTGCTGCATGGTTTATAGATCAGATTGGCTCTATTGGGACCTATGAACACAAATAAAACCTATTTTCATTCTAGTTATCACAACTGTAATAGCCATGTTTTCTTTCCTAGTGGGTGAGAATCATAACAACATGGCTTATCCTTGATCAACATCACTACTGCACAAGTTTATAAGTATGAAGCACGGCCCAAGCTTTATTGTTTGGAAAACATGTTAGGTGGATTTTTTTCGCACAATTAATGAACATTAGTTGCCCAGCAGGCCGCGGGCATACATTTCGCAGACTCAATGGCTATGTGCTTACCTGGATAATGTCCAGTCCAAGTACAATTGAGATTCATGGAATTTTTTTTTTTTAATTTTTTTTTTTTTTTTTTTTTTTTGAAGAAGTTACCTGTCATAGCCTTACATGTGATAAATTCTAAATGAATGAATGGATCCTTGCCACTTTATTGTATAAATTACTGTCATATAAACAGGGTGAGATTTTTTTGGCAAATTTTCGAATTTTTAGGGGCCAAAAATATTGTTGGCCTAGGCAGCCCTCTGGACCCCAAGTCATATTTTCCAATTTCTTCACTAAATGGGGATGAGAATAACCCAAGACATGAAAAGATGGTTGAATGTATGATAAACACATTTAAAGGTGTGATGAGTTGATTTAAGTACAAGTAGTTTCAGAGCCAAATAAATGGCAAATAACTGATATAATGTTGGCCGATGAATAACAAAGGATTTAAGTCTACAAGTCTGTCTGTAATTGTCTGTTTGTCTACCAATTTTCACCTGTTTATTCTTCCTATGATCTCTCTTTCTCTCTCTCTCTCTCAGTTAATTGCACTTCAGAGACTTGACTCTAAATGCACTAAGCAAGTTATATTGCCTTTGATCTTCCATGGAGGAAGACTGTCCAGTGTTGTTTTCTTCTCTTTCTGTTGATGATTCATCACTTTACTGATACAACTTAGTATATCACTGGTCCTTAGGTGGCTTTTCAGTATCATTCTCAATTTCTGGTGTTCCTAGTGCATCCTTACCTCCTGAAATCTTCATATTTTACACCTGTTCAGCTTTTGCAGGATTAAGATTGGGTTTATATTTTTACGTTCAGACACAGAAACATGACATTCTTTTTTTCCTCCATTATCGAAACAGATTATGAAAAAATCATAAATTATCGAACCCCCTAAAATTGATTTCTTGAATTATTCAATATGTAACATTTTGCAGCTTAATTGTAAACAGTGCTGTTGTTCCACAGCCTTTCTTGTAGTATGTAGCTAGTTCATGTCTTAGTCAAACCAAACTAGATGGGATACATCGGAAAATAACTGCTTGACTTTCTGTTTAGGTTATATTAGATTGTTGCACCACACATCCATATAATGAACACTTATTATACATCCATAAAGTGCTCGAACCACAGAACTATTAGTCATTCCAGGGTTGGTTGAAATCCGTTTATCTTAATGGTTTTGACTCTGGTACAATTAGTCTAAAATAATTGTGATGGTATTGATGTTGAAGGAGGATGCTGGTTACATCAGTTGCTGAGTGCGAATTGTGACATGTTCAAATATGTCATTAGCAATCTTCTATTACATTTTGTGTTTTTTAATGAAAGATGAAGTTTAAAGAGAGGGAAATTTGTAAAATACTATACAAGAAAGAAATCCTACCTGATTAATGATAAACATTTAATTTTATGATTATTATGTTATATATGATTATAGTTTGCTTTGACTTTGATATCATTATGCTATGGTAACTTGAAAAAATTTCTTCAATCATACATTATATGCTTAAATGTATTTGGATTCATTATAATTACAGGCCGAAAAGGCTCGTCAGGTACTGTACCAAGCCAAATACGGTAGGGTCGGTCTGGCTGATCCATTCTATGCGCTACAGCGGGATTCAGACGACATGAAAGATAACGCCTTCGACGAGCAAGCAGTGAAAGCCCTTTACGATAACCAGCTAGCACAGCTGGAGAATCTCATATCTACGCAGCGGAACGCACAGATCAAAATGCGAGAACAGCTGGTGTTTGTGGAGAAGAAATATCATAAGGTATCATTGTTTGATGTTGATAATGTAACTTTTAGTTGGTAACAGTTTGATTTGAAAAGAGTGTCCAGATGCAGGTGAAAAATAGAATGGCAGTGCACAACACATTGGCACAAAATTGTAGAAAGTTGATCCGGTGCAGGTAGCAGTTTTGCGAAGAGGACAGCTAGAAACATTGCAGAGTTCAGTCTTGGGCAAGAATATTGATAATTGATCAGCTTAAAGATGAGTAATGTAAAGAAGTATCTAGTACTAGTATAGTATTTCAATATTTTCTACTGTATAGTAGTATATATTTTGTAAGTAAAGTTCCACATGAAAAAGGATACTAACAGTTTTGTATAACACAGGTTTTGTCAGAACTGGAAGATGAGAAGAGGAAACATGCACAAGACACAGCACAGGGAGATGATGTCACATACATGTTGGAAAAAGAGAGAGAAAGGTTACGTAATGAGGTGAGAAATGCACTTACGCAGGGCAGTTGGAAGTGTAGATATTATGCCCTATCTCTGACAGGCCTACCCAACTGCCAGACTCGGCACTGAATGATTCTGAATTCACCGGTAGATCAGACCACACTACCCGTTTTCAAAATAAACATAAGTATATAAAGTTAAGAGAGTTTCCTCAGCTACTAAAAAAAAAAAAAAAAAAACAATTTTCAGGAAGATCATGCCTGATGCCAAAATATTTGTTGCCCCACACCATGATGCTATTACCTAAGGTTAATGTTCGCAGCGCCGCTGCACACTTTCCAAGAAAATGCCAACTTTTCATGACCCATTACTGCTCAGTTTTGCTTGAACTGTTGTATATCTCTCTCCTTACTTGTCACAGTTAATTTGCCTTGCCTGTAACACTAAGTAGATGTGTATATATACTCCAGATATATATATATACATAAATAAAATGACCTGGATATAAGCCAGCAAGGTAAGAAGGTCCTGGGTCTACTACTACAACAACACATGAGTAAGGCTATGTTTACAGTCCGTACGGAAGAAATGCACATCATCTTCACTTTGCATAGTTTGTGATACTATGTGGATATATTGTATGCGTATGTGTTTGTGTGGTATGTAATATACTATGTGGATGTTTCTAACTTGGGGGAGGGGGGGGGGGGGAATGCCCCGATATGCGTGTAACCATTACCGATATGCGTGTATCCATGTGTACACATTAGTCCAGGCCTGTCTCAATTTTTACAGGAAATCTAACTACCCACTGACATGCTATTTTGAGATGTGAACCAGTATTCAAGCTCAGGAAAATTAGTGTTCTTTGGCTTATGAGCAATTTCTCAAGTATTTCTTATAGGTTAAGTCAGCAGTCGGTTAGCACAAATACGTAGTCAAAAATATTTTTTATGGTTTTCATTAAGACAGAATCTAAACACCACTTTGTCCATTGATTTGATATACTTCTGAATTCAGTTCACACCAAATGAAGGTTTATTACAGTCATCTCTTACTATTTTGAACTTTTGAGTGTATACACAAGATAGGTGAGTTTTCATAAACCACTGATGCAGTTTAAATATTTTTCAAGCCAGATTAAATTAAGAAAAAAACACTACATTATGTCAGTCATGAGTTAAGATACTCTGATTTGAGATTTGACTAGTAGTATTTTGATACAGGTTTCAGTACAGAAAACATCTCTGTGAGATGGATTTGGCAGTCATCCCATCATGGTACATGTAGATATGTATCTTACTTGGCACTGAGCTTGTATTAGCTGGGGTTGTGCACTTCTACCTGCATGTTCACAAATTACCTGTGATTACTGTCCGATGTGATTTATATACTTTCTCTAGGGAAGTGAAGCAGATGTTCTTTTTCTGCAGTATGGAGATTTTAGTTGGCTGTTGTTTATTGTCATCATTTTAGTTTTTAGAAGGTATGGTAATAACTTGATATTTAGGTTGAACAAATTGAATTGATAACATTCTTCAAGGTGGTGTGTTGTTATTATTAGTAATACAAAAAAATGTTAATTATTAAGAAGTTCTGAAAAGTGAATCTGTGTTATTTGTAAAAGAGCATTTTTCTGAGTCACTAAAAACAACAAAACTTCAAAAATAATAATACTGAAGTCTCTGGACTCATGCAGGTTCAGTGGATTTCTTATAAATCTGGCTATGAAAATATTCCACTGTTTTGTGCCAATATTTATTGATTCAGTTCAAATTTCTTGTTTCAAATTGGCTAAAATTATCCCTCTATTTGACTAAAAGACAAGGAGGTCAAAATCCTTCTGCACCAGGGTCGGTAGTTTGAACTAATTGAGGCTACACCTGTGACTGATCATCTCTGTTTATTGAGAGCCATTAGCAGGGCTGTAATTGGCAGTTGATTATAGGTCAGTTACAGGTGATTTATTTGGTTAACCTGCAGCTGGTCTATGGACGTGATCATTAGAGAAAACAGACACTGGGTGAGATCCCCAGAGAAAACAGATTATTAGTTGCTCTTTTTTGCAAATGATTCTGAGACTTCAACATGAGTTGCTTGTAGTGCAGTTGTAAGAATAAATAAAAGAATTCACTTCAAGACTTGATGTCCTGCCAAAAATTGTCTCCTTCAATTAAATATGTGCACCCCTTTTTCTCAAAATAAAAGGAGATTCAGCTAAATGCTGGCAGACTCTTTGAAAAAGTGTGTTCTAGGGCCAAAATATGGAAGCAGTTACAGGTGCTGCTGACAATATACTCTTCACTTAAGTATTAGTAAATAACAAGTTTTATTTTTTATATTGTAGATTGAGTTTGAAAAAAACCAAAGCAAGAAAGCCAAGAAGGAATTGGACAAGGTGAACGCCGCACTGGAACAGGAAGTAGCCATGTCACAAAAGCATAAACAAGTAGCTTTAATGCTGATAAAGGAGAGGAAAGATTTGGTGGAAAAATTCCTCTTAGAAAAACAGAAATTCAACTTTGTGCAAAAGAGCTTCCAAGATGGCCGAAACAAAGTAAAAATAATGGCAGAAGGTCTGGAACAGGAAAGTAAAAAGTCTTTGAAAATGGAAGCTGAATTGGAAAAGAAACTCCACGAGTTTGACATGGAGCGCGAGCAGCTCAAAGCCAAACTAACTCGTGAGGAGAACAAGAACAAAGACCTTCATGCAGAAATTGAACGCCTACGGCAACAAGTAGAAAGTATAAAACTGAATGTTGGAGACCAACCCCTCTCTCCCAGAGAGTCAACCTCTCCACAGACAATAGAAATCAAAAGTAGTGTAGCCCAAAAGCCTCTCCCAGCAGAAAAGTCTCCTCATTTAGTGGCTACAACCCCAGTTAAGGTGCAAAAGGTGGTCGGGAAAGTGCCCTCGGCTAGCGACAACTCTATAGCATCTTCAGGAAAGAATCATCTCACGGGTGGACAGCAGCTGCCCCCAAAAGCTACGAGTAACGCTGATCCAGTGGTTAAGAAAACCATCATGCAGCTCGCAAACAGTAATGCTGATGGGGCAAATACTGTGCCAAAGAACGAAATTAAAAACAGTGGGGGTAATAGTGCTAGTGCAGGAAATCGGGTCAATCTCAACTCTGCTAATGCCACCACAGGGGGCAACACTGCTGTCTTCACAACGCCATCTGGTGGCAAAATCTCTCTTTCTGTAGGACAGAGGAAAGTGTCCCCCTTGGGACGCGGTGCTCCACCTCCCATCCCACCCAACAAACCAGTGCTGACACCTGCTGGTGGGAAAAAGGAGGTTGGAAACAAAGGTGCTGTGTCTCCGCGGAGCAGCGGTATAGGTAGTGTTAGCGACTCTTCTACCTCTGGGGGGACTTCCCCAGAGATCAAACCTACAAAACCCGCACCCCCCTCAAAGTTCGGGGTCATCTTAATGAACAATCGGGACAGGACTGCTGCTGACAGAAGTTCGTCAAGCCCAGAGAGTCCGAATGCCAATCTACGGCCTATAACAATCTCCAATGTCTCCAGTGCTTCTAATGCTGCCACTTCTTCCTCAAGTAACACCACAGTGCCAGTAAAGCGGGCTACTCAGGTTTGTGTGAATACAAAGTAATGGTAAAAAGTGGGAGGGACTTGTGGAAAGGGAAGATTATGAGTATCATTTATGCATTTGGTTTGTACTCTGGTGGTATGTACACAAAGGGTATAGAGGCATTTGGAAAGAGATATTTTCATGTATGAATGAGAGTTGGTGTATTATTTAAGTGGACTTGGTATAATTATGATATGAACTTATTCTGGCATAGGCTAAAGAATATGGACACAATAAAATCTTGATGGCTGTTTACTAAAAACTGATCATGTATTTAAGATATCAGATTAAGATGTTAAGAGATGATTCCAAAACATGGACTATGCCACAAAAAGAGCACACAGTATTGAAGGATGGAATATTGTGTGCTAAGGAAATGAATCTGTTCGAACACAACTGTATGATATGCAGTACAGGCCTTATGAGTTTAAGGAAAGTCAAAAAGGAATATTATTTCACCCTCGGGCATGCTTCACAAAAGGACTTTAGCCCCCAAAATTGCTCTTGATTGTTAGAATATAAGTTTAGCCAAGTTCAATGAGTTTTCCAATTTCAAGTGAAAAAATGTTCGGCTCTGTTAGACCAATATTTGAATTTAGCATAGTACATTGGAATTAGCTTGAACTCCAGTAGACCATTTTTGTGGTCTTAGAGTACAGAACAATTTTTAGTCTAACAGTCTCAAAGTTCTTTTGTGAAATCTGTCCCAAATTATTTCAATGAAATACTGCATTAGACAAATTTAAGTGTCTTTAAGAAGTCCTTTTCTTTTCAAATATTTTTAACTGCTGAGACATTTGGCTTGTGTTTTATTGTAAAAGATGTATCTGATTATATTTTACATCACAAATTTAATTGTTATTAAGAGATGCAGGGAACATGATAATCATGTACCTTGAAATAGCACAAATAAGAGAGAGGCAGTTTTGTTTAGTTTTTGTTTTGAGAATGAGTTTTGTTGAATGAATTGTAATATATGTGATAAACAAACTTACTAACAATATAAACAAGGCTTGAGTATGGTCATGCAAGCTTATTTTCTGTTTTCACTGGAGAAAAATTTGCCACTGGCTTAATGATTGAAGGGTGGACTTAAAAATATCTCGGATTTTGAACCCACTGATAATGACCGTTGCATTTTCAGTAACTTCATATGCTAGTGTGAAACAACCTAATTTGCTTGAAATTAATAAAGAAATGTAATATTTATACCCTTTTTGATATGAAAATTATTTCAGTATGTTGTGTAATATTGATATCAGTGCTCTTCCAGTTGGATGTCGTTATGACCTTCCTAACAGTTTTCAAACTAACATGAAGTTGGATTTTCTTACATTATAATCAAGGTGGATATATCTTATTACAAGCTATCAGTTTACAGCTGTTTTTTTTTCACATTGTGTATAGATGGATACTGTAACCCTCCACCTTTATATGTGTAAAAAAAATGAATCATTTTAAATTTTATAGGAAATGCATATCGTTATAATTATAGATAAGTTAACAAGACAATCATCAGTTTATGTTCAGGAAAAAAATATTTTTATTAGTTTGTGCATGAGAGGTTTATGCATTACAGAATTTTAGTAGAAAAATTAGAAAAATGAGAAGAATCCCATTTTTTAAACATTAATGAAAAGTCTGCAATCAGTTCATGCCTATTTTTAGGTAAGATCTCACTAGATAATAAAATTTGTTCTTCTTGTAATGCATTTTTAGTAGGCGGTGCGAGATTCAAATAAAGAACAGACTGATAAGTGTAAAACTTTGTCAACTGTTAAAGTCAGCAATCTGCACTTAGATGCTTTGAGATTTTTGTACGATCATATTCTGTCGTCATTTCTACTTGTAAAATATGCTCTGTCGCTATAGTTATCATGTATCTGTATGATTGTATAATTGTCCTCCGAATGTGAATTAAAAGAAATGAACTTGAGATCAAAATTTGAAAGTAATTGTTTCTTTTATTTATAAAAAATGAAAACATGCTGCAAAAATAAGTTTTGCTTTTTGTTTCTACTTAATTGCATGGTTTGCAGATTGCTGCTTTTTTATTTGAATATTTTTTGCTATGTTTGGTTCACAGTTTGTAGTGCCATCCATTAAGCCTTTTATAGTAACTTCATAGAGTGTATAATTGTTTTGTGAATGTTGTTGTTTTATCATTGTTATTTGAGTTGATCTAACTTTAAGTGTTAAAATTCAGGTAATCTCTTTCCACGTGTCTCATTTCTCTTTTGCATGCACCAGATTGTAAACTTTTATTTATTTATTTTTAAAGATGCTCACTTGTATAACACTTTATAACATTTACCTTGATTTTGGCCTTACAAAATATCCCACATGTTGCCATCTTACACGCATGCACGTTGGTGAAAATTTTTAATTAAAAAAAGCTCTTGTTTTTAACTAGCAGCTTGTATCAACTGCTACAAAGCCTTTTGTTAGCATGAAAAAAAATAGCAATACATTTATTATAAGTAAAGATGGTAACAAGTTCAGTATTGTAGGATGTTGGCTATCTGGGTCTTTTAAATCTTCTTAAAAATATAATATTTACATATTGATATGTTAACTGCATTATAAAATTTATTATTACATGTATGCCAGTAACTTTGCTATTGAGTTGGTAATATTGAAAGTTTTCTTCATATCTAGTTTGTATGTCGTTTATTTTAATATTTCTGTCATTTATTTTTGCCTTAAATGTATTAGCTAACAGTCTTTAGAGAGAATGGATCATTCCACAAAAATTGACTCCATGAGTCACGTCACTGAGGAACACATTTTGTGAAATATTTGCATAACTCTTATATCACTTTTTAATTACTGTTTCTTATAATGTCTTTGATGGTGATATAGTATAAAACAGCAAAAATATTGTGACAAGTTAGAATTATGCAGGTATTATACAATTGATGTGACTCGGAGTCACTATTTTGTGAAATAACCCAAATACCTTGATGATATGGGGAAATCCTGATTTATGGGATGAGGGGAATACTGTAGATCATATTTAATTAAAATCAAAAAGGATGTACAGTTTAAATCTGGTTGATAAATAACACTTAACTAGTTACTAATATTTACTAATATCTTACACTAATAATAGAATAATAAACCTGTCCTATTAAAATTTATAATGGATATATTAAAAGAGAACTAGATGGTGGGGGAAGGAGGGGTAAGCAGAAAGCCATGTTGATTTTTCTTCCAGTCTTAAGGTATGATTTAATGTCACATTTTTTAATGTCAATTTTGATTTGGTTTGTACATATTGACCTTATACTTGACCATTTTTGTCAAAAATAATGTTAAGCTTCTCAAATATGTTTATATTCTCATTAGTGGTAAAAAGCAACTTTGATGCCAGTTGTAAGTGATGAACATGCACTTAAAAGATGAGAAGACTGAAAACAGCTGCAATGCTTTACCCGCCATAAAGCAAACAGGGGAGGGGGGGCAGGCTTAAAGCTACACAGTTCCCAAATTTAGAGGGCTCCGAAACTTACTAGCATCCTGTTTCTGTATAAACTGTATTGCAGTGATTTTAACTTTTATTATAACTTTTAATTCACTTCTTGAAATTGGTCTCTTGTGTTATTCTGTGCAGGGTATTTAGCACTATAATATACATCGTCATTTAACACTAACAGGTGCAACAACACATCTCTAACAGGTGCACATTCTTGTGCGGATGCTGTTGTGTAGAACTGATTACGTTACCTGTATTTGTTTGTTAGAGGAGTTGGAGATTTGGGGAATTGGAGGCTGAAAAAAAATTTATTCACATAGTTCTAGCACTTGGTGGCCATGGTGAAGGCTAAAATGTTTAAAGAATAATTGTAGGAAATAGTCACTTGATTGCAATTTCATATGTAATTCTGTTGACTAGTTGGCTGTGAAATTACTAGAATATGGGATATTTTATTCAACATATTTTATGTGGCTTACAAGCATTTCTGTGAAAAAAAAAGAGAGAGAGAGAGAACTGGACTCCAGAGTTAAGAATTTAGATCCCCTGTCTTCATAAACTTTTGTTTGACTTAAAAGCTGTATCAATGTTCAATCCAGGTGTTTTTTGTTCCAAATTCCCCATTGGATTTAAAGAGTTGGTGTCACAAGATTCAAAATTACTATTGTTGGAATTTTGCTCCAAGGCTTGGAAACCATTTTAAAAGGGGGATTGTAACAGGTGTGAAGGTCACATCCAGTCTCAATCTAAAATATTCCAATGAATTGTTTGATGTCTTCCTAAGAAATGACCCTGGTTTTTGCGATTAACCAATTAATGGGTTAATTCTAAAAAGTCTGCCTCTGCAGTATCTGAAAGAACAGGGTTTACAGTTCACCAAAGAAAAATGTTTACATCTGCTTATCACGTCTGCTTTGTAAACCTTGCTTTGGATAAAAAGTCTTCTCTTTTACTATTAACCTTGAACTTTTTATGGAAGCTTCTCAGTTTATCAAAACAAACCATAAAATAAAACTTTTCACTGTTGCTTTGTTAACTACTATACAGATGTTCCATTTAATGTATGAAAACAATGTTTTTGATTTGGCTTCATGTATACAGACTTCAGTTTTTATGGGTTTGTTTGAAATATTGAGAATCTGAAAAGTCCTTCATTCTATTGAAATTACTTGTATTTTAAGCGTGTTCTTATGGATTACCTTTTTAGTTGACAGATGGCTGCTTTCTGTGATATTTCTCTTTATCATTTTTTGGGGAATTTTTGTTTGCATCTAATCTCAACTAGCCTTCCTGTAATTTCTGCTGTATTTGAATTGTTTTTGTTTAAATGTTTCAGTATCTGTCAGTGCTTGTGGCCAATGTGACATCATTCCAAACTCCTATTGTTAGTCTCAAAAAGTGTTGAAAGAAAAAAGGGAAAAACATTGAAATCATTGGTACCGTTAAAGAATGCAGGAAATATTGTAAATATTTGTGCAGCTGAAGTTCTTAACTATCTTGGCTTGTAGAATATTCATTTTTGACCAAAAAAAAAATTACTTTGAAGAAAGTGGATTTTTGTGTTCTGTAGATATGTCACCAAAGTGGCCGAAAATTAACAAACAAATTCAGCAAAGTGCATCAGTTTTTAATAAGCTAAAATTATCTGTACTTTAAGTTTCTTCTCGCGGGATGTCACTTGGCTCTTAAATTTGTTCCCAAGTTTGATGCTTGCAGTGTGCAATTTTTTCCAGCAGCTCCCTAGCGACCCAAATCGCCCGATGTCCTCTTCCGACAACAACCTGGATTTTCTAGGTCAGGAAATGGCTGACCTTCAAGAGTTGCTTGTTTCCATGGCAACAGGTAAAGGGATAGAAATACAATTTACACACACGTAGAGAAAAAGTGCATTTGTATACTCTCATAAATAGTTTGTAGTTCTTAATTAATGTTTAGTGTTCTGTTGAGTGACTTAGCGGCTAAAAAGTCATGGCAAGCAGTATTTCAAAGCAATGGTATTAATATGGAATGCAGAATTGGCATTGTGCTTACAAAAATTAATCTGGTCTGTAATGCAAAAATTTAATTTGGCTATTATTAACAGCAATTTGAAATGTCTAGATTGAACAGGTGAAAAAACAGTTGCACCAGTACAAATGAGAAATTGAATTTAATCGCCATTCAAAAATATCTGTTGACAAATGAAATTTTGAAAGAGGCCCTTACCTTGAAATAGTATCATTTAGTCAAGATATACGTTTTAAACATTGGATGCATCCTCTCCCCATATGTGAGTATCAATATTCTGCGATAGTGCTCTGCACTTTGAAAATTGGCTCATTCCATTTTAATCAAAGAAATACTTTTAAGAACTTTCAAATATCAGACTGCACCATATGTTTTAGATATAGCCCAGCTATCTGTCATTAACATAATTAAACAAAATAAAAGCACATGAAATAGCCATCCCAGTCGGATAACATTATTGGATGCACTAGTAGAGTCACAAGAGATTTTGTATGTTGAGAAGAAACTGGTTTCGAGAATCTATTTCTATCCCTTTTACCTTTCATTGTATGCAGTTGGCATCATAAGAAGAAAAGAATGCTGCTTTTACTTATTACTTAGATATTTGCTGTGCATGGTTTGCATTGCTAGTGCAGTTTATAGGCAGCAGTGAAAACGCCCCGAGTGTCAGATCTGTAAAAGTGACTTTTCTCCGTACAAAATGTGAAGAAAGTCACTTCCAGCCTCCCGGAACTCTGGGTATGAGAAGATTAGCAAGAATAGATCTGGCAATTGTGTGAGATTTTGAATTGTGCCTTTAGCTAAGCAACCAGGAAAAGATTTGACATCAAATGATATCTCATGGTACTGTAAAGGAAAGTTGATTGCATTGCATCATGGGCATCCATGGGAGATTTTTCAAAAGGTGAACAGCGTAATGATAAAGCTTTCAAAGTTGGCTGGATTGACTTATGATGAGGTTTTTGCTCAGAAGACTGCAATCAGCTCTGCCTTCCATTTGATATCATTTGACTTTTGTAAAGCTCCTCTCTGTAACATTTAGACACATAGTCAGACCCAAACTGGTTAAGGTATGAATTGTGTCACCAGTCAACCTAAATGACATACGAGGGATCCAAGTGAATTAATGTTGAGAATGCACCCAGATGTAAAAAGGGGGGGGGGGGGGGGGAAACACAGAAACTTCTAACCAGTCTGGGCCGAAAATCTGTCTGAACATACCTAAAGTGAAGGGAGTGTTGGCGCATTTTGCCTCGCTGCATGTCATTTGATTGGATGGATTGTTGATTTGATACAAAGTAACTGCATGACAATTTATAGTCGCTTTTGATCTTTTCAGCAGCATGAGTTTAGACAAAAACAAAATAAATTAATAAATAAATAAAATATAATGCAGAAATTTTGCAGTGGTGAAGTTTTTTTGAAGTGATTTCATTATTGTATTTGCAGTGTGCAAAGAATAATTTCATTGTGCAAGGTGATGGAAAATAAAGTAAAGGGGGAGATTCTTGAACAAGAGTATTTTTATATCGTGAGTCTTGCTAGCATGAGAATTTTCACCAAATGCTTTTTTTATTGCAAATTTGTGAAAAGATAATTATTTGGTGAAATAAAATGTGTTTAGCTGACCTTAGCATTTTAGATGGGGGTGAGTTGAAGTATTTTTTTTCTTTCTTTGAGGGGGAAGGGTAAACTCTCACTCACCCCAACTAAATTCTTAAATGTAAGTTTTTGTAGGAAAATTTTAATTAAAACATCTCCTGTGTCAAAGTTTCAAAGTGGAACTCTTCCCTCCCTACCCCTCATAAATCCTGGATTGCCTCTGGATTTTTTTACATTGATTGATTTTATATTAAGTAACCTGAGTGTTGATATCTTTTTTTATTTATATATAAAATGGAAGGACATGCATTACTTAACATGTTTTATGCAAATTAAGTTTTCATGCGCATAGGGCATTTGTGCTTTTATAATATTAACTACTTTAACTTGTTATTCCCACATGTTACTGCATTTGACTGTTACAAAAGAACCAAACTAAAGAGTATTTATTGTTTCTTTTGCACATCTCATCTCAGGTTTAGAATGAATGGTAAAATAGGTGGAATTTGCACAGTATTTAGGGCCATCCCATGGGTTTTATCTATCTGTTTTTATGTTATTTTCAAAGGGGGGTTGGGTGTGAACCTTACAAGTTAAATATTCATTCACTTTTACAGATCCTCTTGATATATTTTACTCACAAATTTATAAGAAGATACTTAAAATAAGTTACAGAGCCAAGTTTTTAATAAATGGTAAAAAGTTCATTTTATGACGTGGATGAAGAAGATTATAGAGTAATATTCTACCCTTGGGATGGCTTCAAATTCACATTTTATGAATGTTTAAATGTTGCATAAGTTACGCTATATGTATGTGATACTTGTTACTCTATATTGATGGCCTTTGTTTTCATCATTCATCCCTACCCTTATCTCATTTTTCTCCCCGTTCCATCATTTAGCCCACGTCACATTTTTGGTAGGCATGAGTTACAGTTCATCTGCTTGTATATCTGGCAGGAGCTGCCACAGTACCTGGTTAATCAAGTTTTTTTTTTTTTTTTTTTTTATTAATTAATTAATTAATTTTTTCTGTAGACTAGTTTACCAGTAAAGCTCCAGGGTTGCTGACATGAGCTTTTTTTGAGAATAAAATGTCCATTGATTTGTTGTTTTTGAGAATGATTTGTACAGAAGAATTGTTCTTAATGAATGGATTTCCTATCCTCAAAACCCAAGCGGGGGGAGTCCCAAACCAGAAGTATGTTTTGTGGTAGACATTGTCTTATCTGTTTTTCTATGTAAAAGGAAAAGAACACTCAAAATAATACACGCATGGAGTAACATCATATCTCAGTTTTTTCATCCCAAATGTGTCTGTAAAATATGACCCAGGCGCTGGTCTGTTGAATGCCCCGATTTTTATGTGCATTTATTGAGCCTTAGACTTTTGTGAGTGTACGGGATATTAAATAGAATATGCCAGGATTGGTCTACCTACTTGATTTACTTTTGGTTGGGAGGTCATCTTCTTTGGAGAAAAAGAATGCATGACATAGTCAGAACATGCAACCCTGGCGTTTTCCCCATCTTTTTATTTTATTTATTTATTTATTTATTTATTTATTTATTTATTTATTTATTTATTGAAAATTGTTCATTAGTGATTGATGAACAGTTTTGCCATTAGTAAACTTGGTAGAAAAGTAAAGAATGGAACAAGTTGTTTTGTTTGCTGTAAACTGTTGAATGAAGTACTTTTTGTTGTATTATTCTGTTTTACGTTTTACCTTATCAGATTGACCATGTAGCATATTTGTGTATTGAAGAATTTCCCTTATTTAGAGAGTTATGGCAACAGCAACCCTTAATTTATCACTAGAGTGGTCCCACTTTCCCTTCTTGTTTCATTATAGTTGTTGTCTAGATCCTAGAAAAGAATTTGAAATAGTTCAAAACACATAGGAGGTATTGTGAAGTTTTGATATAATTGTTATTTTAAATTGTTTACATTTTTGAAATGACTTCCCTATCTGAACTGTGTTTTGAGTTAAGTTAATGAAGGTAGGATTTGACAGGTTCATTAAGATTTAACTGTGAAATGTTCTGTCAAAGCTACCTTTTCAGTACTGTAACAGTAACACAAAATTTCAATATTTAAGATGACTATCTGAATACAAGATTATGGAACTTTTTGATGGTGATAATTTACACATTTGATGTAAAAAAGGCTGTCAAAACTTGAAAATTTTAAATTGACTTAAAGATATCAGTTTAAGACTACTTATGACTAGGGTGATGGTATTTAGTTTAAAATTAAATTTGAACTGCCAAGTTTTCATACTGTTGGTTAAGATATAACAGGTGGATTAAAAAAAAACCTACATCGAAACTTTCAACTTTTCAAAAACTAACCACTTTTTTTTTTTCAAACTTTCAGGTGAGAGTGGTCCATCTAGTTTAGAAGATCAGAGTTTAGCATCACCATCATTATCATCGACAACATCATCAACAAATTCATCAAATGCAATGTCATCAACATCATCATTTACCTCATCGGTTCTAGCATCACAAGATGGACCATCTGCCCAAGTTCTTCAACTCTCTTATCAAGGAAATTCTAGTGAACTTCAGAAAGTTTTAACGGAAAATGGTCTGGACCTTACTGCTGAGGTAGATGGAAAAAATGCTCTCCATTTAGCTGTTGAGTGTGGGCATTTTGGTAAGTTTGATTCATATTTAAGTTAATTTAAGAAATTTCTAGTAAATAGTGAGATTTTTTTAACATTACATTTTTTGGCATTGCAGGGAATGTTTTACTTTGTATTTTGTTTGTGCACAAAATTTTTCCTTGTATCATGTAAAATTTTGTCTAAGTTTGTTGGAATGAAACTTTTCTTTTTATTCTAGAATGTTTGAAACTGCTTCTTGAACATGGCGCTAATCCTAATACAAGTGGCAAAACTGATGGATTGACACCATTGCATGCTGCTGCAAAACTTGGGCAGTATGGGTAGGTAACAGCAATGACCTAGATAGGGAGGTCAAGGTTAGAGAAGTGACCTTGAGAGAGATCAAGGTTGAAATTACCTTGAGAGAGAGGTCATTATAGGTATTTTCAGTGCTAAATTATCAAAAAAGAAATATGATTTGGTATTTCAGTTTTTGAATGGCTGATATAATTCCAAACATAATATTTACACATTCAAACATTAAATGTACTATATGTACATGCATCAGTGTTAATTTTTGGGATTCATTTTTTTTTTCACTTCCAGCTGTCTGAAGCTCCTGCTTGACCATCATGCTAAGATTAACTGCCTTGACCACCAGGGCTGGACCCCACTGGTGTGGTCAGCTTATAGTGGACACACAGATATATGTAAACTGTTACTGGACTCAGGGGCTAGGCTGGACATTAAAACTAGTGTAAGTCTGGGTGGTCTTAAAGGGATAACAACTCTTTGTATGTGATCCATATTTCACAATAAATACGTTATAAACAACTCAGAAATGTAAATTCTATTTTACCACCAAAAGAAAAAAAAAGCAGGGACTAACTTTGAATGTTGGAACAGATTCATTAACTATTGGTATGGGAAAAGTCTCTTTTACCCCAGGCAAACCCATTTTTTGTCCAGATGAACAGTTGTTATCCCTTTAATGTAATGATCTGAATCAAAGTGTAAAGAAAGTGCTGTGTTGCAGTCATTATTTTAGTTATCGTACATTCTTGTAATATGATATTGTCAGTCCAGACGTTGCGTGTACAAAATGCTGTGGACACTATATGTACACATTTTTATATTGGTGATTTTCAAATCTACATAAATTCTATATATTTCAAGCACATGCACAATAGATATTTGTTCTTACTTGACTGTGTGATGACTATGATTTTCAAACATGGAAGAAGGAGGAGTTGGGTGGGGGGGGGGGTGTAGATTGGAGTTGGACTAATACAAGAAGTCGCACTCTGTGAACACCCAAAATGTTTTATCTCCATGATGTGACTATATATTGATAATTCTCTATATATCACAGGAGGGCTGGACATGTGCACACGCAGCCACTCAGGCTGGACACACAGAATGTATAGAGCTGCTGCTGACATACAGACAGGGAAGCCAGTTCCGCTCATCGCCAAAACCAACCAGCCAATCAGCACCCTTGGCTGAGCTTTATGATATTGTCAACGTTGCTGATGTAGAGGGCAGGACTATAGCACATATGGCAGCTATAAAGGAAACAAAGGTATAATCATAAAATTCAAAGACCTATCATCTTTCTAGGACTGCTTGGTCCATGATGACCTCTTGCATTGTTATAAAAGTTGTCTCTGGATTTTAATCAGTTTAATGAGCTTAAAACTAAAAGACCTGCCATCTTTCTAGGACTGCTTGACCTTGATGACCTCTCACTTTGTTTTAAAAGTCTCTGGATTTTAATCAGTTTAATGATCATGAAATTTAAAGACCTACCATCTTTCTAGGACTGCTTGACCGCAATGACCTCTCACTGTGCTATCAGAAATCTTTCTGATATGTAATCAGTTTAATGTTAATAAAATTCAAAGACCTGCCATCTTTCCAGGAAGACCTGCCATCTTACCAGGACTGTTTGACCTTGATGACCTCTCACTTTGTTATCACAGTTCTCTCTGGTTTTTAATGATCTTAAAACTGAAAGACCTGCCTTATTTTCAGGACTGCTTGACCGTGATGACCACTCACTGTGACTTAGATCTGGACTGCCGGGACAAGAATGGGAGAACAGTGTATGACGTGGCCTCCAAGGCCTGCAAGGAGTTACTGGAGAGCCTAGGTAAGGGAAGCCTGGCCAAGGGCACTGGAGATGTCAGATAAAGACAGTATAATTTAAAAGGCCCTTTTAATTTTTCTTCATCTTTTTTTTTGTCTTATTCTATTTCTTTTTCTTGGTCTTTTGTATGTACAACTAATTTTTCACATAAACTAATTACAGGTCAGACATTCCCAGGACTTCTTCATCAAGTTATATATATTATATATTAAGAAGTACAAATGAAGTTAGTTTTGATGAAATTCTTTACTGTTTCACCAGGACCAAAGAATGACAAAATGTGCACAGTTTGTATAGACATTGAGAGAAACCCCAACCACATCCACAACGAGCCACTTCATTACACAGTAGGCGTTATCAAAGTTATGGCAGACACATCGTGGCCAACCCTGGAGGAGAAGCTGGGCGATGTTCTATCCCATCACTTTAAGACCCTAGCAACAGGGTTAAAAACAAAGAAGACAACTCGTCTTGAGCATGATTCCCCATCCCCAGATAGTGGACCTTACACCCTGGCATTGTCCATGGATAGTGTGAAGTCATATTCAATTGGTGAGATTTAAAAAAGATTTTGTTGTTTTTATTTCTGAATCAGTTAAATTGACCTTTAACGAAAGAGTTAACAAAAGGTTGATCTGTTTTAGATTGTTGATTCTTGAAGTAAAAAGAAAAAAAGAGGACATGTTGAATTGATCATTTCAGTTGATTAAAAGTGTTTAACTTTACAATTGTAAAACCAAATACAAAAGTAGTAAACACGCTCAAAGTGGAGCATGTCCATTTTGCATTGAAATTATCAGCTGTTTTCCCTTTTGCCCTAATCTGTGTATTGGGTTTTTAAGTAGGCATGTCTGTTTTTTATTCCAGGTCAGCACAGTTGGTCTCCTGGCACCCCTTCCACAAAATCCCCTTTTGAAATCCTTTGTAATAATGAGACTAAGAAGATATCTATAGAACTGTTTGGTGAGTTTTTTAATTGGAAAAAACATCAAAAAGGATGTGTGAATAATAGTAAAACCTTCAAGTTTACAGATTTGAATATTTATACATGAAAACCATCTGCTGTGCAAAATGTGGTTGTTTTTACACCCTTGTCATCGAAAGGAAAAGAAATAAGCTTAAGATTAAATAGAAAATACTTCATATTAATTATATTGATTATTTTATAGTTATTTTTTAATTTGTCAGGCTGTGAAGATGGCTGTCAGGATGCGTTATCTTATGAAACCCTCATCCCAGCAACAACACTACAGAATTATCTCAGACTGGTGAGTTATACATTGGAAGCTAGCTGTTATATCCATTCTTCAAAAATTTAAGATATTTATAATTGTTTATATTCATAATTGTTTCTACTATAAAACTTAACTACTATATAATGGCATAATTTAGATAAACATCTCATGTAGCTTCCCCTAATAGGCAAACACCTTAAAAGTGCCCTGACTTCATTAGTTTCATTTATATAAATGGTGCTGTATGTTTTTATATTAGTTCTGCATGTGAATCATCTCTTTCAGATTGAACAGTACAAGAATGTCGTTTTCTATGGTCCCGTAGGATCAAGTAAAACATACCTGGCTCGTACTCTGGCTTACTGCATACAGGTATATACATTGTTTTTGAATAGCATGTTTACAATGTTCTACACTTAATATGATACAATCCATTTATATTAATGGTTAACTGCTATTATAATTGATTTGCATGCCAGCCATTGGAGACGTTTGTTTATCATGGCAACAGATTTGCACAGTATGTGGAATATGAAAAAGTCCTCTCTTACAAAGTAAAAATACTACGTATATTTTGGAAATTGGAACATCATGTTGGCATACATACTGGAAATGTGTAGATACATGTATATGTACATAAAACACATGATATAACTGAGGCACCAGAAATCATTAAAGAACCATTTTATTTATAACTTGTCCATTTTACAGGTTCGAGAGCGCAACTGTGGTCACTCAACAGAAATCTCCTTCTTGGCCTTCACTCCAGCCATGAAGAAGGCTGACCTTTACCACTTTCTGATGACCACTGGTGGACTGCTGCCTGCAGAGACTGCCCCTCCATCAAAGAAATCTCCAATCCTTATTTTAGATGATCTCAGCAAGATCAATATATCTGACATATTTGGTGATTTGTTGCCTGCTTTAGAGCAGAGAGGGCCTAAGAATTCTGTTGGTCTGAAATTAGGTAGGTAAAATTTATTTTTTTGTAGACAATATTATTTTATGAAGGTTGTATAATGTTTGGCACCTTTACGTAGTTGAAATCAAATGAAAAAGCAGGTCATGACTTTCATGTTGATAACCTTGTTTCAAATGTGATAAGATTACTTCTAGGAGTAAATACAGTAAGTGCTACATAATTTAACTTGAACTTCCATTCATTTCAAAATTTTGTAGATTCTTTTTTAATTTTTTTTTTTTTGTATTAGTTGAAAGTTATGAATATTATACCCATCTGCAGCTCAACTTGAACAAATGTTCTGTTCCCAAAGTGTCCAAGTGTCTGCTTAAGGTTTTGTCTACATAAATGATGATAAAAATTGTCCTATTATGGTTACACCAACTCTACAATTTAAGTGTATTTGTGTCAGATTCCTTAAAAACATTATATTTTATGTTTCAGACAATAAACCACTAGGTTCTTTCTACCTGACTGAGAACTGTTATATAATAGGAACCATGGACAGGACCAGGTAGGAAAAATTGTGATATGAAAATAAGTGAAATTTCAACTGTTTATTGAGGATGTAAAGAAAAGACTTATACCTAATGAAATCTTGCTGATTTTAATTGCAATCAGTGGATATCTATATTTAAATAATATTTACCCCTTAGTTCCTAGTTTTGACTTCTGCCATTAACAGTGCTATGTTAGATAAAGAGCAATTGGATATTTATTTAATCTTTTGTTTTTTTAGGGGGTAACATTTAATTTATTTTGTGCTCTATGCTTTTAAAACTGTCTCTTAAAATATTCTATGGTATTTTTAAAGAAAAAAAAATCAAAATTTAATACCAAAGGTTGAATTCTGTCCAAATAGGTGCGCCAGTCTGGATCTAACAGTGCAACAGCGCTTCCGCTGGGTCAACTGCCGCATTGACACCGAACCAGTGAGGGGGCTCCTATCCCGACAGCTGTACCGCCGCCTCATCAGCAAATATGGCGGCCGTTTACCCCCGTCGGATGATCCAGTCTATCGCGCCGTGGAATGGGTGATATGTGTGTGGCAGAGATTGAACGATGGCCTGGGAAAACTGGGGCTACCAGAGCTAGTGTTTGGGCCTAGTCATTTCTTGGTGTGCCCTATAGAGGTGAATCAGCCCAAGAATATTCTCAGGTAAGCCTGGGGTCAAATACAGTAGACGTTTGGATAAGTGTGTCAGTTGTTTGAGATATTCAAGGATTTGAGCTTGGTAATGTTTAAATATCCTCAGCTAATTGCAAAAAAAAAAAAAATGCAAAGATTTGAGCTTGTTAATGTCTATATGCCCTCAGCTAATTTCAAAAAGAAGAAAAAAGTGACATGACTCACCTATAACAGTTTCTTTGTAAAAAGTACATATGACTTTTTAGATCTTTCTAAATATTATCTGCTGAAATCTTGGTTCTATAGAGAATAAAAGACAACAGGTTCACACATGATCAGTCTCATCTCATCTTTCTTCTATTGTAACAACAGCAGCATTAAGGGAACAGCATATATCCTTTGTGTCTAAGAATTGTAGATATATTACTATTATAAGTTTTATATTTATAAACTTTTTCGGCTGTTTCTGAATGCTGTTACAATTCAGCATTTTGTTTTTACTTTATTTTTGTATAGCTGCAATTGTACAAATATAAAACATTTTCTCATTCAGGTGGTTGAGTTTGCTGTGGAACCACACAATTGCACCTGCAGTGTCCGAGGCTGTGGTCAGGGGTTCAGGGGCCGCAGACGTCACTTCAGAAGGACAACAGAAAGTAGTGAACACTGCTCTGTATGTGTTAATGCAGCGCTCAGTGGTCACTGGATGTCCACTCAGTGGTCAAGGTGAGGCCCTTTTTGGGAAATTGGTGATTCAGTAAAAGATCAAGTAAATGTCTGGTTATTTATAGCTGACTTAATCATGTATGATGATTATTTAGCACAAGCTGAAAATATTTGCCATACTGTTCAGGGCCAGATCCAGATATATTCTCTGACAGTCTTCCAAATTATCTTTGTTGATTCTTCCTCCATTTTGACCATCTTCCAACAAAAAAAATGAGATACCCGTCAATGTAAACTTGAAAAATTCTGACCGTTTTCCAGGAGACCCAGAAAACAGCTTCCATCCGCCCCTGCTGTTAGCTTTATAGATATGTTACCTACAGTTAAGATTTTGAAAGTATAGTTATAAACAAATTTTTTTTTTTTTAATTTTCACAGAAAAAGAGCGCTACCTCTCCAGTTTCCATGGAAGCAATGAACTTGACATTCAGATGAGAGAGAGGGGTCGTCACCGTGGTCACAGAGAAATGTCACCAGTGTTGACACCAGATTTGTCACCAGATGACGCCACTGCTTCACCACTTAAACAGTTTGAAGTGGCTAAAACTCATGAGGATCTGGTGTTGAGGTCAGTCTTTTTATGTACAGACGTGGCCTTTTTAATTATTTGTAGAAAAAGCAGGAAGGCAATCACCATGTTAAAAGTGTAAGTGAGAAGGAAATGACAGAATGAATTTTGGGATATGCTGTATTACTTTTGAACGAATAAAACACACTGTGTACCATGAAGAGTAGGGCCAAGTGAGAGGAAATGAGACATATAATTACCCTGTAAAATGAGAATAATTTTTAAAAATGTTAATTTCAGTTCCAAAAGGCCAATNAGTTGTTTGAGATATTCAAGGATTTGAGCTTGGTAATGTTTAAATATCCTCAGCTAATTGCAAAAAAAAAAAAATGCAAAGATTTGAGCTTGTTAATGTCTATATGCCCTCAGCTAATTTCAAAAAGAAAAAAGAAGAAAAAAGTGACATGACTCACCTATAACAGTTTCTTTGTAAAAAGTACATATGACTTTTTAGATCTTTCTAAATATTATCTGCTGAAATCTTGGTTCTATAGAGAATAAAAGACAACAGGTTCACACATGATCAGTCTCATCTCATCTTTCTTCTGTTGTAACAACAGCAGCATTAAGGGAACAGCATATATCCTTTGTGTCTAAGAATTGTAGATATATTACTATTATAAGTTTTATATTTATAAACTTTTTCGGCTGTTTCTGAATGCTGTTACAATTCAGCATTTTGTTTTTACTTTATTTTTGTATAGCTGCAATTGTACAAATATAAAACATTTTCTCATTCAGGTGGTTGAGTTTGCTGTGGAACCACACAATTGCACCTGCAGTGTCCGAGGCTGTGGTCAGGGGTTCAGGGGCCGCAGACGTCACTTCAGAAGGACAACAGAAAGTAGTGAACACTGCTCTGTATGTGTTAATGCAGCGCTCAGTGGTCACTGGATGTCCACTCAGTGGTCAAGGTGAGGCCCTTTTTGGGAAATTGGTGATTCAGTAAAAGATCAAGTAAATGTCTGGTTATTTATAGCTGACTTGATCATGGATGATGATTATTTAGCACAAGCTGAAAATATTTGCCATGCTATTCAGGGGCAGATCCAGATGTATTTTCTGACAGTCTTCCAAATTATCTTTGGTCATTCTTCCTACATTTTGACTGTCTTCCAACAAAAAAAAAATGAGATGCCCGTCAATGTAAACTTGAAAAAATTCTGATCATCTTCCAGAAGACCCAGAAGACGGCCTCCATCCACCCCTGCTGTTAGCTTGTGGCCAACAACTTTATAGATATCAAAATGTTAACTACAGCATAGATTTTGAAAGTATAGTTTTAAATATTTTCTTAAATTTTCACAGAAAAAGAGCGCTACCTCTCCAGTTTCCATGGAAGCAATGAACTTGACATTCAGATGAGAGAGAGGGGTCGTCACCGTGGTCACAGAGAAATGTCACCAGTGTTGACACCAGATTTGTCACCAGATGACGCCACTGCTTCACCACTCAAACAGTTTGAAGTGGCTAAAACTCATGAGGATCTAGCGTTGAGGTCAGTCTATGTACAGACGTTGCCTTTTTAATTATTTGTAGAAAAAGCAGGAAGGCAATCACCATGTTAAAAGTGTAAGTGAGAAGGAAATGACAGAATGAATTTTGGGATATGCTGTATTACTTTTGAACAAATTAAACACACTGTGTACCATGAAGAGTAGGGCCAAGTGAGAGGAAATGAGACATATAATTACCCTGTAAAATGAGAATAATTTTTAAAAATGTTAATTTCAGTTCCAAAAGGCCAATATCAAGTTTCCATGAAGGCAGATCATCCAGTTTCTCTTCCCCCTCCTCCTCCTCCTCGGCATTCTCATCATCAGCACTGGGTAAAGCAGCACCACCTAGCAGTATCAACGTTCCCACAAGTAGATCAGAGACAGAACTCAATTACATGCAGAAGAAAATGCGCAGACACGAAATCAGCTCGGATGGAAAATCTGGGTCACCACGGTGTGGCATGGCCGTGCCTGTCAGGAAGTACGACTTAAACGTAGGGGGAGCTGGTGGAGGGAGATCAAGTCCAGTTCGATCTCGAAGCCCTCCAGATCCAATGATTCATATTGGAGCTGCACAGAGTCTATCTCTTCTTACAGACGATGCTAATTTGTCATCTTTTGATAATAAAAATGGCACACAATCGGTGACAGAGCCGAGAGCGCAGTCCATGACTCAGAGACTGCGAGAGGACTACTTTAGGGACATGATGACACCTGCTAGGACAGAAAAAAGCCCAAGTCCAGAAATCCAGAAAGTGCAATAGATGCGAGTCACTGTTTACTAGAGTTAATCTGAATTCCATATCATATTAAATGCCATGTAAAATAGCATGTAGCTATACACAATGTACAAGAATGTAATGAATATGTAGATTTGCATGTTAAGTGTATTCATCTTAATGTGATGTCATTAGCAATGATTTTTACAGCGTAAGGGGTAGAGAGGAATTCTATTTGTGATTTCAAGGAATTTTTTTCATAACTGTAATTTTGTTCACCTTGGAAAGCCGATCAGCCTTAAGCAGTTGTTATACCTCATCCCAGTTTGTATTGAAAATATATTTCAGAAACTGGGGATCAACATATATTTATTTATTTATTTATTTATTTATTTATTTATTTGTTTTAGAGAGGGAAGCTGGATATTCTCTCAATTGCCCTCAATCATCAGTAAATAAATGTCTGTATATGCAGGATATAGCAACTCCAAAATATTTCATGACAATAATCCTCATGAGATAAAGTGCTAAAATATGGAAGAAATACAATTTTAATTATTGTGCTAACAATTAAGTATAGGTAAATTTTATCTTGTAAATATTAAAAAGGGCACAAGAGCAATATAATACATATATGGTCAAGAAATGTGGGAGTTCATTGGTTTGAGTGGGGGCAGTTGGGGTTAGGAATTTACAACACAAACTTAGATTTATTATCATCATGGGAGAAGTAGTAGGAATGATGAACGTTTTAAAGCTGGAGGCTCAGAGGGTGGGTTGGTTGCTGTTAATACAGCATAGTAATATCAACTGCACATTTGACAATTATTTGTGTAGCTGCTGAAATGCCAATCTGGATGGTGTTGACATTGTGTGATTGAATTGAGGGAGGTTCACGTTATAATATGATGCCATTTTAACTTCATACAGGAACATGCATATCAAATGCAAAGAACAAGAAATCCAGAGGGAATGTGAATATGAGCTAGATGTATAAGAAGGCATGTGGCTTAAAAAAACAATGTCGCATACAGTTTTAATTCCCTGTTTTCAGGGGCTGTTCTTAAACCTGGTTAATAGATGGGTAAAAAAAAAAGAACACTGTTTATCATACCAGCTGTTTTTAAAACCAAACTTGGACTTGATTTAATTTTATCTTATGGGCTGGTCTCTTAGTCTTTTCTATTCATTTTTCTTAAAAAGGGACATCACTAAAATGGTACCAAGAAAGAAAGTGGTGCCAAGTTGGTATTTGAAAAAGGATAAATGTCAGCATGATCACTGGAGGATTCAGGAATGGAAGGGGGGGTGAGGGGGTACCACCTTTCTCTCTCCACGAAAAAGTACAAGTTAAATGAAATTTAACCAAATACTTTTTCATTCCCACCCGTACCATACAAATTACATAAAAATTGACCTTTTATAGTATTTTGTATTTGCTTTACTTCATCTGTCAAAAATAGCCTTGTTCCCCCCCCCCCCATATCATCAAACCCCTGGATCCAAGGGTGCATCATTCATTTTATAGTGTCATTACACAGTTTAATAATGATGTAGATAATTGATCATATCATGAGGGCGAGTCTTTTTATCATCTCACTTTGTGCCATCATCAACAGTATTGTGTACATTTCGCTTGCATTTTGCTGCCTTTTAGTTCAGTTTACTCTCTGTACTTTACACTTTACAAAAATTGTGCTGTACTGTGCTGCCAAATTATCAGAAAAACATTGATGTAGATCAAATGTTCCAAAATGAATATTAATAAGCAAAGAATATTACTAAGACAGTTATGAAGAACTGTCCTAAGTTTTGGTATGGGCCATTTTGTATTTTCTATGATACTAATCATATGATTATGATAAATATGGTAGTAAATTGTAATAGTAACTTTTCTTTATGTTTGCTCTGAGGCAATGCAAACATAAAACTCTAGGTTCAAAGTGAAAAGTTTGTTTGAGTTGTACTTTTCAGTAGTGACAATTTATTTTATGCGTAGAATGAGCATACATTGTGTAGGGCTAAATATCAATATTAAATTTCAATAAAGAGATGGTATTTTCTCCTCTCATAATAATGATTAACATGAGTTGATTTTTATTATAAATGTGAAGAAAGTACCTTTGTGCACAGGCTTGAATAAATTTTTCACAATCCCTACCTTCAAATTGGAATGCCTTAACAAATATAGATCTGTTTGCTAATCCATTTTTTATGTTAAGATGACCCATTATTTAATTGAATAGTATGCTTTTGATATGATAACTCCATACAAGTCTTTATAAAAGACTTACTACCATTATTGCCTTCATATTGTAAGGTTCTTGCATCATGGGATTAAAAAAATCAATAAATAATTTCTCCTTAATTTTTACCCCTGCTGATGTATATTGTTAATCATCATTCATTGCTACATTTATCAGTTAAAATAACGAATGCCAAATGAATTTTAAAGTATCAGGTTTCAAAACGCCAATGCAAGATTTTATTAAATCTTTGTTTAACTCATTTATTCTTTGACGCCAAGCACATGTTCACTTGTTCTGTTTAATTGTAATATACAGTGGACCATAGGTTTATACAAACACATTTATTCTGCACTTGTTTATATTAAAATATTGTATTGGGTATTGCCCTAAAGTATTTTTCTTCTTAAATCCATACTTTATGTCACAGGCCCGTAGCCAACAATTTCAAAAGGTTTTTTTTCCTGAAAAAGTGGACCTTTTACCATGAAACCTAGAGGGGACCTTTTCCCGGAAAAAAGGGGTGTGTGTGTGCTTTCGAACCCCCCGACCCCCACCCCCCACCCCCCGGGGTCTTGTTACGGGCCTGTGTCACGTGCTTGCTTAATGACGCTGTCTGAAAAGTAAATCAGAACAAAATGGACCCAGATAAGAGAAAGCATTCTTGTTACATGCGCCCAGACGTGCAGAGCTGAATCTGCGCGAGGGAAATTCAAAAGAAACATGGTTGCATGTTTGAATCCTGTTCTCTAGTCTCCTAGTCAAGAAGAACTCTTGTTTCAAACGAATTAATTTCTGTATAAATAACGTCCAAGCGAGTTCGTCACAGGGGCTGATCCAGGATAATTTGAAGGGGGGTCCAGGACGACAGGCCTCTGATGCGAAGCCGACCATCGCCCCCTTGGTGTAGGGTTCGGACCTGCTCAAGGGTGTTTTGGAGAACAAACAGTGCCCTTTTGTGCGGTTTAGAACTATAATTTAGTTCGACGAAATCCTACGTTCACGAGGGGAATATTGGTGTGATATATTTTTCAGAAACCGAAGGGAGATTCAGGACCCCGTGACCCCCCTCTAAATCAGCCACTGCGTCACTTCCGGCGTAGATCGACATTACAGGTGTGGCAAAAAGTGAAAAGCGCAGTTCGCAGAAATTTGAGTGTTCTTCTGACCCTTTACATGTTAAAATGTCATGGAAATTTTATTTGAGCAGGCATGTGATTGTTATATATGATGAGCAGACATGTGATTGTTATATATGATGAGCAGGCATGTGATTGTTATATATGAAAGATGTATTCTGTGATAACCAAATGAGTTGCCCGTGGCTGTACCATAAAATGTCGGTATCCACAAGCCCCCATGAGGTCACCTGCCGGTCCACCTGGTGCCGCGAGGACTAAACTCTTCATTCCTGGAATAGAAGCAAATGTCTCACCGCATGGTATTTTAAAGAGAGCGTAAATTGTCACACTGACCCGACAGTTATTCTTGCAAGACGTAGCCCTCCCGTTTAAAAGTACCAACAATCATGTTCGCGAGCCGTGCAGTAGATTGTGGTGATAAAATATTTTATTATTTATGTACCTTGACGGTTTCTTTGATCCAGTCTACTGACTGGCTACTTCCAAATCTGTGAATCTCGTGACTATTCGTAGGGTTTCCATTTCCATAGATTAGATCGACCTACTTTAGAACGACCTAACTCCCTGGGGGTTCACGCTAAATAGCTGTCAGCCGGGCGGACACGAAAGTTAATTACCCCCTTACAGCTTGTAGTAGGTGGTACGGACATTTAAGTCAGATTATCTGAAAGTAATCTAGTGAGACTCCCCGCGGGGATAGATCGATCTAAAATCTATGGGAATAGAGCCTATGAAATGCCTCGACTCCCCCCCTCCCACCACCACCACCACCAAGTGGTAGTTTACAAATTGTGTCTCTACCGATCAAGTCAACATATAATAAATTGAAAAGCGACATAATTCTGTGATTACTAGCCCTTAGACCGACAATGCTACGGTATGTCCTTTTGAATGAGGTATACATCTTTTTCCGATACGACAACACACTCGTAAGATCAGATGTCGATTGGTGTGGATGGATATGGACTATATTGAACCTACCGTGTGGTCGCATAAAGAATAATAGATAAGGCCGCCCAACATCTGAGTGGGTTTCTGAGGAAAAAAATTAAAACTATCGGTTGAGCAGGCCCCGAACCCCACAAGGGGGGCAATGGTCGGCTTCGCATCCGAGGCCTGTCGTTTTAGACCCCCCCCCCTTCAAATAATCTTGGATCTGTCCCTGGTGTATGTCAAGAATGATGCGTTGCGTGTTGTTAACGATCGCTATGCATTCTCAACACGAGTGGCCAGTTTGTTTGTCGCAGCTCGATACGTTCAAATGTGTTCCATATCTTTGTGGTCAAATATCATTTAATCACGGTGCTCATTTATCACGCGGTAGTGTTCTTCAAACTGATCTTCATCTTTTAAATCATTTAAAGACTGAAAAAGGGCGTTGCAAACTACAAATGACTTCTACAGAGCGAAAAAATAACAATAAACATGCACGTGGAAAATCAGGTAAAAAGACTTTCTACAATGACAACTGCACTCAATTATCACTGAAATACATTTTAAAAAATCCTCTGAAAAGCAGTGTTATTTCTTTCAATTTTGATTAAACATTTTAAATGATTTAGAACATTACACAACATTACCCATATCAAAACACACTGCATGGGTGCAACAGAGTGTACAAATACAAAAAATTCTCTTTATTTACAGCATAAAAGAAATTACAAGAAAAAAAGATATGAAAAAAAATCATTGCCTCCATACAAATTTTAATTTTAAGATACATGTAACAACATGCAAAATGACTCTGTAAAAATAAAAGATTAATTATTATCGTCAACCATGTACAACGTGCAGGTACAGAGAAATATAACAGAATAACAAAAAAAAAAATAAAATAAGCAAATAGTCATGTACATGTATATATTTATGCCAGATAATCTATTCTTTCTATTATTAACTTATTGAACTTTTCCTAAATTTAATAGTAAAAGACGCTGGCATATGTGAAAAGTCGCTCATATTACATTTAATTACATTCATACAAAGAAAAAGACTGGTCACTAATCATCTGCCCAATAGATAACAATTTCTCAGTTAACTTTCAGAAGGACAACGAACACCAAAGTTGACCCAACTTGAGAAATGGCATTGAGCCCATGTCATGGAACCAAAGGCTCATTCAGATTCACACATCTTACTGGCTGGGTCGGTCCAACTCTGCGGGTTTTTTTCCCTGAAATGCAATCAGTGAAATCAGTTTAATCATCACATGATAGTTAATTACCCCCTAGCTGTTCTAGGATGCGTGTCAGACAATTAAGGTGATTGCACTATAACGAGAATCCTCCGCAGATTTGGCCCGACCCACTTAGTACGATTTTCGAATCTGAATGCGGTCCAAGATCAAAATTTGATTGTGAGCGGTGCTTTTCTCAACCAGAAAGGCGATTCGTTCAACATGCCCCCCCCCCCCCCCCCCCACCACCAACAACAATAACCCCATCCCCGAGCCTGGTGCCCCTACTATGGGCCTGCAGTAGCCCCCCGAGGCTTCGGCTAACCCTTACATGATCTAATAACATGGGACATTCCTAGGACTATCATTCATGTCACAACACCATTGATTATGATCTGCCCAGGTCGTAATTAAAGGGGAAAATTTGAGGAATTACATCGGGGCATTTGTAAGCTCAGTGCCTGTGCAATATTTCATGCACACATTCGAGATGAACAAAGCCAAGATATTTAGTTACTCGGTTCACATATAATTAAAATGTACTGTGTGATAAAGAGACAGAATGCCAATATTATCAATATACTCGACGTACTTCAGTCTTGGGAGTTCAACCCCCTTGAACTCATAGGGTAGAACTTCACACCTGAAAGAACACTGATCAATTTGTGCAGTTTACCAATGGTTGATTAAACCAACATCGATCGTTGTCGGTATTATGTAATAGAATAGACTAGAATGGTTTTATTATTGTGGCAAATGTATACAGGTATACCCCCGGCCACTGAACAAAACTGGCCACAGGCTGAAAGAAGTTCAGTTTACCCCAGGGTCAAAGGATGCTGCTCATAAATAACTTTGAAAAACAGCCGAATTATCTCACGGCCGTCCGTTCACGAAGGATTGACCACGTGACAACGCAGGAAAATCACCAGTATCAGTCCGCGGCGTAATGTACACTTTCCCGTTGGTGACGAACTGGAAAAGACGCTTGGTGACGTCGAGTAATAGATTAAAACCTTTCAATCGTGCTAAAAAGATAAATATTTCATCTGCGGCTGCTTGACCACTTTTTGTTCGTTCTTTTCATACAGTCGCTTAAGTTACCTCATAAGGAGTCATTAGGTGAATATAACTGACCAAGGTCCGCACCGGAGAGCGTGTATAAAGCATGGAGTGGGGAAAGGAGCCTGCGCTGTATAAAGCCTTCCTCGTGGCTTTCGTCTTGATCGAAGTTGGCCTCTTCAGCGTGTGTGTGCAGGGGTGGCCGTCGCTGGTCTACATCTTCAGGGATGCAGGGTTTTACGCCAATCTCTGCGACAACACCACTCTCACATACTCGCCCGACATAAACGTGACGTCGTCCGGCGAGCAAGAGCACGATCACCTGGCTGAGCTGGGGTGTGCCCCACAACAAGAAATGTTAAACTTAGCTTACACCCTGGCTTGTGCGTCGCTTGTGCTAACATCGGTGCTAGGATACATTTATGATCATTGTGGAACGTGGTGTGTTCGCGGAATTTGCGTGTAAGTACAACTTAACTACCTAAATAAATCTGTATTTTATACAAATTATAGAAAGCCCTGGGGCTTTATAACGAAATAACTGATGGACTAGAGCTGGACCAAACTTTTACGGCAAAATATCCGTCTTCTTTGATACAGTTATTAAGAAGCAGTACAATGTATGTAGAAGTTGTAAGTTCTATTATATAGAATATTGCGTTTGTTTTATATCAAGAAAGAAATGATAACTGTTTAATTTTAGACAAGGGCGACTCTACCTATTTGCAGACGTTAAACATAAAACCAGCTCTCAGACAAGAGCCCCTGTTCTCAATCTTTAGATTTATAACGCTACAAGAAATTGCAAAAACTTAAAATTTCTAGTAAAAAAACTGGGTACAGTGGGCACGCGCTCCTTCCCTAAACTCCCTCAAAAATTGAAACTGGCAAAACGGGACAATACCAAGTGTTATGTCATCCTCGTACTTTCAATATATTTGCCGAATAAACATGGTGGAATATTTTAAATCCTGCGCCCATTCCCACCCTCCCTCCTTACGACCATCCCTGAACTGCACTGTTTTCAGGCCGTCTTCAGGGTCTTCCGGAAGACGGTCAGATTTTCAAGTTTACATTGACGGGTATTTAATTTTTTCTGTCGGAAGACGGTCAAAAATGGAGGATGGATCAATAAAGATAATTTGGAAGACTGTCAGAAAATATCTCTGGATCCGCCCCTGGTTTTCCCCACTTATACACCACGAAAACGCTATTTAAAGTCTTTCATGTTACCGACCTTACGGGACTATGAACAGCAGACAATATAATCGTCAATTACAGGGCCGGTGTAACGTGACAGACCGAGGGCCCGCTTCCCATTCATTTGTACAGGTGAGCCTCGCCCTAGATTTTGACCCACTTAGGTCAGACTAACCCTAGCCAATATAACTGTATGGAGGGCGGACTTTCTGTTTCAAGGACCCTCAGTTTCGTGACACCTGCTGATCCAGGCACTTTTTCTGACAACTTTTAAGTACTTTTGCACTTAAAAGCTTTCAAATATAGACAGATGCATTTATTATTATCATCATCATCATTATTATTATTAACAATTTAGAAATATTAATATCAGCAGTTGAAAATCAAAGGAAGAAATTTATTAGAAAAAATGTAACTGCCTATGAAATATTTTCAAACGAAATAATATATAAGCTTTTTACTAAGTAATTATAAGTACAAGTATACTCCAAACGAAAGAGATCAAAGCTGGACACAAACGTGCAGTGAATCAGTAGCGTGGCATCAGTTGACGCTACACTCATTTGCCTCGTCTGTCATTCTTGTGAAAAACCCCACTTTCTTTACCCTTTTTGCTATATTTATGTTATAATTTTTTCCCCGCAACAGTCTTATGCATATGGGGCGTTCAGAATGAGTTATGTCGACCTAGTTGCCCCATCAAGATCATACACACCTGAATATGTGATGTGACCGTGGCAATATACAGTTTATTTGATTTTAGTTGCGTTTTTTGATGCAATGCGAGTACTTTTCCTCAGCATGTATGTCAAATAATACACTGCCCCCTCTCGCGATATATTTTGAACACCCCTCGCTGACGCTGGAGGTGTTCTTGCATATATCTCTCGGTGACACTGTATTATACTTGAAGAATACTCACAAAACTAGAAAAGCACTCAGAGAGCGCAGACCTCCGCCAAGTCAGCGATTTTTTTTTTATTATTATTGATTATTGATTGATTATTGATCCGGATCACCACCAAAAACTAATCATCTTTTCCTTGGCCCACTTCTGACAGTTCCTGAAAATTTTATCAAAATCGGTCCATAACCTTTTGAGTTATGTTGATGACAGACAGACAGACAGACAAACGGGTGAAAACATACCCTCCTTGGCGGAGGTAAACCTTGACGGTATCGTTACTAGGTTGAGCAGCGTTGCGTGAATACTTACTGAAGCTCCTCAGGTCCGGTATTGAAATCGCTTTTAATGAAAGCAAGGTAGAAATCGGATAAGTCATACATCTAGGGCATTTGGAAGCCTGTCAGCTATTGAATAAATATATTCAATCAAAAAAAAAAAAAAAAAAAAAAAAAAA